AAACACTAAAATTTTTTTGGGGGGGCCCCCCCCCCCCCCCCCCCCTAGCTCAAAATCCTGGCTCCGCCACTGGTTTTATTTGAAAGAGATAATAATGCAAGTTAGTTCTATAAGTTCCGATAAAAATATAACTCTTGTTTTCAAAATCAAGCTCTGTGTAATTAACTCAGTTTCTCTCGTCCTCGTTGCTTGAAGTGTCATGAATGAAAAGTGTTTATTGCGACCTGCAAGTCAAGTAGAAGCAAACGAACAAAAGACGATTAATAAAAAAAAACACTCTGAGTATCCGAGAAGAGTTTGAATATTTATATGTAGTGTTTCTCACAATAGTCTTTTGATTACAATTGTATTTAAATCTTGTGAAACAAAAAAAATGAATTTATTTTCCTATATATTAATTTGAAGATAAATGGATATTGAATGAAACTTTTATCTCTCACCAAGACAATCCGACGCCTAATGCACATAACAAAATAACGATTAGATAATCTTTATCTAAATTTTTCAATTTATCACGTATCGAAAACTATTAACTGTAATATATTTAACTGGATAAAATCAAAATGCCTTGCATTCTTTGACAGATGAAATAAAAAGCATGACGATTAATAAAAACTTTTTGTGACTTGTATAATTTTTCATATTACAACTTATATTGTTTTATTATTTGTGAATCAAATTTACTATCTGATAAAAACTTAGAGTCACAAATACTAATACTGGTGTTGTGATTTATGAACATTTCGTTTTATCAGATGCATAAGACTGCCTGTAGGATTCATTCTCATTGGATTGTCATTCAAATATCAACTGAACAATATATGAAACTTAATTTTTATTAAATAGAAGTTATTTTAGTTTATCATTACAATTAAATGTATTCTCAATTTTGAATAAATCGTCACTTCCATAAATTGAATATAATAGTTAGTCCTTCGACTTGATGAATGCCTCAAGATTGTACTTTGCTTCTCAATATCATTATCTATACATTATTATCTATTCAAACTTTTACCTTTCTGTTCTCGTGTGATGATGCTACTATTTCAACCAAAGTTGATTAGAGAGAGCAGAAGCATTGTCATATTTATATTTATATATACAAATAGTTCATGTATTGAAAATAATTGAAACGCAAAGATGTTTGATTTAATACAATCTACCGAAACAGTTTATTATGATGCTGAACAGGGACCAACAGTGAATCGCAGTTTATCACGAGAAGAAACAGGCCAATTTGATGAATTCCAAAGTTTAGGCGTAAGTTAATGTTATTAGATCATATTTTGTCTTTATAGCATTTGTTTTTGTCAGAAAAGCACAAATCGATCCATAGACGTTAATCATAATTCTACTAAAAACATAACATTAGAAACAATGTCTACCAGTAAGTGTAATTGTATTGTAACAATCTCTATCTAACTTGTAATTCTATTATAAGGCTCACATGTTATTGATAATTATATTGAAACAGCTCACCAACAATTAACATTTGCTGCTCAACAGGACGTATGAACTAGACTACAAAGATAAAATATTTCATCATAAGATAAATTGCTTGGCATTTTTTTAGGTATCACGTCGTCGTAAACGAAAACTATTATATGGACTTGTTGGGTTGATTGTTATTATTGTTATCGTCGCCGTCTCTGTTACTTTAACTCTAATGTTACGAACTCGAAAATAGTAGCTATTAATCGATAAAATAAATATAGGCAAATAATTATATCATTATAGAAATTGTTTTCTTCTAATAATTTGCACTGAAAAGTCTCATGCTATCTATTGCTCTATGGACTAAATGAGTAAGCGAATAAATTGAAAAATAAATTTTTATACGATTCATCAAATGTTTAGCGCTGAAATTTATATTGAAGAACATGTACCTATGTCTCATCTTTATATCTTACTTAAGTCATTATTGTCTCGAGATGAATTTGTTAAGACGAGAATAAATATAAAGTTGTTTCTCTAAAAAACCATTTCGGACGTTTTTTTGACCTTCAATCAGTGCCTCATTATATAATCATATATATATTTACTGTATGAATTTATGTGTCTTTTGTTCTTGTCATCTAACACCTGTAATCACCTTGAAAAGTCAACTTATTTTGTACTACTCTATGAACGCCATTGAGTAGTCAATATATTAAAGTAAAATCTAGTTCTCATTATTCAACAATCTTGTTACTTGTTGCATTTTTCTGTCCATCTGACATAATAAATTGACATACATAAACTCGATATAGTAATGTATTAGTAGTAGTATTGCATATCAATGCTATATATATATATATTCATTCATGTATTGTATACAGACAGTTATTGTATTTTTGTATTACATAACAGATAGATATCTAAATTATTCTTATTGATATATCTTTCAATTTATTTTTCAATATTCTCTTGTTAACCCCGCCGATTGACTATACCATTTTATGTGAACATAACTAATAAGATAAAGATTATTCGAAAGTGTATCTCACATTTTGAGGTAACAACTCTTCGGTCTTTTTTTTATCTAATTAATATGCTCTGCTAGCTATTCAGAATAGTTTATTATGATTGATACAAGCATGTTGTGACCATTCAACTGCTCACAGAATATTCTTCATTAGAGATAAGAAAGAAAAACAATGAGCACACGCGTCGGACAAACAAATACAATAATACCATATTTTGCGGATACCATCAGGCGCCAACAAAATTAACAAGCACTGTGGTGTAATCTATTGGCAAAACAATAACCATATTGTGTCGAGTGTGAATGATCATATGTAAGATCATTTATGTCATAGATGCACACAATGCTATTGCATAAATTGATCGCATTCCGACATCAGCAAGGAGCTAAAGTTAATAAAGACGATGCGCCAACATGCTGTTATTCTACAATAATTGCCTCTATGAATCTCCGTTTCTGTACATATTTTGGAGACCGAGAGAGAAAGAGAGAGGGGCAAAAAAAGAGAATATTAATCAGAGAAGAAAAAGTGAGAAATCAACGCTGAATGAGCACAAGCATTCAACGGAGTACACATGGATGTTAAACGGGCAGAAAGAAAACTAGCTGATCTAACATCGGGTATGTATCAAAATGCATACGAAATATTAACGATGACTGAAAGAAGCGGAAGTATTGGTATAGGCCATCCATTTTAAAATGTCGATCAACTTGCCACCGCATTTTAGGCATTATTTGCCAAAAACGTAAGATCTGAAAGGATCAAAACTATAATATCTTTGTAGATTATTAAAAATCTGATCTTATTTAACAAGTTCATCTTTTTTTTTTCTTTTGAAACTTAACAATAATGATGACATCAATATCTTGATTTTGGATATTGATAAAGTGAACGTTTCTGTTCTTCTTTTGTCTTTTCAATAATGCATAGAAATCTAATCTGATTCTTTATTATCAATAAAAAGAAATGACAACAGGTGTTTAATTTAAAGAAAAAAAAATCATAATCAAATATTGAAAGACCTTCTTCTTTCCACTATGTACGATTCATGGTAAAAATAAATATCATGTTACATTTGTACTTCTGTTTCATAATCAGTTATTCTTCTTTTGTCTATTGTCGATTTGATGATATGGATGTGGTGACAATTAACTGGATTAGGTCTTTTTTTTTGTTCTTTTCTTCTTATTCTCCTTTTTCTGCTGTGTCCTATACAGTTGATTCTTGATAGGTCCTTGTATTGTGAGGACTTCTCTTAAAATAAGAGAGTCAAAATATATTATATACATACTCTAGTATTTGTTTGTAAGAACTGTCTCGACATGCATTTAGATATTTTATCGTTTTGATAACTTTGAAGACAGTTGTTGATATAATTTTTTTGTCTTTTTTTAGATTCATGATGAATCGTCTACTTGTTCGACGTTGTAGCATGTCCTCGATCGAGGAAGAAGACGAATCGGAAGCATTTGATGAACCAATTATAGAAGTCGATAAATCATTGTTGTCTTCATCACAACAAGAACAACGTGATCATTTATCATCTGCTTCTGAGTGGGATTCTGAATTATCTGAATCTGAACAAGAATTTGACGATCATGATGAAAATCGAAATGATGATAGCGAAGAACAAGCAGCAAAGCGTGCATTACAATGTTTTAAACAATCATCTTTAAAAACAGTAAGTTTTTAATATTAAAAAAATTTTAAGAAGTTTATTTTATGAAATTTTTAAGTGAACAATATTTGTCTAAGGAAACTTTTGAGAAAAATCAATGGAATCAGTGATGAAAGAAAAACCTAATTCCTAGAGATATTAGAAAATCGATGTATCTCGGTATCTTAGAACTATTCGATCGGCATTTTTCTATGATGACATTGATTATGCATGGCTCATTGATGTCAGAACAAGGCCAATCTATTGCACTATAGGCGCCTGTTAGGAGAAATCGTTCGTCGAACAGTTGTGTTGATCAAGCTTGAAGTCATTCTTCGCATATTGCCATTGTATAAGTATAAGTACTATCATTATTTGACCTTTTAACACTGTTGTCATTTCTATATATTGAACTGCCTTTCTGTACATATATATATATATATATATTGAAGGAAAAGTCTATTTTCTTGGTTAATGGCACGTATACAGTAAGATATAGTCTATTATCACCATTGCATACTTGAGCTTAAATATATATATATATATATGTTTGTACTGATGATGCCTGATGATAAATGAAATGAGCAGCAGTAGATGATGATACTGTTTGTTTAAGTGTGATGAACACCCTGTTGATTGCATATTGTATTCGACATTGAGAAGTAATTATGAAAATAGAGGGTTAACGACACATGTCACTTACAAGACAATGAAAGATATAAGGAAGACAACGAAACGTACTGAGACGTATAATTTTTTCTTATAGATGTAACTTTTGTGTCCTTTTTAATTAATTATTCTAGATCATTAATTAGAATTGACCAACGATTCAAATAACCAAGTGGAACTGGATTTAGATGATTTCTATCGGATTCTATAGATTAGTTGTGGAATTTCAACCCTCGAATCCTTAGAACTTCCGATACTCTTATGCAGGTTTTCGCTGAATTCTTAGAATAAGATACTTTGTTCTTCAAAAACTCTTCAGTCTAAGTGATTTGAATTATATTGAAAATTTTTCTTTGAATATTGTACTTGATATGTTTTTGTAAGATAGTTTTATATAGTTCAACTGTTTAGTTAAGAAGATTTTCTTTATGTAATTGAACAATTTTCCAATGACACTTATTAGAGAATATTTCCAAGTATTGAATGCCTTTGAATCGGAACTGTGAACCTTATTTAGATTATCATCAGTTATAGCAACTCTCCTGACAAGAAAAGCTTGAACTTCTTACCGTAGAGAAATTTCAGTTGTTTCAGAAGGCCATCGTTCCCGCCAAGAGCTCTAAGACATCAGTGTTTTGAACTGCCCACAATTGAGAGTAACTTTTTGTGAAACATTTAGATTCATTTGTTTCTATTGCGCTCCTTCCAAAATAGCAAAACGCTGACAACGGTTGGTATAAGTTAGCGCAGTAAAACCGTAGTGATATTATAGAATAGGTAAAACGAAGTCATTTGGGACACAAGTTTAGACCTTTAGTTGCGTTAATTATTAAAGGTAAAATTCATTCTTTTCTGATATTTCAGAGCGAAGCTACGTTCTTATATTAAAAGGTACGCTGAAAGTGAAAATATCTCGGTACTGATTAGGTAATGGCTTAATATGTTTTGAAAGTATTTATCATTCATTACGACTTACATAATGAACATCGTTACGTGTCAAAAGCGAGTCGACACTTTGGAATGCTCTGTCGCAAGTAGAGAGCAAATACCGGAGAAAAAATCTCTGACAAATGTATTGAACCTTCGAATTTTCTTTCCACAATTTTATGCTGTGGTGAAAGTAGAAATTTTTCCAATTTTATTCTTGTGAAGCTATCATCACTTGATCCTATATAAGTACATCTTTGTTGGTTACTTTCTTTGTTATAATTGCGCGCACAAGTATTCTATTTTTAATCACATGGTTTTTGAACGATGAACAATATCTACGAAGAGAGATGCATGTGTTTAATTGCAAACCTACGTGAAGATTTTCTCAGAAATAATGGATTTTTGCGAGTTTAGTTAAGCACACGAATGCGTTTTTTCTCTTCCGAAACTTTTACTACATCCTTTATTAATTATTGATAAACTTCGTATGAGTCACATGCGAATGAGTTTCCATATCATTCATGAAATATGTAAAACTGTTCAAAGTGTTTTTTTCCTCTAACAATGGAGGTGTTTGTACTGTTCATCACGAAAACCGCTCATATTGGTATCAAATGAAAGGTCTCGTTGCCAAACTAACAGGGTTAAAATATTAACGGCCCATGGCTTGCCTGAAGGGAGATATTCGATTTTTCAGTGAATTTTCTCTGCAGGACCCGCTTTCCCAGCAAAGTCATATTCTCGAATTTGAACCTGAAACTTTGTATGCTTGAAGGTCCTAATGAGACTAGCTTACAGAAAAAAATTCAGAAGTTTTGGACAAACTATACACGAGATATGAATCTCTCAAAATATTGGCGATTTTCTATAGAAGTTGTACATTTTGAGAGATTCATATCTCGTGTATAGTTTGTCCAAAACTTCTGAATTTTTTTCTGTAAGCTAGTCTCATTAGGACCTTCAAGCATACAAAGTTTCAGGTTCAAATTCGAGAATATGACTTTGCTGAGAAAGCGGGTCCTGCAGAGAAAATTCACTGAAAAATCGAATATCTCCCTTTAGGCAAGCCATGGCCCGTTAATATTTTAACCCTGTTAGTTTGGCAACGAGACCTTTCATTTGATACCAATATGAGCGGTTTTCGTGATGAACAATACAAACACGTCCATTGTAAAAAACTACTCATTCAATTAGTAATTTTCCTTATCGAATATTTCATCTCTATACAGTTTCTACAGATAGCTTAGGTATTCAATTAAATATATGGAACACATGAAAGACGGTCGCTTACAACAGCTTTAGAAAGGCTTGAACTAATCAAATAAATTGTCTCATGTAAAGCACTATGTTTATTTTCATACCAATAGATCCGTTGAGATGTGTATAGATGAAATAATCGCAATTAGCCAGCGTTCAATCTCTTGGATGTTTGTCCCACTTGCAGGTATTGATTCGATTAAAGAAAGAATATTAAAGAGCTTCAAAGATCATATAGTCATCATTCATGTACGTTTCATTTTTTATTGTTATGACTAGATATTGTAATGGATATATAGATGTGAATTTTAATAGAATAATTAATAAACCATTATTTCTTTTTCTTCTATTCTAGCATCCAACTGAAATGAACAGTTCTTATTCACCGTTTTCTATTCATCTTTATGGTACGTTAATCTCATTTATTTTTCTCCCTAGTCAACGCAAGCCAGGAGGCGTTTCCCGTCAATTGCTCTGTAACTACTTCCTCAAAGGAAGTACGTATTGATGAAATAATATTTATAATAAAAGATGATGATAGATGTGACAGAATAAAAAATATATTATGTACGTATTTCGTTAACAGGCAAATATTACATCCTGAGATAAGTCCCACCTTGCCAGACGGATCAAATGAACGTATAGAATCATTCTAGTAGCGATGATAAAATACCGATTAGATATTTAAAGAAAATTCTAAATTTAACTATTCAATACGACTTGGAAATCAATTGTTCGATGATAGAATGAAGTGTGTAATCGGACGAAATAGTGTTACAATCGATTGCATCATTATTATTGTTCGTCTTAATAGATTGGCATTGTTAGAAAAAAAATTTGTCCTTGCAAGCTTAACTATTCTCTAATAAAAAAAGGTCCCCTTAGTAATATGATTCTTTAATTTCCGTTTGCCAACTAACATAATATAAAAGTAAGCCTACAAGAATGTCAATGAGGATGATGCATAGATGGATCACAGGTCACGCATCGCATTCGGTTTACTTAAAATCTGTGACAATCATCTATCTTGTGACAGATAGTATTATTTCAAATCTTTGTCATGATCATTGCATTATCTCTGGTTGAACCGTGCTTGTTCATTCGTACAATGCCAGTCATTTTATCTTACATAACTACTTCAGTATTCATTTTTGTGTTCTCTTCAATGAGTACTGGTATATATATATATATATATATATATAGAGAGAGAGAGAGAGAGAGAGAGAGAAAGAGTACAACTGTTTCCGTCGGAGTCAGATGTGTGAACAGACATCGTTGGCTTCTTCTTTTTGTTGCGCTTCTTGTCCTTTTGTCTGTCTTAATTATCAATCAGAAAATACATGCATAAGAGAAAAAGCAGCATTATTTATATGTTAACTATCATACCAGCGAACAGAAATAAGATCAACACTAGCTAAGCATTCTTTTTTTTTTTTGATATTGATAAGTGTGTGAAAACTGGAAGAATAGATTATACTGCGTCATTTTCTATTTCATGTTTATTATATTATTGTCTTGTAGAAGAAGAAGATTCAGCTGAGCTGGATGCAATTATGTCTGAATTACAAGATTTTAAAGTCGAATTGGAAGAAAATTCAAAATCTTCATTATGTCAACAACCATTATCAATTCCAAAATATAATAAAATAGAAAAATCAGCCATGAACCATTGCCCATCAACTTCATCTGCAAAATATTCTTCTTCATCGTCAACAAATGGTTGCGTTTATGAACTTCGCACACTTGAAGATCAACTTGAAGCTGCTTTAGCTAGTTTATCATTGACAATTAATGATTGCACAACGAACCATCTCGATTCTCAGCAACCGATTTCATCTGATTCAAGTGCTTGTTCAAGTGGAGTTGGCGATGAAATTGGCAATGAATCATTTCATTTATATAATCTATCGAATACAAATCATCATGCTGTATCATTTGCATCAAAGCTTACTACAAATACAGATGATTGTGATTCAGCATTTAGTGATTGTGGATCAAATGATAAAATTACCTTAGTCAATCACGACGAATCAGTAAGAATCTCTTCACAATAAATTATCTTTCTCATGCACACTATTATGACTGATCAGAGACACTTATAGGTTACCTCTTAAAACATATATCATTATTATTAAATACTATAAATTAGTCAGCGATGTACGCATTGGCAGTAAACGAAGAAAAACTCACCAGGGAGGTCTATTCAACTGTCGAGTGCTATCTAATTTAATGCGGTGGATGCCGAGTACATTTCTATGACAGAAAGTGTAGTTTTAAAGTATCTCACGTAATGTTCTACTGATGAAGAGTTATGATCATCCTATTGAAATTTTTCAGAACTATCAAATTATACCTACGAAGAGAAAAGTCTTACTTAGGTCAACATATTTTATTGACGCTGTCTCAGCATATGCCTGGCCCATAGGAAGAATATCCATGAAAGGGTCAGACTTGTTCATCAATAAAGTAAGCATCTGATAGATCCGAAATCTTTATTCATGCCATAATTATCTACTATATCTAGCAATATAATGCTAAGTCGAATAGCATCTGTCAGTCGGATATTCATTTTAGTCGAATGACAAAATACGAGATATTCTCGGCAGATTTATCTTTTTTTATTCATGAATATCAGTCAGTAGACTTTGTGAAAAGCATACGCTTACATTGTTTTCTTTTTAGGCAACCTACCGTTCAATGCTTCCAACAACAGATCCAATAATCGAGACACCGTTAACTATTCTCGATCATGATAATTCATTATTATCTCATGCTCGGCATCCATCAAAAATACTTGTTCGTACATATAATGATGATGATTCAACAAAAAGTATATTCATTGATGATTCAATGTTAATACGCGATGTTCTATTCGTACTTGTTCATAAAAATTATCGAGAACCTGATATTAATTATGCTCTTGTTGAAGTCTTACCTGATCTTCATATGGGTAAAAACAATTAGACAAGAGAGAAGCATGCCATTGAAATAAAAATTCTTTGTTTCCTTTATTTTTTAAATTTAGAACGTATATTTGAAGATCATCAAAAATTAACTGAAGCCATTCTTATGTGGCCAACTGTGTCTTCAAATCGACTTAGTTTTACTAAACGTTTTGACAAATATAATTTTTTTCGAACGATAGATTCGACTGGCGACTTACCGGATACGCCTGATATTGAAGGAAATATTTATTTAAAAGAAAAATCTCGTAAATCATGGAAAAAACATCTTTGTGTACTTCGTCCATCAGGCCTTTATTTTATACCAAAAGGCAAAACCAAAGTAAATAACTTTTTATTTCTCAAGAATCAATATGAATAATCTATTTTTTTGAAATTAAAGAAAGATCTTGTTTGTGTGGCAAAATTCGAAAACATCGAGTTATTTTTTGGTCTTGATTGGCAAAAGAAATTTAAATCGCCAAGTGACTTTTGTTTCGCACTAAAGGTTTGCATTTTTTTCTCTTAAATATGACAATTTCTCATAGGAAATTATTTTCCTAGCATCCATTAATACAAAAGAAAAGCTCGAAATATATCAAATATATGTGTGTCGATACGAAAATTGAATTCGATCGTTGGATTATGAATATTCGAAAAGCTAAAGTAATTCTTTATATAGTTTTCATCGGAATAATAAGATTCATTTTCTTTTCAGTTTGGACAACAATTAAAAACTAATTATTTACTCATGGATAAAGCGATGAATATTTATCGCTCATCAGGTGATACATTTATTTTTGTTTTGAAAGAAAAATAAATGCGAAAACCTCGGATTTAAATCCGAGTGTTATGTGTACTTCAAAAAGTGATAAATCACCAATATCAATAGCTATCGAGTTCGGGTTTTTACCTTTCGATGGTCCTCTTGATTAGCTACAAAGCCAAGGATTTGGAAAACCCCAAAACTACTAGTCATCTGAGACATATCTAGGCAATTTGCTTTCTCGCTGCAGTTTTTGTGCATTTTGAGACCTTTTTCGGGCAATGTTTCGTTAGAAAACTACGATTTGGTTCAAAACTAATATCAGATTCAGCATCAGCATTAAAAACTGAGTCGATTTATATATGTTGTGAATAATTCTGAGAAAAATTTGTTTTTTGAAAAAAAATCCCTGTACCCCTCCTCAGGGATGGTCTGATCAAAAACGACAATTTTTTCGATAACTCAGCCATTTCTTGACGGATCCTTCTCATCTTCGAACTCAACCGAGATATTGATGAGATCATTCTGTGCACAAAATTTCATGGTAATTGGATGAGGCTTTCAAAAGTTATCGTGCCTACGGACGGATGGGCACTGACCGATTCTAGTGTACTCACTTTTTGAGTACACAAAAAGCACATGAAAGACAGATTTTATTTTGTTTTTTTTTCGCTCTAAAGCCTGTGAAAGATCTAATTCCATGTTTACAAAACTTAAACATTTTTTCTAAAGAAATAACTTACAAAACAAAAAAATATCTTTCAAGGCCGTCTCACTACTCGTTTTGAAACACCCATTGAACAGCAGCAACAAGAGAAAGATGATTCATTTAAGAATGATCGTCGAACATCGATTTTGCATAGTCAATACTATGAAGTTCTTTCAAATACATCCAGTAAGATGCTGTTCATTTTTACAAATTTGAATTCTTTTTTTTCCTTTCGATTTCATCCAGCTAATGAAAACAATAATAATAATAGCACCAATAATGATTACGATGAAAATAATGAAAATTCTCCGATTAAATCAGCTAGTTATATGGATGAATTACGTCAAAGACTTGAACGTGTTCTTAATGATACATCACAACCGTGTTCAACTTCATGTAATTCTATTCAGCCAGTATCGAATACGAAGGAAACTGTTCATCGGCCAACATTAATGCCTCCACCGAAATTGAAACAAATAAATTCACAACGTTTAACTTCGACTGAAAATTTTCATAAAATAAATAATCAAATAAAACCTCCCATAACAATTGGTTCTACACCACTACCAAGAAAACAAATACAATTATTTGGAAATTTATCTTATCGTACCATGAATACAAATACTCGTCAGCATCAACAACAAATGAGTAAAAGCTTTATTGTATCATCAAAACGAGAAGGTATGTCTTTTTTTCATAAATGTCATCAGCTTATGATTAAAAACGCTCCCTTCTTTATCGATATAGATGATAGAAGTACTGGTTCATTGTCAACAACATCGAAATCGGATTCACTGAATTTAGAAAGTACAGATTTTTCTGTTCCGTCATCATCTTTTCTTGAAGCTCTTAAGAATACGAACAAAATAACAAATCTATTTAAGCCCAAACCAACCATTAGCCCTAATATAAATGCAACTCGTTCGAAACAATTACTACCATTGAAAAAACCGATCATTGCATCTCAGACAAATATTCAGCCACGATCTCCAGCCCTTACCAAAACTGGACCTTCGCCAATGTCTCTTAAATTGTCAACTTCTATAGCACAAATGCCTAAACAAAATAGACTCATAAACTCATCAGTATCGACTACGTCGTTTAATAATAACAAAACTACAACAAACGCTGTTAATAACAGCAAGGCCGTCCCGCCAATCCCGCCACGCAAATCCAGTATTCCACGTTCAGGTTTGAAACCTCAACCACCGCAACGAAATTCATCATCAAAGCTTCTTCGTACACCGCATGTTAGTCATTTATGAATGATGAATAATTCAAGTCTACTGACTTGATTGCCCCCGTGAAAACAGTAGTTTTTTTGTCTGACGCATAATGAAAAATAAACTTTGCACAGATTTTGATACGTAGTGAGATCATTTTAATTGTTTTTACATTTCATATTGAATTATTATTATTATTATTATTATTGTTATTCGATTTTCTTTTTTTTTGCTTCACAATTATATTTCATTACATATGATTGTGCCTGTACTTTTTACATACATTTCTTTAAATATATATATATTGATCTTCAGTTTGTTGTTGTAAAATTAATTAATACGAAAGAACAGAAAATGAACGTTCCTTTGACACAAACGAATGCACAACGAAACAGAAAACTGTCCCGATATTATATATGGTTATTTTAAAAATATGATCTTTTTCTCTTTAATTCAAAGAATTAAATGATCGGTGATAAATATGACAATCATTGATATAATACTGATAATCCTAACATTGAATTAATAAACATGAATACAAATTATTTGATAGTATTAATGCATGTATCTATTTTTAAAGTGTTTTTATTCATATGTATACGAAATATCAACCTGCTGAAAGTAATTATTACTTATGGAAAGCTAGAATATGCATAATAATAACTGATATTCGTATTAATTTACATTATAATATGATATGAGAGTTAATCACACGCGTATAGTAATGTAGAAAATGAAAATTTGACAATCTTATGAATAAAATAAAATTCTTCAACGATGAAAACAGAAAGATTTTTAATTAAAACATCTATTTTCTAACGTTGAATATATAAATTTTAAAATGTAATCAGGATTACAGATCAGTTACATGTTGTATTTACACCGAACGAGAAAAAAATGTATAGGAAAAAATGTCAATGAAGCTCGCCTTAAAGCTATACTTAGGTAAATAAGTATTGGACTGTGCTGATGAAAGTATAAATGAGTACAAAAATTGAAGGATAAGAAGAAAAAAAAACTGTCTATGTAATAAAACTCAGCTTTGATTTTTCTGTAAATATGTTTAATACACTGTCTAAATCATGAGTGCGTAGGTGTATTTATGTAAATTTAGTCAGCGTTATTAACTTTTTTTTCTCGACTACCTTGGGAAGATTTTCATAATTGTTATATCGATCACAAGATTTTTTTTTCTTTTACCTAAATCAAAAAGCTGTTTGCAAATATAAGGCGTTTCAAATTAATGGGTTATTGAAGTAGCGTCATAATACAATGTTGTTTTTACCAGACTTCTGCTAATCCTGTTTTTACTATTTTTTTGTAATCGGAGTCTTTCACTATAATTTAGAAATAAACGTTCATATTTCTTTTTTATTTTATATAAATTCGCGATAGTTCTTATACAATGATCATCTCATATCGTGATGTATTGAAAATATGGAAAAAGAAAATATGCATGCAATTACTTTTCATTAATATGATATTATACTTGTTTTTGTTATGAAATTTCTTATTTTTGTTTTCATATATACGTATATATTATATTATTGGATATTTTAATATTAAATGTCACCATTGTCGATCAATAATTTGAATAGGTAAGAGTTTCAAATGCGCGCATTCGTAGGAAATATCAGAATGAGAACAGTTCTGTTTAGAAAATTATCTGAATGTCCTTTATTATCCTCATCTTTTGCCAATGACTAGTATAACAAGCTACTAAATACTAATGAAATACTTATTTACAGATTATTTAGTGATTTAATCATCTATAAACCTTCGCAACACTATATACGAATAACAAAGTGAAGTATGAAATATGATCATGAAAACAACAGCAACAACAACAACAGTAATCCTATTTCTTAATTCATTTCTAATCCGTATAATGAGTTTGAAAACACTTGGACACAATAGATGACCTATAAAGAACATCATAATAATGTGAAATGAAACATGTTTGCACTTGTAATCTTTTGCTAGGGACATCTATTGACCAACATAGTTCGTTTCAAATTTCATTTTTTTCTTTGGGCTTCAAACAAAAAATGAAGAGAGAAGCGTGTAACCAGAAGATGATGAAGAGAATCTCAATCCTTTATCTTGAAAGCGTTTTAGTTCTATTTAAAAAGGCGTTAGAACATTCTTCTAGAAACATTGCAAAATGCCATTTTCTGTGCTTTTTCAGATTAGACATATTTTTACTGAAAAATAATCGACAATTGACTTTTCTTTACAGATGTTATAGAAAGACTTGCGCATCTAACATTCTGCAACGTTTTACTCGTTAGACAATTAGAAATCAGATGTTAATTATTAGAATGAAAAAAAAAAAACTTAGATAATCATAATCACTAATAGTTCAATGCCAAATAGACTAGCTGCTCGATGCTTGCTTGCTTGCTTGAAAGATAGGAAGAAATTATATCTACTAATCATCTCAATTGATCATTACAGCATTTTGAATAAATCTTGAATTAAAATTTCAAGACAAATATTCATTATTGATTTTCAAATAAAAAAACGCTTTTCTGACAGTTTACACACTCCTTGTCTTTAAAAGTGTTATTCGTTACTATCGTATAGCTATGGTTTCTTTTTCTTTTGTTAAAATAGTAGTTTTTTTGGCTAACGTCAATAGAGAGAAGTATACTTAAATTTATATTTATCCTATGATGCTAATGACTTTCGAAAAAAAAAAGAACGATTGAGAATCTAAAAAGAAAAACAATGGTATTCAACATTTTGTTTGACAACACTCAAAACGCAGTCAACAAGATAATCACTAGTGAAGAATTATTTCACAACAACATGAACTCGATGTTTGCAAGCTGAAAATTTTTCTAGTGTTTTTATTACTAAACAGAGAGTACAATCATACTTGAATATTACCAACTGTAGATAATAGCACAGTAAGTGTACATAATCAATAATCCTATTCATTCGACAGCTTTCATGAAACGATGCATTACTCTCTAAGAATATACTAAAGCAATTATAACTCTTCATGATCGACTGATATTTATTATATGTCGATGTGAAAGAACGTTGTTTACACTATTTTTTGTGCGCGTGTGTGTGTCACAGAAGCAGATGATAGGTATCATTTCTCTTCAATGCTATATAATGATAAACGATTCTTGTAATTGTTGTCGGCATCCGAACTAGTTTTGCGTACTTTTTAGAACGAAGCTTAGTGTCTTCATGAGTATGTTATGGCCAAGTCTGTTGGTAAAATAGCAAAATTCGACAATGTGATTGTTACTTCTACATTGAAATCTACGTCAAGTATTGTAAATCAGGTTTGTATTTTTTTTAATATACATTTGTACTTTTATTGGTAAATTACTTCTAAGATATTCTCTTTTCAATGTAGAAAATTGTGGGTTCCTCTCGGTTACTTGCCTATAATTTGAAATTTTCTTTGTCAATCATTTCAGCCGTCGTTTTAACCTATAATTGAAATGAATTTCGTTCTCCGATTACAAGAAAGACATCCTGAATGATTTTTATCTTAGGAAGAACTGACAAAAAAATAAACCACTGCTTATAATATACATATCAATGGATGTTGCTGTTGTTGATACACTTACAGCTACTTCAACTTTTTCTCACCAATTTTTGAAATCTTGACGAATAAGTTCTTCTATGATGATAATGAGCTAGTATTGATGTAATATCATACTTGTATGCAGGGTAGAAAATATTTGCTTTATTCAGCATAACGATCTTGTTGTGCGCTACAATGAAGAGTAGGAAACATGCAGACACGTAATCTGATGATAAACGAGATTCGAAATATTGAAAGATCTCGTATTTATTAGTATAAAATAGTTTCGATTATTTCATGTAAGCTGACTGAATTCTTAGAGTCTACTTTCGGTTTTGAACAAATTATATTTTACTATAGCTGCAATCCACCTATAGAACCTTTTAACTTATTTCCCATAGATAAACGCTGTCGACGGAATTAATTTTTTTCTTTCTCTAACCGTTCCAATTAAAATATTATGCTTACTATTTCATTCTCTTGTCCACCAACGAGTTTAGGAATAAGCATATGTTTCAGTGAATTGAAAGAAAACGTTTTTTTTTAGACAGTGCGATTTTTTCGAATTCTTTCTTTTGCTTTTTCTCCTGTATTGTATTGATCAGCATGCATATTATTATGTTCTTATTCATATAGTTTTTCGCTTTATTCGCCTATGAATAATTTAACGCGCCATCATGCCATGTTGTATTATATACTATGAATGAATACGACCACCCATCTATGGTTATTATCTATCAACCCATTCTATTTAACCTATTCAGATTATAAAATTTGGTTTCTATAAAATATTATTATAAACGATTATATTCTTTTTTCTACTAAATTTATCTTTGGTTTTAACTTTCTCAGTTTTTCAAGAAGAAAAATACTTCTCATGGCTGTTTTAAGAATTTTTGAAAAGCTCAGATATTTATTCGAATTGCTTGGTCGTACACGACAAAATGAACCTAGACTGTATCATAGGTTATCTGATACAAAAGATCTTTATGTTTTTTGCAATCATCAAAACATGTCATACTCTTCAGCTCCATCGCAGAATGTGTTTTTTGTAAGTTTCGTATTTATTTTTCTTCCTTTTCGTACACATATGTACATATTCAAGGGTGTATAATAGAATTCAGTTTTCTGGCATTCATTCATTCATTCATTACATATATCTCAATAATTGGATTGAGAGGCAAAAAAAAGCCTTTATATTTTCAAACTTGCTAATTTCCATAATTATTCTAGTAATATATTCTAAGATTTCCATCAATTATTCAAGCATTTATTCTACTCTTTAGTTGAAATATTTAAGCTGTGTGATCATTTTTTTTTGTCGTTTTGTAAAGAAAAATATAAGTCATTGATAATTTCAGTCAATTAAGTTAAGAGTAAAATTATACTTACAAACGATTTATAAAATGATTGCCTCACTTCGATAATATTTAACAAGACGTACATTTGCTGCTAGTAACAAAAATAATACATACGCTTTTTTTCTGTTCTTCTACTAATTCTAATGAGTAAGGTTAGTATAAAGATTTAATATTATAGAAGAAAATATTTTCCGTCGTTTTCATGTGTTCTTGTAATTTCATATTTTATTTTGTTAGAAGATTAGTTCTTTTATCTTTTTTCAATATAATCGCCAATTTTTCTACAAAAACATTTACTATTCTTAGCAAACAATGGCATGACCATTTAGTCTTATGAATAGGCATCTCGAAACTTGAATAGTTACGTCCATGTCAATTAGAATTAAAAGGAAAAATGCTTAACGTTCGAAAAATTTGAGAGTATTTTTTATAGTAGTAACGATAAATATTGAGTGGCACATAAAGAATGAGGCTGTTGGAATTTTTTCTCTTGCTTGAACTTTATCCGACTGATATTTGTTACTAGATGATTCCGTGGTGCATTCTCTTCGAAAAATCGATTAAAAACTTTGTTGCAGAATCTAAAGTTTCAGCACAACATAATAAACTATGAAAAGTGTCAAAATCAACAAACAACTAAACATATTTTGTCCAAGATGCCTATATTCTCTTTAACAAGAGATTTTATGCGTTTTATGGTCTTGAAACAAAATAAGGCTGTTTTTTGTGTACTCAAAAAACAAAAGTGAGTACACTCGAGAATCGGTCAGCGTGCCCGGCCGGTTATACGATAGCTCCTGAAAGGCTGGTCCGATTGTCATGAAATTTTGTACACAGAATGATCTCATCAGTATCTCAATCGAGTTCAAAGATGAGAGGGATCCATCAAGAAATGGCTGAGTTATCGAAAAAAATTGTCATTATTGACCAGGCCATCCCTGAGGAGGGGTACAGGGATTTTTTAAAATTTTTTCTCAGTATTATTCACTGCGTATATAAATCGACTCAGTTTTTGCAGTACACATAACAATCGGATGCAAATCCGATGTTTCCGCATTTATTTCAAAATTCTTATAGATCCAACTATAACACAACTGTATGTTGTTTATCAGAATAAAGAGGAAAATGATCTGTATGCATCAAGTGTAAATAGGCTTTGATTCCTTTATCAGTAGAGCTGAGAAATTGACAAATAAAAAGTGAAACTTTTCATACGTTTAATACTAATTGAAATTTTTAAAATTGCGAGGGGAAAATAGAATTGTACAAGGCCTTTACAATGGATAATTTAATTCGGCTCATTTACAAACGTTTAGAAAATAATCCTTCAAAAATCAATTTGTTAACTTATCCAGTCTTTTTCTGAATTTCTCATGGTATACGACATCCTAAGACTTTTGCGTAAAACTTTTAAACACATTTCTTTTTCTACACAACCAAGCGAAGAACTTTCTAGTAAAAATGATAGTCCGATTAAATTCAAGTTCGAGAGAACATTTTGAAGAAATTGGCGAAGGAATTCTTTTAAGTTTTGCAAACTTTCGTTTAGTGATCATATTTTTTTGATCCATCAAAATGATTATCTGACGGAGTTTAGTGCTGTTGACGAACAATTATGATTTTCTCTGATAAGTTTGATATGAAAATCAATACTTTAGACTGACCTAGTTTTTTTATACTGAAAAAAAAATGACGTATTGATGATGTTTATGGATTATATTATGTACCGCCAAGTAGGTGCCGTATCACACCTGTATTTGTTTGTATTGATTCATCGATAAACATCACCATTGTGTCATTTCGTAGAATAAAACACGGTACACCAGATCGACCAACATCATTGATTTTTGTATTGAGTGCACAGAAGAAAATTTGTAGTTATTGTCCCAATATGATTATTTCGATTTCTAGAAAAATTTGCCACATTAACTGGAAGAATAAATACATTCCGATGTGTTAGATTTCATGTTTTATTTTTCTAAGATAATAAAAATGGAATCTAAGAGATGGTAGACTTACAATCGTATTCGGAAGTATTTTCGAAAACAGAAAAATAATTTGTTTTTGTTGGACTTGTTTTTTAAGGACTCAATAAATATTTTTCCATTGGCATCATCAAAAAAGAAGAACATACGTACTTCTCTCCCAGCTCCAATCAATAATCGTATTACGGGTAATATTCGAGGTCCAACATGGTGGTTATCATTGATGCTATTACTTATATCTGTTGCTGTTGGTTTTCAATTCGGCCTTGTTTTTCTTTGTAATGTTAAACGATGTATAACGGATGATTTATCTTCAGAACAAAATGGTGATGACTTCTATGGTGACCGTCGAGGAAATCTATCATTTATCTCATCGATTAATTTACCTCGTGTATCACAAAAGAAACAATTGATTCTGGTTGCTATAATGACAAGTAAAGATTTTCTAGTAACACGTGCACCAACAGTGATGCGTACATGGGCAAGAAATGTGCCTGGACAAGTCATCTTTTTTTCAAGTGAAGGTTCAACTACAAATGATTCAAATATTAATCTTGTTAGTTTACCATCAGTGACAGACACATATCCACCACAGAAAAAATCTTTTCTTATGATGAAATATATTTATGATCATTATTTAAATAAATTCGAATGGTTCATGCGTGTTGATGACGATGTTTATATAAGAACAGATAATTTAGAAAGATTACTTCGTTCCATTGATAATCGTAAGATCTTTTTTTTCTTCTTTCGAGCAACTAGTGAAAGAAACAGTATTTGCATGTGTTTCATTTTCGTTTAGGTAAACCCTATTACATCGGGCAGCCAGGTATGGGAACAAAAGAAGAATTCGGTAAACTAGCGTTAGGTGAAAATGAAAATTTTTGTATGGGCGGACCTGGTATAATATTGTCTCGTGAAACTTTGGCTCGATTTACTCCAAATATTAAAAAATGTTTGAAAAACTTTTATACTTCACATGAAGATGTTGAACTTGGCCGATGTGTACATAAATATGCAAATACATCATGTACATGGTCGTATGAAATGCAACATATTCTATATAATCATCCGAATAAAACGGAAGGTTATAAAGCACGAAATTTAGTATCAACAGATATTTTACGTGCTGTTAGTCTTCATTCGATAAAAGATGTACGCGTATTTACACGTGTGCATAATTTTGCTCTACAACGACGAATTATTGAACTCGAACAACGTAATATGTTATTACGTCGGCAGACAAAAATTTATGATCAAATTCTTAATATAGAAAATCAAATAAAATTTCAAATAAAAAAACTTTTTCAATTAATACAAAGAACTAAAAACGATCGAATGCAAAAACAATTGAAATTACTATATAAACAACTAAATATGCCTGATCGACATATTGCTGAACAAATTATGGCATTGTACAATAATACATATCGATTGTTTAAAATTGATAATGATCAGCAATTGTCTTCAGGTATGCACTCATATAATAATTTATATAAGCGAATTTTTATTGAACATACTAGATCGTCTACTCTGGAATGCTTTACAAGCATATTTAAATCAAACTGTTCCATCATTGAACGATTTAGCTTTTTCTTTTCTATTCGATTTACTTCATTCAATATCCAACAACCATACTCATACGAAAACATTCGTCAAAGAAAAAACTACTCCTGGCATTTATACATTATTTACTGCTAGTCAATATTCAGCTAATACTGAGTTACCTGTTCGATCGATTGAACCAGCGTATAAACAATGTTTTGATGAAGTCGTTCGGACATATATGGAGGAAGTTAATAAAATTTCAAGAAACATGGGTCGATTTTTGGAATATAAAAAGACTTTATATGGTTATTATAAATATGAGCCACGACATGGCATTAATTATATTCTAGATTTATATCTTATCTATCGAAAATATATGGGTAGAAAAATGTCGGTAAGTTACTTTGAATACAATTGTTTCCTATCGGATTCAAGGTAGTTAACATTTGGAAGAGATACTTTCGTAGTCGTTGAATGATTGAAAATATTTCTATTTGATATTCAAAAATAAATATATATATGAGAATACTTTTTCTACGGCAATAAAATATACTTACCTATTCGATGGTTTCACTTATTTTCAATGCATTTAACTAATTCATCATATTGACCAATATTATCACGTATAAATAAATTTCCACGACAAAAAGAGAAAAGTAATTCTCTTAGAAAAATAATTTCACTTCATCATTTTTTTTTAAAATCTAACCTCAAATCAAATAATTTCCTCATTCAAGATCAAACTAGTTTTTATTTCTATACTTTTTTTTAAATACATTAGACATTTTTCTGTTCGTCTAAAACTACAATCTCAAATTAAGAGCTACCATTGATTATTGTTTGCTCAATTTCTTGCATAAAATAGTTCTCTTCTCAGGTACCCGTGCGGAAACGTGTTTATGCTGTACAAAGATTTCGTCCCCTATATTTTCGTGAACTTCCCTCTTCATATTCAAGTGCAATATTATATCCTGTTGGGGCTGACTCTTCTGATATCGTTAATTTTAATTCACCGGTGATCACCAATACGAATGCAGCTGTAATTTTATCTTCTCCACCTGTTCCTATTAATATGATTGTACCTGTTAGTGGGCGTCTTGCTACTCTTCGACGATTGCTAACAAATTTTGATCATATCGTAATGCGTTCTAATGATCCTGGTCTTCTTAATGTACATCTCTATGTAATCTTAATGGAAACAGCAGAAGATAGTGGTGAACGTATGTCAACATTGGCAGATTTTATAAAAAGATTTGTTCGAAAATATCAATCTTCACGTATTCATTTAGTTGAAATTGAAAGTGGAAATTTCACACGTGGTTACGCACGTTCATACGGTGCATCTCGTTTCAATGATACAGATCTTCTATTTTTTATTGATCTTGATATGGTTTTTACTCGTGATTTATTTCCTCGCATACGTCATCATACAATTTTTAATAAACAAGTCTATTTCCCCATTATATTTAGTCAATATGATCCGAATTATTGGGAATCAGCACAATTCTTATTAAATATCTCTTCGTTTAATCTTCGCGATGATATTGGTTACTGGCGACAATATGGCTTTGGCATGTTGGGCATATATAAAGCTGATTTAGGACAAATTGGTAATTGGAATGTTGAAATAAGCGGATGGGGAAAAGAAGATGTGGAAATTTACGATAAATTAGTACAATGTCCAACTTTAAACGTCTTTCGCACAATCGATAATAGTTTAGTGCATATATTTCATACAAAAGAATGTTCACCAACATTACGTGATGATCAAATGAATATGTGCAAAGGAACTAAATCGATTACATTGGGATCACAACGCATACTTGTACGATATGTTCAAAAACTGATTCAGCTCAATAAAATCTGATAATGATATTCTTTTTTTTCCTTCTTTTTTTTTATCAGCTAAAATTTAATGAATAAGTTAAGAAAAAAGAAAAATTATAATCGTTATTATTATGATATATTTGCATTTCAATTGAATCAATACGATCCGAATTGGTAGTTGTCAAAATTCAATAAGTTTATGATGATCTAATATTTAAAAGAGCTAAGCTAAAAATGAATAATAAAATGAGGTTAAAAAAAGAAGAAGTATTATTGCAAGACATTTACTGTCAACAAGAAGAAGAGATACTTGAGAAACCAATACTCAACGTAAGTTGAAGAAATTCAATCACATTTTTACAATTTTAATGACTACTTCAAATGTTAAGTATTCGGTAATCGTGTGGCTTTTAGTTTAGGCAATTCTTCATTTTTTTATTATCGACTTTAAACTCCAGTGCAAATTATTTCGAAAATAATTTTACTGCCGTATAAAAATGCAAAATATGAGAGATAAACATTTTCAAGTTTATTGGTTGGGCTTCTGTTTTTTCTCGCTTACATACTGCTGAATAAAACGTACAAGTATTCTGAAATGATTACCAACAATGATTTTATTGAGGAAGATATTTGTAAAAGAAATATGACCTCAAGAATATTTTCTAGGTCGCAATTTCTATAAGAGAACACGATTATAATATTCGCATTATTGAACGAGTATAATGGTCTGTAATGTCCTTTGCACGGTAGGCATTTTCTTTATACTTGCACAACACTTCATTTGTAATTATCAATTCTTTTTCGAGGCATAGCCTGTAAAAGAATTGCGTCCGGGGCATCAGTTCTTTTCTTTCTAGACGAATAATGGCGACATATGATGACCTAACTGTACAGGCCACTTTTTTCTTCCCGTCGCTCTTTCAATGTTGCCCTGTAATTCTCTCGCAAGCAAAAATCTACAATACAATTGATTCAAATGTATCAAAAGAGAATGGTTTGTGTTTGGTAAGAGAGAGAGAGAGAGAAAAAAAAGGAGAACGAAAGATTTCTCTATACTTTTCATCTATGAACATCCGTATGACAAAGAACAGAAGTAAATCTCAGAGCGAATTGAACTCACCTATTCATTTGCGTGCGTTCACAAATAAAAATGATTCATAAGATAAGTTTATTTTTCCTTATTGTTACGTTTTTTCAAACAATAAGTACACTACCTCAATATCTTTATAATTATCAAGCGAATTTACTAAAAAACAGTGGTCCTTCCTACCAAGGACAACTAACTGGATTGAACAGTGTAAATCTTGGTAATGCCTATCAAGGTGACTATACATTTAATAGAATAATGCGAACTGTAATTGATTTCTTTTTGTTTTTAATTTCATTTCATTCGTATATCTAGGAATTGGAGTGGGTTCGAATTATAATTCATTTACACCGCTTCAAAATCGTCCCAATAGTGATATTATTTTACCAATCAATGATAATAATGGCTTTCATACAAATAAAAATCTTATAAATCCGCAACAACAACAACAACAACAACCGAATAAAAACTATTTTTACCACAACACCAACAATGCTTGGCAAAAAATAAATGCAAATAATCCTTATAATAAACCTTACAATCGTTATTCACCAGGTAGTCAAGGATGGTATGCAACTGGTGGAAACTATTTGAAAAACAATGAACAATCTATTGCTACCTATCCTTCACTTTTGATGATAAGTATTTTGATTCTAGCTTTTTGTAAATAATGCAATCGATTGAATGCTGTTTGATTAGTTTATCTTTTTTATAATATCCAACCGAGTAAAACTCTATTAAATAAATTAGACTTTTAAAAATCTAAAATAGTGTATTAGTCAAATTAAGTTTTATGATGTCAATTTGTCATTCAAAATGCCGTATTTTTTTTCTGTATATTTTTGTAATGGCGACATCATGACTCAAAAAATTGTGCAACTGTTTCTCTGTTTACAACGAATGCAAAGAATCATTAGATGGATTGGTTAGATTATTTTACACCAGTGAATTTTACATCAACAAAACTAATAGATGATAATGCACCTGATGAAAGTTGTTATCTTATACGAGATGATTGCAATGATGAAAAAGTTAATAAAGCCAAATGGGCATGGAATATAAGTCAACAAATGACAAAAGAATATTATACTGAATTAGGTCGCACATTTCAAGTTGATTTATCTAATCAACGTTTCTTTGTCGTGCACGAACCTTGCATAGATAAGATGGAAAAAAAGCCTATGGCTTTGTTAATTTTTTATCACGGGCTTAATTCATGTGCTTGGTATTGTGCACTTGTGCGAACTGGTTGGTTACAACTGTCAATGAAATATAGCTTTTTAGTCGTTTTTGGTCAAGGACAAGGTACTTTCAATGAACATGGACCTCAACGTAATAAATATGGTCATCTTGGTTTTGGTGATTTATATTGGGAAATAGAACAGCCTAAAGACGATATTGATTATCTTGACTATTTATTAAACTACATGAAGAATAAATATAGTGACCAGTTGGATATAAATCGTATCTATTTTATGGGTTATTCCAATGGAGGTTTATTTAGTTCAAATGTTGCTGTACATTATGGTGGAGAAACATTTGCGGCTCTTTGTAATCATTGTGGTGGCTTTGGTGGTCAATATAATGAGGATAAAATGTTACAACCTCGAAACATTATTACTCCATTACCGATTTATATACTAACAGGTTCTAAAGATGCGTATAAAGAAAGTTGCCTGAAAGCAAAGAGTCTATTTGAAACGGCACATTGTCCGGTAACCATTGATATATTAGAAAATAGAGGACATTTCTATTATAGTGACAAAGAAGAATTCATTTGGACTGAATTTTTTCTTAAAAATGAACGTTCTGAAAGTACTCTCAACTAATTGAATTCATGTTATCTATGATGAAACAACCATACTTTTTGTTGAATGATATTCCTGAATCAAGAATTACGAAATAAACTTTCTTTAAAAACCAGATAACAATTCTTTTTAATGAAATTCACTATCTACAGGAATCCGAACAAAAGATACGAAAAGATAGTAGAGTATCTTTCAGTTCACTTGATGATTGTTTCAACTTCAGAGCTTTCTGTGCATTCTCTAGTCAGAATAATAATAATAATAATAGAATTGTATTCACATGCATCTAAGATTAATTTGCTACTTTGGAAGATCAATGTGAATTAAAATTTTTAATTCGTAGAAATATCGAGACTAGAATTAAAAAAAAATCAAAATCAACAAATTGCTCAATAATAAGTAAAAACTATCGTATAATAAAAGAATGTGTTTGTCGAAGGTTAGGATTACTGATTGATCGATTAAACAGATTTTGATGTGATAAAAATGATTTGTATTATTCAAAATTCTAGAGAGCAGACCAATAGATTGCTGATATGTTTTGATAATCTATTGATTGATGTATCAGATTCACTTTCTGTTAGTAATAACTTCTATAAGCTCAGTATAACTTTCCTTTATAACAAAGTTCTTGGCCAACGTGTACACAAACTGTTAAAACTAGTTAGACTTCCAAAAGTATTTTCGTCTAATGACTTCAGTCGAAAATATAAACAATCGAGAGACTATCGATTAATGCATCCGGCATAGCTTCGGTAACGAAATATCATCTAAAACTAGTCGAATGTCTACAATGCAGCTAATTGTCATTTAACGACAATTAATATTAATTCTGTAGTATAAATCTTGCAAGAAATGTGATGGGCGAATTGAATGGTGAATTCAGATATTGTTCTCCTCATCCTCATACAACTCATTACTATTTATTCAACATCTGATTACAAGGAAACAGTGATGTAACTTTTCTAGTTACAGATGACCTCTAGAGGAATGCATTTTGATTGGCGAAATGCACATCAATCAATCAATGAAGAACGCCACTGGCCGCATCTTTTGTTCACAAATTGATTTTAACGCTGAATAATGTGTGATCACCACACACAAAGACATTGATTTCATATCTATATATTGTAAAATTTTTAGATCGATGTTACTTCAATTATATTCGTTTAGTAAACTGACTACATAGAACGATTATTACATGGTTAGCACACGCAGCAGTCACCCAAATGGTGATCAAAATACAAATGAATCTTATAAAGATCGACATATAAAAGTATTTAGATCTATATCTATGTTCTGAATTTAATTTCAACTGAGTATTTATTGTAGAAAGTTGTTAATTATGAACAAGACTCATCAAACGATTCTTTTGGAAATTCCAAAGCACCATCACGTACTCGTGTAGGAAATAAAATTCAATTGAATTTATATTGAAAATAATTTTTTTTCCAATTTCAGCGTATTTTAAGAAAACGAACAGTTCCAAACTATCGAAATGCATTTGATTATATGGACGAAGAGTAAGAAAATTTTCTCGAAATTTAATTAAAAAACCATGTTTACTTTCTTAGTGATGATCATGACGAACCTATTGGACGTCGTCGACGTCGAGATACGCGTCGCAATGGTAAGACACAAATACTAATCGTTACGTTGTTCTAGCCATTATGCTTGTTTGTACTATGACAGCTCGGACATTAATTGATAGATCCAATAGTGGTTCGCCAACTACCGGTCGATTTCCGAAGAAAGCTCGATCAGTAAGTTCTTGAAAATCAAGATGTCATTTTATTTTGTTTTGTTTGTCTGAAGTCTAATTTAAGTATGTATGATCGTGTGAAAAATCGTCGAAAATCCATGGATCCTGACGTATATTCTGAAGAACGTGAAGAAAATGATAATAATGAACAACAACAAGAAGAACATGATCAAAATAATGAAAATGATAATGAAAGAAAAACAAACAATAATAATAAGAATAATGAGCAAACTCATCAAAATGGCGATGGTGATACAACGGAAGACAATACTATGGATGTTTTACATCACGACGAAGAAGACGAGGACGAAGGCGAAGAAGAGGAAGAAGAAGAAGAAGAAGAAAATAATCAACAAAAAGCAAAATATTCTTTGAGAGAACGAAAACCACCGATTCAAAAATTTCCTTTATATGGTAATTTCGTTTGTAAACTCAATAGATATCTTTTGAAACTATTCTCTTCAATGAATTCTACGTTTTTAAACAACCAGATTAGTAGAAGCTTCTAGAATTCTGCAATCGCTAGTAAACTCAATTTTCCATATTTGATGGTATTATTTTGCGTATCTACAATCGAATTGAACGCTGTATATAATTTTTCTATTCAGGTATCATTTTGCATCGACGAGGAAATTTTTTTCTTGCAATTAATATTTCCTAAGATTGATACTAATGGGATATAGAGGTATTTGATCAAGAGATAAGACAAATATTGAATATTTTCGCTTTTATTAAATCTCAAGTTTAGATCACGCCATGTTATTCTATACTTATAAACAGTTGCGTTTCATAGCATACTAATGATAAGGTTTTCATCGAGAATTGGAAGAGTCTCTCGTAAAGATCTTTTTTTCTAATTCATTTTGTTTTTATCAAAATAGAACAACCAAGACCAAGACGAAAAACGATATACTATGATGATGATGATGAACGACCCACGGGATCTCGTCGATCAAGACGACAAAGGTATGATTATTTAGAAGAAACCCAAAGAATTGGTAGTAACACTTGTGCAACTAATAGAAAATTTCACAAAAAAAATCTATTTTTCTATGTCTGCTGACGAGGGCGTATATGATTCTGTAGTTCTATTATATTTTGTTATTTTTCAATGGGTAGAACAGTGTCCAGATTTCGATTGATATCCTGTTTCTACATTGAACTCTTGATCGGTCTATATTGTTTCTTCTATAGCAGCCTAGTTCCACCTCCCGGGACCGTTAGATGATGGTTCAATTATTGAATATGGATTGAAAACTGGAGCATAGCGCCAAACCACTTGTTATACATCGAAATAGTTGCCAGCGTAGCATTGTTTGTGTGAATTTTTTCGATACGCTCTTATAGTACTACTACGAATTTCAAAATGTTTGTAGTTTATTTATTGGAACGACAATTTCTGTTTTTTAGACGGCGTGTTTCTGCTCATGCTTCAAGTTCGTCTACATCAGATTCATCATCAGATAGTGAAGGAAATGGACCTTTAACTAACGGCGATCTTGATTCTCGGCCTGAACGCACTGCGCGTTTAGCTAAAAGCACTGCATTAAAACGAATGAGGTAATAGCGATCGTTATATATTTTTTGTCTATTGTTTTCTAAACGATTTATTATGTAGATGTCTACCAACAAATCTAGATATACTTGGTGTTTATACTAATTCTAAAAAACCAAGTACTAGAACATCGAATGGTGGTGCCGGCAGTGGTATTGGTGCATTGAATATCGATTTAAATAGTAAAGGTCGACGCACAAATAATAATGCTGTGTCATTAGCTGATGCTGAATCAATTGAAATCGATCGAACGGTTTGTATTTTAAAATAAATAATTTTCGTTGGAAAATGTTTTAACCGTATTTCAGATTACTTTTGATGATATTGGTGGCCTTGATTCAATAATTTGTTCGTTAAAAGAAATGATTGTTCTTCCACTAGTCTATCCAGAAGTATTTCAACATTATAAAATAAAACCACCACGTATGATAGATCAATATTTCAATTTTATTTTTTGAATGAAAAAGTTTCTTTTTTTCTGTGTAGGCGGTGTTCTTTTCTATGGTCCACCGGGTACTGGCAAAACACTAGTCGCAAGAGCACTTGTCAATGAATGTTCATCACCTGATCGTCGTATATCATTTTTTATGCGTAAAGGTGCTGATTGTTTGTGTAAATATGTCGGTGAAAGTGAAAGACAATTACGTGTTCTATTTGAACAAGCTTATCAACAACGGCCATCAATCATATTTTTCGATGAAATCGATGGTCTAGCACCAGTACGTTCAGCTCGACAAGATCAAATTCATGCATCGATCGTTTCAACATTACTTGCACTGATGGATGGTCTTGATAATCGTGGTGAAGTTGTTGTTATTGGAGCAACAAATCGTTTGGATGCTATTGATCCAGCATTGAGACGACCAGGACGATTCGATAGGGAATTTCGTTTTTCTTTACCAACGCTTGACGTAATTCATATTTTGATAAATGCATTGATTTCGAAAAGAAAAATATAATTTTTTTGATTTAGGCAAGAAAGCAAATTTTAAAAATTCATATGAAAGAATGGGAATCAAAACCACATGAGGGCTTTATCGATGAATTGGCTATTAGAACTGCAAGTAAGATATCGATAGATGCATTTTTCAAAGCGAAAAAACGAATATTTATTTTCTTCTGGTAGGTTTTTGTGGTGCTGATTTAAAAAGTCTATGTCAAGAAGCATTTCTATCAGCATTACGTCGACGTTTTCCACAGATTTATAATTCACGACAAAAATATAAAATTGATCCGCGTTCATTACATTTATCACGTGGAGATTTTTATTCAGCATTGCATCGTATTGTACCTGCATCTCATCGTGGTTGTCAACATCCTGTTGGTCGTCCATTGGATATACATTTAATGCCATTATTAAGCGAACAACTTGATAAATGTTTAAATCAATTAAATGAATTATTTTTCAAACGTACAATTCTAAGTAAAAATTCAAATTCAATGCCATTTCAAAGTATTAGCGATGACCTAACATCGACATCAGCATTATTGAAGAAGGCTTCATCATTGGGTTTGACAACATCGTTTGCATCAAGTTCACATCGAAGTGCAACATTTACAATGAAAAGTACATCTGACAATGGTTTATGTCGATTTTTCGCACCAGCTGTTGTTCAACAACTTGACTGTGCATTTTTCATATTTGAACTTGGTTATCTTCATGCTCAAACATCACGTACACCTGAAGAAGCTTGTGCTCAGCTGTTTACGGAAGCACGCCGAAGCGCTCCAGCTATTATCTATGTACCAGATATTGATAATCTTTGGCCTAAATTATCTGAATCTGTACAATATATGTTTGTCTCTAATGTACGGACATTACCACCAAACTTACCCATATTAATTTTAATTGCACTTGAAACAGATTCATTTGATGATATTCATCCAGATGTAAGTTTTGATTTTTTTCTTCTTTTGAACTAATACGATTAAGAGTATACGCTAATAAGTTCCATTCAACTTTTCGTACTTTTCTAAAGAAGAACTACAGTTCTGCTTCTGTAGTGACTGGTGGCATTGTCAAACCACAGTGCTCGTCAGTTATTGAAAACAATCCTTTAGATCTATGAGACTTTTTAAAGCTCGCTATGTGTATTGTTTCAGATTTGTAATCAGTGGACAGCAAATTGATAGATTTCAAAGAGAGTTAGAAATATGACGTTGGCTTTCACTCAGTTATGATCATTAGATAAAGTTTAATAGACGAAAATTTAAGGAATTGGGAGCTACTGAATTACTGTTTAAGAATTTGGTCACACGTTATCTAAATAAAAAGAATACTGTTGATTGTCTTTAAGAAGAAACTGTGGGGTGCGAGCTTTTTGATTCTATGGTAGACATTATTCATTTCATGCTAAAATTTATATTGCATTCGGGTTCAAACAGTTTCCGCTATTTTTGATTCTTTTGTTCTATGAAAATATTTCTTCTCTAGATAAGTCAGATTATTTCTCCAAAATCAACATTCACATTATCAGTACCAAATTCTCAAGATCGCTATGCTTTCTTTGCTCCACTATTCCACGAAGAAATGTTTTCATCTTTAACTACAACAGAAACTGCCAAAGGTAAATAAATCATAGTCAAATTTGATTTTGTTAATATTACCATGTTTTCTCAGAGCCAATTCAAGAAGTCTTGGAACTCGCTGAGCCAGCACCAGTCTCTCTTGCACGTACTCAACAAGAATTAGAACGTTTACAGTTACGTGAGGAAGCAACAATGACTGAACTTCGTGTTTTTCTTCGCGATATGTTAAAAGTCCTATTGCGTGATAAACGTTTTACATACTTTTCACGACCAATCGATGTTGAAGATGTGCCAGATTATTATGATGTTATCGAAAGTCCAATGACATTTTCAATGATGCTCGAGAAAGTTGATAAGCATGGTTATTCATCTGTGAAACAGTTTACACAAGATATTGATTTGATTGTTTCAAATGCTTTACTCTACAATCCAGATCATACAACACAAGGTAAAGAATTGTTTTAAATTCGAAAAGAAAAAAACGAGTTAATTTTATTCAATATTAGGACGATTAATTCGCCATCGAGCTTGTGAATTACGTGATGTTTGTCAATTTCATATTAATGCTGAACTTGATATGGACTTTGAATTACTATGTCAACAAGTTACGGAAGCACGAAAACAACGAGGTTTGTTATAAGATATAATTGTTTTCTTTTCGGTTAATTTTCGTTTTTCTTCATATAGGTGATGATCCGAGAGCATCTCTTCCTGATTATGTATTTACTGACCAAGCAGTTTCAGCAGCAGCAGCAGCAGCAAGTGATATTAATAATCAAGATAATGAAAATGCTTCACAAAATGATACGGAACATCAAATGGATTTAACAAATAAAACTTTAAATAATACAACTGATCAATCTGATGCGCCATTAGATACTTCAACGATATCAACAAGAAACTCATCGAGAAGAAGCAAAAGTAATGTTAGTCAACGTTCAACATTAACAAGAAAACAAGCCAAAGAAAAAGAATTAGTTAATGGACACAATGAAGTAAGCATATATTACGACGATTAGATATAATGGATTGATGAGAAAGTTTCTAGGCTGATCAAATACGATAGGGCTGAGAGGAGAATTTCTTATTGTAAAAGAGTGTGTACAGAAAAATATGCAATTAAGAGTTCGAAGGAAATTTTCGATAAATTTGTTTGGATTGAAATCGAAAACGAAATCTTAGAAATATTTTCCTACCGCAGTTCATTGACAAAAATCTACTTTATGCCTCCTGAAAGCACGTGTAAACTATTGTTTTTCTAATGATTCAATTCATGTAAAAGCAAAGGCTTCGTGAAGTTAGTAAAATTCTATGTACTTGGTGTATTCGAACCCATTGCTCGAGACTTCAAAGTTTCCATCACTGATTTCCAATGATGGATATGAAATATAATCTTTGACTCATTTCAATTACCTTCAACAAGAACTAAATATCGTTCACAAAATAAAATTCTTAATATGTAATTTTGTTTTAGGAAACTGTTCTCTCGGCTGAAGATGCAGGATCAGCACCAGCTACAACTGAAGCATCAACAAAACCACCAACGCCAACACACAATACGACTGAGTCCATCGCGACAGCAACAAATCAATCGTCAAGTTCATCATCACCTTCACTAGAACACTCTAATAAAAAACGTGTTAAACGAACAGTATCTTCTACTTCCTTATCACCATCGAAATTGACATCCGTAGATGATACGTCAACAGATACAAAAGCTAAACGACAACGAACTGAAGAACCATCTGTTAAAGTATATTTTGTTTCGAACTTGTGTTTCTTTTTAATCGATTTATTTCGTTTTACTAGACTATTGAATCAGCACCAGTCAATATTGAACAAAATGAAATTTCAAGGAAACAAGTTGATATTGAACGTCTTGAATCAAATTTAAATTATCTTGTTGAACATACAAATAATTATGCTGTCGAAAAATTAAGTCAAGTTTGGTTTGAATTATTCGATATAATCGAATCATGTCGATCGCTGCCATCAGATGAATTAATCTTTGAAGTATTTATTTATTTATTTATTTATAAAATTTAATTTATTTTCTTCATTCGTCTTCTTTTTTTCTTTAGAAGCTCGAAAGAAATCTTCGTTCAATTCTGTAATCTATCAATTTGCATTCACTATTTATATCTAGTCTTACCATTTCGCACATTCTTGAAAATCAAATGAACATGAATAACTCAGGAAAAGCGACTTATGGTTTCTTTTGTATATCTCAGGGAGGAAAGAGTATAACGTTCATTTAGTTTTTTCCCCTTTGCGACTATTTTTCTTTCTTATCCTTAAATCTTCATTTAATCGATATTTTTGGTAATAACAAAAACAAGAGAAATCCTAAACGAATTTATTTAGATTCTGTAGCACTCAGATTAGATGCTATTTTGTCATTTTTTTCCTTTCTGTGCTTATGATATATTATATTTGTGTTGTGTATCATGTATTTTCATGTGTTCATTTTTTTCTTTGTAAAAAATAGATTTTTTTTGGTTCTTTTTCTTTTGTCTTTATCTCTTGTATGGAAATAAAATAAAAACCAGCAAGTATTTAGAGGAATATTAAATTAGACAAAAAAACGTGAAGGAAGAACTTCATTGAGTAAATAAAGAATTCAATTTCTTTTCTAGATGTCAGTAGTAATTTCGAAGAGTAAAATCGTTCAAGTGTGTAATGTATCAACTTCATGTCAAAAAGATCAATTAAAATCGCTGTTTAACTTTATTGGGACGGTCAAAGAAATTCAACTATATCCAGAAAGGTAACACGAAGTGTTTCAATTATTGCTTCAGTTTTTTTTATTCGAAACTCAACGCCAGGCAATCGTTTTTCCATTGTAAAGAATTTAGCATTTACTATAGATTTTTATCGCTAACACGAGATGCATAAATCTAATACAGAAGGTGTGGCAAAAAAGTCATTCGGAAAGTTTACATGAATATCCATTTCATGCATAGTTCAAGAATTTACAGTGACATTTAAAAATTATTATAATATATTTCTTGTATCGGGTATTCATGTAGGCTTTCGAAACGGACTTTTGATAGATAGTGTAGAAACAAGACAATGCACCAATAGATATGGGAGACGGTCACTTGCTCGCAGGACAATTGCTCGTATATACGCTTGCTCGCGCTACTAGTCACAGCGAGCAACTGACCTAGACCCCAATAGATATGAATATGTATGTTATGTTGTTTTATACTTTAGGAAAATGACGTTTATATGTGCGGCATGGCTTTTTTGGAAAACCAAAGGTTTGAATAAGTCTAAAAAGCGCAATGATTATGTGTCTCTAAGATTAAGAAATTAGTTTTTCAATAGTATACAAAGATTTTTCCTAAAATTTTCATCACTTTATATTTCTATCGACTATCGACTAGCTGTTTAATTGCTATTCTTCTCATTATAGTAAACTGGTGACGTAGCGGTTAACTTAAAATGTAAACTATCTTTAGACTTGAGATTATTTTTGATGATCTATGAAGTATTATGGAAAAACAAATATCATCACTGTTTTGTTTTAGTTGATCCGTCAAATCTTCCCATACGATATTGAAATTTGTTCAATACAATTTGTACATCGGGGTAAAGTTGCATGAGATTTTTTTATTTCACTGGATGTATATGAAATAATGGTCATCACTTTTAAGAATTTCGTTATTTCATGCTAGTTCTAAAAAGTCGACTTTAAAAACTAAAAATCCTTTTATCTTCTAGCGACACTTTAACAGCTTCGATCAATGGTAAAGTTGGCTACATAAAATTCGATCATCTTGATAGTGTTCATGGAGCATTAAATATGACAAATATCATATTTATTGATAAGCCATTAATTGTAACTCAAGTATTCATTAATGAAATACCTCATGAAACTGATGCTATGATTTATTGTGCACCACTAGATCCAAATATAAGACTACTTAGTGGCGGTCCAACATGGCCAAGTACAGTTATCAATCGATTGGTTGGTCAACCACCAAATGCTATTATTGAAACAATTGATCCTGAATTAAGTGATCGATATTTACCACCATATCCACCATTACAAGGAATACTTGATATTTCAAAAGTTGAAGAAATTCGACGAACAGTTTACTTATCTAATTTAGATAAAGATGTAAGTAAAATGATAATAAACAAATTTATATATAGATGTCAGTGCGTCATGTGAGATTCGCTTAGATTACATTATAGTCCATTTCGAAGCGACCGACATATTAGAGTAGAGCGAAAGGAACATGAAACTTCGTTTTCAACCAAATGCAATATCTGATCATAAGCATATGATACAAAACAAATTCAACAAAAAGTGAATAAAGCGAGTCTCTGATGCGGTAAAGGTCACAGTCTCTGTTGATTTTTTTCACTTATAGCCGAAAGATTTGTTTCATTGAAAGTAAAATTGCATGATTGATGTTCCCTGAAGGATTTTACCTTAGGTAGTGTCAGATCAATGCAAGCGAATCGTAGAAGGGTTGCTAACGTATTGAAGTACATATATTTGACTTGTTTACTTTTGTATTAGATTAGTTTGGAAGTGTTACATGAATTTATTTCACAAATTGGTGAAATTCGATATATTCGTGCTGCATATACTGACGAAAATGCTGAAACGCGGAGTGCTTATGTGGAATTTAGTGAACAACCATCGATTCCTAAAGTACTTTCCATTAATGGCTTTCAATTTTTTAATCGACCATTATTGTAAGTAGAATTCTATGTTAATAAAGTTTTTCATTTTTAATTTTGAATAGTGTAAATCATACAAGCACACATATCATCAAACCAGCGATTGTACGAGATGTACGAAGTGGTACGTAAATCAAATAACCGCTTGCTAAAATATTTTAATTTTCTATCGGATTATTTAGATGATGAAGAGACGAAATTGAATCAATCACACTCTCGAAGGTATGTTTTACATTTTAAGTCTCTAACAATTATTTAAAAGAAACTCCTTTTTTTTAGTACATCGCGGCGTCAAGATAACGGAACACAAGATGAAAGTGATGATGGCCATCATTCATCATCGAAATCAAAATCTCGTAAGAAGTCTTCTAAAGCGAAACATTCATCGAATTCTCGATCAAAGTTTGTATTTACAATTATTAAAATTAAGGATAATAATGTTTGTTTTTTCTTCATTAGATCAAGAAAACATAGTCGATCACGTGATCGAAAAAATCGTTCACGATCCAATGATCATTATCGACGAAACAAACATTAACGTCCGAAACAATGTCATCATCGTAATGAAAGCTGAAAGTTTAAAAACTCGTGCGAATAAATATATATGTTTGTGTATGACGTTTATAACAGAATAAACTAGAAAAGCTTTCTTCTTGTTTTATTTGTTTATTTTCTGACGAAAAACAAATCCTATAAATTCGAAAAATTACTTTCCGGAAATATCTATCTGATTTTTATTCTATCAAAGAATTCAATTCTATAAGTATCATATTCGAAATTTAAACAAAAATTCATTGAATACAGAATTTTTTTTACAATGGTTATTTGTTATGATAATCTAGAGATCGGCTAAATCTAATAAACTTTGGTTGCTGTAGATTGCGTGTTAATTACCCTTCGTTAGCATTTACGCATACGTGAAGCATCAAAATTGTTCAATACCATCATCTGAATCATCATATATAATTTCGCATCTATGATAAAGTTGTTCATCTCTGTCACTGCTAGATGAAATTTGCCAGATTTTGACATCGCTATAAAGACTTATGCTTATCAATCATTTGTTTTAATATTTTATGTTTTCTTATCTTTATAATAGATTGAAATAAAGTTCAATTATCTTCTCAGACAAAAATTTGCCTTATAATGATAATAGCAACGATGAATTTACTATCGATGTTTATAAATCCGATAAAAAACGATATTTCAAAAACGACGATCGAAGGGATACATGAAGATAAATCAAGCGTATGTATGCTGTTGCTGTTGTCTGTTAATTTGTTTTCACGAATGTTATATCACCATTGATTGTTTTATGTTGATTTTGCACAAAAATAAATTTTCAGTGACTATTCATCTATGTATGCATGCTTTACCTTTTAGATACGCAATGATCTATTGTTCTCATGTCACTCGATTATCGATTCACAATCTTTCAAAACGGTTTGTTGTTAACCTTTCCAAACAACAATGGCGATGTTTTAGCGAAATAGACACGTCACCATCTAGTGTGATGAGAAATGCTCAAGTTCAAACCATTTATTCAGAGACAATGCAGATTCCCAAGCAAGGTAGATTAGAAGTTCGATGTCCATTTAATCTCTATGTGACACCAATACATCCGAAAGATTTTCCAAGACTTGATAAAGCTTTTTTCACAATATATGGTATGAATAGGATATTAAACGAAGCAAATCTTTTTTTTTTGAAGTAAAACGTTGGGTTTAGGTGATAGTGATTTTCAATTTTCAAAAGACAAATGGAATAAATTATTTAAATTTTCTACTGTGTTCAATTCTGATGATCGAACACTTCGTGTTATGGGTAATTTCACTGAATCAGGTGAAAAACAGTTAAGTGAACTAGCACATACATTAGAAGTATTTTGTCAAATTCCTCCAAATTATGGTAGATAAATTATTGTTTTCGTACGAATAAATTTTTGATATTTATTTAATTAGAAATTGATATCAATTGTATGGATAATAATAATGTTAATGTTGAACATTTACAAAGTCCTCGTGTTCACGTAACCAAATTTGTTGATAAAAATCGGCGAAAATTATAGCTGTATTTATTTTTCAGATTCAAACAAAGCGAGGCGAATGTTCACTGAGGAATATAGTTGTAAGTCTCCGAATTGAACTCATTTTGTATTGAAGATAATCATTTTTGTTTTGAATGAATAGGCAGACAGTATTGTTGTACACAGCCAAACAGGCAACATAACTTGCTCAGGTTCATTGCATGGAACAATCGATTTAAGCACAGAAAGAGATGGTGTAATGAAACGAAAAAAAACAGAACTATCTAGATAAAAATATATCTCTTATTATTTACTATTTAAATAGATAATACAGGGATCGAAATTGCAAGGTCCTTTTGTTAGATTAAAAGTTGAGAATTCAGATATTCGCGTCAACAGTATTGATTCTGAACATTTTTTTATTCGTGGACAACATGGAAATTTTCGTTTTGGAAAGTTACATGGCCATGGAATAAGTATATCAATAATATTAGATTATTTTTTTTCTACGAATAATTTATATTTAGTTAATTTAAATCGAGGCTCAATAAAAATAAGTGAGTGATCACATTCTTAATTGTAAATGGAAATAATTTTATGAATTTAAGAATCAATCGATGGTGATGTTAGTCTTCAATGTGAAAAAGGTGATGTGCATGCCTTCTTTTTCTCTACTGATTTATCAACAATAAGGGCTAAAGAAGGTTTAGTTAAAACTTTGATTATTTTTTCTCTAAACATTAGCTTTATTCAGGTGACGTTCATTTGGGTGTTGTTGACACTGCAAATGTTCGATTAAATCTTGTTGGTAAACGTGTTCAAGTAGAAGACGCAGCTACTGAACATTTCCACAGGAAAACAGTTACAAAAGCAGGCATTGTTCAAGTCAATGGTTTCATATCAGACGAATCTGCTAGCGCCTCGATTGATGTTAGCGCATCAAATGGTACTGTTCAGCTCCATGTACGAGATTGGTTTTCAACATTGAAACTTGATCGACATGTTGATCAATAAATTTTTATTTTTATTTTTATTTTCATTAATTAATCTGAGTAAAATTTTTGCCAAAGTTTATTGTCGGTTTTAGATTAAAGTTTTAAAGTTCAAAAAAAAATTAATCAAATATGTTGGGTGGACCAAGTACAGATGATGCAGAGATGAGCAAACGAATGGCTGATTTGCAAGTTAAATCAAGTTTTATTCAATTTATTATCTCAGTTGGACTTATTAATTTAGGTTAAATAATTTGCATAGAACTAAAGAATAAAAATATGCATTTTTTTGTATTCTTTTAGCTCCATATGTTATTGAAGCAGTCATGGGCGAAAAAGTTCGTTGAACGCATCGATTATGATTTTGTTCGTGTGTTTTTTTAAATGAAAACATAAATAAAGAAAAGAAAAAAAGAAGAGAAAAAAATAGATCTCATCGTGTGCTTTTTTTACCTTTAAATTTAGATGTCTCTATCAAAAGTACCAGTACATAAATGCTTAGAAAAACTTCAATGGCTTTTAGGTGTTTGGCGTTCGGAATCAGCTACAATTCAACTTGAAGGAAAATCGTTTGCTTACTTAAGTGAATTGAAATGTGAACATGTTGGTCAACCGAATTTTATTCTTCATATCAATGCATTTAACGTTCAACCATTACCAAATAGTGATCCATTATCGACATGGTCAAATGCAAAGGAATTAAAACCATTTCATCGTGAAATGGGTTTTCTACGTGTCAATCCAAACGATGAAGCATCTACAAATATTTCATATTTAAATGTACAAAATGTTGGCTTAGCTAATGTTGAAGAAGGAGATATTAATGGACAAAGTTTTGTTGTTAAAACTCAATCTATTGGACGTTCATGTTTCAATAAAGATCCAAGCGTTCGATTACTTCGCCGGGAATATTTATTAGATGAAAAAGATTCAAATATACTTTCTGTTAAAGTTTTTATGAGTACAAGTCGTATGGATGACAACGAACAGCCATTTGAACATTTAACAATACAATATCGAAAAGTATCAAATGAATAAGTAATAATAGACATTGAACTGATTCGTTTTCATTGATTCTTTCATTTGAGTATTTATATTATTTTAATTAATAGTCCATAATACATTGAAAAGAAGTAAATATACAGAAACTTTCTAGACATAAAATGAAAGATGAAAATCTATTCATTGTATTGCAAATAGAAGTTACATCCCTTGTTTCCAAATAGGTTTGGTCATTATTGAAATAATAACACTTGTTTTCGGATCAAAGCTATTGCAAATAGTCTGCGTAAAATTTATTTTGAGTGTTTTTCATCAAGGACGTGAAAAATTTTAGATATTATTCTGTTTAATGTAAATTATTTTTTGTTTTTTTGCGTATTGAAAAAATTTCTTATTGTTCTAGGGCAGGTATCTATCGAAACATTATACTATCACACACAGCTATTTTCAACCACAATACTTTGTATGGCCGAATGAAAAACAGATTGACGGATAGAAAAATAAAACGTTTCGCTCTATCATGATGACTATAGTAAAAAAAATTGCTTTTTTTTAATACATCATGGCTGAGATAAAATCCAAGGGTTTTTTCTTTGCTTAAAAGTAAAAATAACTGTTTGTAACGTAACATATTACTAATGCCCTTCATATTGATTATTGGTTTTGTCTATTTATATGAAATATGAAAGTCTTTACGTCGACATTGAATCAATCATCTATCGAAATAATTGACTTTAATGAGTGTATATACCTATGCAAATCTTTTCTGCAGATCCCTTTTTTACTGCGTGAATAATCATTGAAAATTGTGTAAAAGACAGCTTCCCGTCATGAAAAATTTGTTTTCTGCCAGTAGCATGGCCTTGAAAATCGACAAGCAAACGATTAAGAAATATTTATTAAATAAAAAACTGTAGTAAATCTATCACCGTAGCTGGTGCATACTGTCTATTTTCATCTTCAATAACTCGGGTTATCATCATTCTTAAATTATTATATTATCTGTTGTCTAATCTGAACATTGTTTTTTTTTATCTATGTTTGTATTATTAAAGAGTGATGCCTTGTATCATTCATACTTTCTAATTTCTAAAGCTTCTCAATGCTTATCCACATTGTTTTGCATTAATTTTACTTGTTCTAACATAGGAGGGCAAAGTTTATAGCAATATAAGAGAACATTTTTCTTTTTCTCCTTTGTACGTTGTTATGATGAGAGTATGTCAACAATTATTAAACAAAGGCGCTATTCCGCGAAAACGTCTCCTACACACATCAATATTTGCTCGGCGAGGCATTCTTTAATACTAACTGCGCATTAAATAAATAAACATATATATATATATATATATATATGTATATTTGTACTTAAACGTTAATTGCCATTCAACATTTTTTTACGGTACTAACCAACCGGTGCAAATCTTCAAGGGTCTCTTAATTACTGTCAACTAGCAAATTATGGTTGGATTTAATAGCGAAAATAGAAATGCAATTGATGTAAAGTACATCTGTCAAATATGCAATCTAATTCTACGAAATCCTGTTCAACTAGATTGTGGTCATCGCTTTTGTCGATCATGTCTAGATACTGAATACAAGTGATTATTAATTCATTTGTTAAAATTAACTCTATAGTGATTGTTTTAATTATAGAGCATTCGTTACATGCCATCAATGTCCAAAGATTACGCGTACCAACGATGTAAGACATTTCTTTGTAAGTTTTAAATTTGCTTCATGCTGCTTTTTTTTAATCTAGATATTTTATGATCGAGGCATACAAAATGATATGAAAAATTTACATATCAATTGCTATGTTTGTCATTGGAATGGTCTATTTAAGAACTATAAAGTAATACAGGTTCATTTTATTTATGAATGTATGCCTTATTAATAAAGTTTGTTAAGGAACATTTGACTAAATATCCTTTCAATACATCACATAAACCAAAAATTAAAAATAATATAATGTTGCAACTAAAACTATTGACTGAAAAACTCCACGAATTATCGAACAATGTACAAATATTAAAAGCGATTACACAGCAACTTGTAAATCAATCAGCATTATATCAACTAGGTACTGAAGAAAAAATTCTTTCAGTAGAAAATACTCATCAGAATCAAAATGATGTCAGTTCTCACAATGGCATATTATTATGGAGAATTAATAACATTAAAGATCGTTCAAGTAAGAACTGCTATTTAATTAAATACTTTGTTTTAATATGATTTCATCTAGATAACTCTGAATCTGTGACATCACCACCATTTTACACTTCACCGGATGGTTACAAACTGTGTGTGCGTCTCCATTTTAATGGTAATGGCATTGGTCAATCAACTTATTCGTCGATTTTTATTGTCTTAATGCGCGGTGATTATGATGCAATACTTGATTGGCCATTCAATTATCAAGTGATATTTTGTCTTTATAATTTAATTAATCAAGACAATCATATAATTGAATCATTTCAATCTGATATCAACTTGAAAGCCTTTCAAAAACCACAATCTGATATGAATGTTGGATGTGGAATTTCTAAATTTATTCCACGAGCATTGCTTGAACAAGAGAATAGTTCTTTTATTCACGATGATTCTATTTATATTAAGGTGATGATTAGAAGTCATCCTATAGCGAATTTCATATTACCTTATGTTATGAAGATTGATCTGGCATGGCCAATACATATACAAGAAGAAATTATTCAAGAACTAATTCAAAAATATCCTATGCAATCATTTAAACTTAGTTTAACATTTAAATCGTCAACTCTATGAACTCGAAGAGAAATTTGTTGTCGATTTTTGTACAGTTTTTATTATTATTCACAAAGACTTTTTATACTTCGGTGTATTTAAGTGAATATATTTGATTAAAATATCATAAGAGCAGGCGCCTCGTTAGTAATCAGACGCATTAGTGTTGATTTTATCATCATCGGGAGTGCCTCATGTACAATAAAAAAAACTTAATTTTCTACTGTAATAATAAGATACTACTCAATCTAGAGGTAAAACACGTAGCTGTTTGTAAATTTTGAACAAATAAAGAAAATTCATCAAGACCTGCTCACACGACTATATATTGTAGCATCTGAACTTGCAAAAAACCTACACGTGTAGTAGATAAAACATTCACCAACAGTTGTATTTGAACCAGAGACCGAAATCGAATCGAATTGCCGAATAATTCGATTCGATTGGATTCGCCCCAGACGAATCGAATCGAATGATACTTCTAGAAAAGAGGTCGAATCGAATCGATTCGTTTTTTTTCAGTTTCATTCGACTATTGAAAATCATTTTCTTTGTTCTGGTGTTATGGTCAAGGGCAGTTGACTAGTATAAGAGATGACGCATGAAAAAGGACGTCCACTGTTTCTCTTTCTTTGTTTCTGTCAGTCGTGCTTATTTAATGGTCATCCCTGTTCTGTTCATATCGTTATCATGGTCAAGTGCATTTTGATTGGCATAAGAAATGCTCACTTACAACGAGTGTTCCATCTTTCTTTCTTTTTTCGTTAGTCAATTTAGGCCCCAATCACACTGAGAAGTAAATTAACATTATAGTTGAATTAAGCCATGTGACTGGTGCATTAAGAGTTAAGTAATACTTTAGAGGTGATTTTAACTCTTAATGTATCAATTAGATTACTGAATAAGACTTTAACTTTATTCACAATTCCAGTGCGATTGGGGTCTTGATATCAACCTCTTTATTTATTAAGTATGGCTATGGTCAACTGTAAATATAGATCCATATACAGTAAATGATATTATTTTTCTTCGTTCTATAGAAAATAAACTTATTTAATTAGTCTACTTAGATGTGTTAATTAATTTATATTTTATGTGTTCTTTCTTGAAAAAAATGAATAATTCTTATGTATATCTTCATAAATTATATTTATTCAACATATTTCTATAGAAGATCGACAGACTATTCTCATTCTAAGATGACAGTCTGAAAACAACAATACTATGTAATAGTGAATACCATATTTTGTAAACCCAATTTGAGTCGAATCGAATCGAATCGAATTACAATTTTTAAAAGATCAGAAAACCCGAATCGAATCGAATCACAGTTCTAAAAAGCCGAATCGAATCGAATGGCACTTTTGTCATCGGTTTCGGTCTCTGATTTGAACGAACAAGAAATAAAAAAGTAGACTCTGGATAAAATGTTAAGAACGCATAGATTCATGGGAAATCACACTAATATTATTTTATCTTTCTATGCTTGTAGTTTGTCTATTATTTTAAAAATTGAAAGTAATAATTAACACGGAGTATAATTGTATAGCATGTGAATGATAATCATCAGGATGGCCATGTGAAAGTTGATATAGAATAATTAATCTCAATATTTCCTTTTTCTACACTATCAGACGGCATATGAAAGAGTATTCGTGAGCCACGATTTCTCTTAAATATCAAACGATTACTAAGAGTAACTCGAAAGAGAAGACCGATCTGATTCAAAAACTTTTTCAAGCAATCAATTAAAATTCTCATACACATTGATGATTCATAGTTAATTTCAGAATATGATCCTTATTCCACCAGGAAAATTTGATGCTGTATGAGATATTTCTTAGACTCGCAATATATCACTTTCAACAGAACTATCAATGCATCTATGAATGATGAGAAATACAAGTTCTATCTTAAATTCATCAATAGAACCATTAAATACTGTTCAAGAAAAATGAATCACAATGCAATCATTTGATTATATATTATTATTAAAAAATGAAAACTAGTTATGACATGCTAATACTTTCGTTTAGGCAACCGTTTCACATGATAGTATTCTCTAATATTATGATAGTTTTCAAAACAATGAAAAACAAACGAGTGAAATGTGTGCTTTTTATTTTAATCATGATCAAAATAAGTTGCCATAGAAAAAATGTAATCAATGCTTTTTTCCGCACCATGTGCGAGTAGTCCGAGATAAGGTAGATAAACGCATGTAAAGAAATAACGCAGCAAATGGTAATATAATAATACAACATGAGTAAAGATCAAACATCGTTGCCTATCATTGACATAAGTCCATTTTTAATTAATGATTTAAATGATGGTCGCCAAGAAGAGATTGCGTTACAAATCCATCGTGCATGTCGTACATGGGGCTTTTTCTATGTTAAAAATCATGGTATTCCTATGAAATTACAAGAAGAATTAATGGAATTCAGTAGACAATTTTTTTCACAGCCATTAGAAAATAAAATGCAAATAGCAATGAGTAAGGGTGGTCGAGCTTGGCGTGGTTATTTTCCAGTTGGTAATGAGCTAACTAGTGGAAAACCAGATGGCAAAGAAGGTCTTTATTTTGGTACAGAAATCGACGATGATAATCATCCGAAAATTCGTAATAAAGTACCATTACACGGACGCAATCAGTTTCCTTCTGTTGAAAAGAATGATAATGAATTTCGCCATGTTATATTGACTTATATGACAGCGATGGAAAATCTCGGTCGTTCAATAATGACTGGCCTTGCACTTTCACTTAAGTTAGATGGAAATTTTTTCGATAAAAATTATTTTCTTGATGAGCCTACTTGTCTATTTCGTATCTTTAATTATCCAGCTTCATTTTGTCAACAGAAAGGAAATGAAAATCTATGGGGTGTCGGTGAACATACTGATTATGGAATGTTAACACTATTATTACAAGATGATATTGGCGGTTTACAAGTTAAACTTGGCCATGATAAATGGATGGAAGCACCACCCATATCAAATACATATATATGTAATATTGGTGATATGCTTGACCGAATGACCGGCGGATATTATCGATCAACACTACATCGTGTAAGTAATTTATCAACATCACGTGATCGATTATCATTTCCATTTTTTCTTGATCCTCATTGGGATGCAGAAGTATTACCGATACCTATGGACGAAATCATGAAAATTGATGATGATGCTGAATATCGATGGGATAAAGCAAGTGTGCATAAATTTACTGGTACCTATGGAGATTATCTATTGAAAAAAGTTAGCCGAGTTTTTCCAAATCTTGCTGAAGAGCAAACTATAATTCAACCAAATTCATATTAAATTATTTTATTATTTGCATTTTGTCTTTATTCATTTTCATTTTAACACTTGAAAACAAATACACAAACGTTAATTCTTGAAATGTTATCCATTTTTTTTCTTCAATATAATTAACCATGCTTGAGATTCCACTACTGCCAATATAAGATGTTAAAATGGCATCAACTATGACTATACTAGCGATGACTATTGTCACTAGAAAATAACCACTACCTTTGAAGACATCTTTGACCTAGGGAAATGTTGAAATTGGAACGATAATATTCATCACGGCTCTTCTTGATAGATTTTTGCTATTGTGTTTTTTTCATAGCAAAATTATTAACGATGCCACGCTAAGTACTCAATACAGTGCATGATATCAAGTCAATGACTGGCCGCTTATTCTATTATAAATATATGTGTATAGCTTATAAGATTTCGTTTATTCTTATTTAAATTTAGTTACGATTGATAACGATTATTATGACCCAATATACGTAATCATATCTATTACTAGCGACATCCTAATGACTAAATGATCTACAATCCTAGTATTTGAACAAATCTGATAAATATCAGAAAGACATTTAGTAAATTATACTCTTAATTTTTCTTGAACAATAACTAAAGACATCAGAAACGAGGATTCATTGAATTTTGATTGGTTACTTTCAATTTACTACCTGTGTGGTTCTTTGTTGAATTTATTCGATTTGACTATGTGTTAAGGGAATTTGTTCGCTCATTTTCTTTCGATTAATGGAGGCAAGCCATATTTTACATAGCGGTTATTTTAATGAAACACTACGTTCATGGCATGGCTCTAACACATTACTTAGCACAAATCAATTGATCTATCCAGTATTTGTTACTGATCTTGTTCCAGATGAATCCAGCGAAGAAATTCCAAATTTCCCGGAGCAACGTCGCTATGGTGTTGATGCGCTCCTTGATCATTTATCACCATTAGTTAACAAAGGTTTAAAGACAATTATTTTATTTGGTGTAACAAATAGTTCATGTAAAAATCCAACTGGTGACTATGCATCATCAAAGGACTCACCTGTTCGACGATGTTTACCAATGCTTCGTGCAAAATTACCATCATTAACCATTGCTGTTGATCTTTGCTTATGTGGTTATACATCACATGGACATTGTGGAATATTGAAACCAGATGGTACAATTGATAATCAAGCATCAATTACACGATTAGCTGAAATAGCACTTGACTTCGCGAAAGATGGTGCACATATTATAGCTCCATCCGATATGATGGATGGACGAATAGATGCAATAAAGAAAATTTTATTAGCCAATAACTTGGGAAGTTCAGTTGCAGTTCTTTCTTATTCATCAAAATTTGCTTCCTGTTTTTATGGTCCATTTCGTGATGCAGCTCAATCAGCTCCATCTGCAGGTAACCGTCGTGCATATCAATTACCTGTTGTATCTGCTGGTCTTGCGATTCGGGCTGCTGAACGTGATGTTAATGAAGGAGCCGATATGTTAATGGTCAAACCTGGTGGTCCATTCTTAGATATAATAAAAGATGTTAAACAACGTTTTCCTCATCATCCATTAGCTGTTTATCAAGTGTCAGGAGAATATGCAATGTTATGGCATGCAGCACGTGCCAATGCTTTTGATTTACGAACGGCCGTTATTGAAAGTTTAATTGGAATGAGACGTGCTGGTGCCGATATTCTTATCACTTATTTTACACCACAACTTCTTGATTGGTTGAAAGAAGCACAACAGTATTAGCTGTTTTTTTAAATCTTATACCCTGATCTCTTGTTTTTTGTTACCCTATTTGATTTTATCTAGATGTTTTTGACGTGTCACGAACACAATTTTACTAGTTTTTGTTCGTATCTAGTATAAGAAAAAATATAGACTTCAATTATGATTAATTTAATTGTTTTAAGAATATTTCACTTTTTTAGACTAATCATCGTCTAGTTTGATTTTGTTCAAGTTTAATGTCTGATCGACAACAATCACGTGGACGTGGCGGTGATAGTCGAGGTAAAAAGTGTGATTTTGAAAAAAATTCTAGTAATATATTTTACTTTAGGTCGTGGAGGTTTTGGAAATCGTGGTGGTGGTGGTAGCTTTAGGGGCAGTAACGATCGAGGCGGAGGAGGTTTTCGAGGTGGTGATCGAGGCCGAGGAGGTTTCAGAGGTGGTGATCGAGGCCGAGGAGGTTTCAGAGGTGGAGATCGAGGACGTGGAGGTTTCCGAGGTGGTGATCGTGGCCGTGGAAGTTTCCGAGGTGGTGATCGTGGTCGTGGAAGCTTCCAAGGTGGCAATCGTGGTGGAGGAAGATCACCCGATGTGAAACGTGAATTTATGACGGATAGTATTTATGTCGGACAATTACCTGTTGACATCAAAGAAAATGACTTGAAAAAACTATTTCCGAAAGCAAAAAATATTACAATGACACCTGCTGAAGGAACTAGACCTGGGTAAATTTTTAATTGCGATAAGTTAGAATGTTTTGTAACTTATATTTTAGCCATGCTTTTGTCTCATTTCCTGATGATAGTGCAGCAGCAGCTGCTGTTAAACAAGGAGCAAGCTTCAAAAGTACTGAACTCAAAGTAGCTTTTCAAACTAAACGTCCTGAACCACAAAAACGATTGTCAAATATAAGTGACAATGCAGGTAATTAGTTATTTCGTCATAAAGTGACTCTTATCACAATACAGCATTCATTGAGAGACTTGAATATTGACAGTAATTGTTTATTGTATAAACTACGATATATTTATAGGTTTTTAAAATAGAGACTAAATGTTTTTCTTTTCATTACAAATAGGTCCACAATCAAAGAAATTCAAAACTGATGTGTCTGAACAAAAAGGATCGACAACTAGTAATTTGAAAAAAATAGGTAACAAGGCTACTGATTCTGATGAAGAAGATGATGACGACGATGATGATGATGACGAATCTGTAAGTAAAAAGTTTTCTTTTTAAAGCCACAACGATAAGATATTTAAACATTTGCTCAGATGGATTTTGATGCCGATAATGGTTCGGACGATGATGATGATGATGATGATGAAGATGATGATGAACAAGAAAAAAGAATTAAACAAACTGTTGCTAAAATGACTGGTGGAGGAAAATCGGTACCTTCAATTTCAGCAACTGGTAAAAAAGTTGAAAACGATGACGATGAATCGGTATATTTATTTTAATATAGTTATTGTATTGACGATTTTGTGTTTAGGATGAGAGCGATGATGATTCTGATGAAGAAGATGATGACGATGATGATGATGATGTGAGTATTTTGAGATGTTATCTTTAAAACAATAACATTGTTCATTTAAGGATGATGATGAAGACGAAAAACCATCGAAATTAAAGAAATCTGCACCATTATCTGGCAAACCGTCGACTCCTACTGTTACTCCTAATATAGCAAAAGGAAAATTATCACTTAATAAATCAGCTGTGCTTGATAGCTCATTGCAGAAAAAAGCTCAACTTGGTTTGTCTATATTACTTAATTTATTATTATTATTTGTATTGTGTTCACATTTATCTTTAGAGCAAAAAGTGTCTGATAAAGTAACACCATCGAAAGCTCAAAAACGACCAGCTGATGTTACTGATAAATCAAGTTAGTATTTTCTTGCTATTTCTAGAGTTAAAATTCCTTCATATTCTACTAGGTCCTCAAGCAAAAAAGCTCAAAAATGAAACTTCAATCAGTGATAAAAACATTCCAGTATTAAATAAAAATATACAGCAAGGAAAAGTAACTAACAATAAGGATGAAAAAACTTTGAAAGCGTCTGTCGCTAAACCAGTGAGTATAATAAGTCAATATTATTCAGTGTAATAAATCAAATTTGTAGGTTAAACCTGTTGCTAAATCATTGTTGCTAGAAGAAGATGATGACGATTCTGATGATGATGATGATGATGATGATGATTCTGATGACGATGATGATGAAGTACCTAAAAAGTCATCCATCAAGGCACCTATTAGCGGAAAACAAGTAAGTTTAAGCGATGATCTTACTCTAACTAATTTTAGAATATAGGCTAAATTCGTTAAGCCATCATTTATCGAAGAAGATGATTCCGATGATGATGATGATGACGACGACGACGATGACGATGATGATGAAGAAATACCTAAGAAGTCAGCTGCTAAACCATTAGTTAGTGGGAAACAAGTGAGTTCAAATAGTAACAAAAATCAAACGAATCGTTTATTCTTCCAGACAAAACCTGTTGGTAAACCATCGTTTATCCCAGATGATGATGATTCTGACGATGACGACGACGATGATGAATCTGTGAGTAGTAAACTCAAATTATACTCTGTGTAAAGGGTTCATAGTAGTGTTCCTTTCAAACATCAATCTGTATTCGACACACCGAAAATCTTATAGAAATCGATGTGATCGCTTGTTTCCTGCTTTCGTATAAAATTTGTTAAAGCTCGATTTGCGATATTTCTGAAAAATCGATCCTTTCACTGTTATCTTAATTGCTGTTCTTTTTTCAGGATGATGATGATAAAGCAAAAAAACCATTGAAATCCATCCTTAAAACAAAGTCTACTCCACAAGAAGTAAAATTAAATCAAAATATTTTTTTTGTAACTAAAAGTGGCAATCGCTTTTAGACAAAACTTGCTGCAAAACGTCCACCTCCTGTTGAAGAGGATGATGATGATGATGATGACGATGACGACGACGATGAGGATGAGGATGACGACGATGATGATTCAGTAAGTAGCGAAAATAATATATACTCATTATTAAGGGCATGTAATGGTGCCTCGCTTAATGAGGATTCTACTACTATAATCCAGAGAAATTTTATTGGAACAGTTCTAAAACTTAACTTTTTATTTTGATCTATCCTTTGTTACACCCTTAAGTCAAAGTACTCTCGTACAACCATAATTTACGTGTCACAATAAGGGTTATTCTTCTTTTTAGGACGATGATGCTGATGATGATATGAAAACGGCAATCAAATCCATCCTCAAAAAAAGATCTTCACAAGAAGTAAAAATATACTAGAGGATGTTTTTCCTAAACAAATCATTTTACTATTTAGACCAAATCTGGTAACAAACGTCCACCACTTGTTGAAGACGACGACGACGATGATGATGATGTAAGTAAACTTCTTTTGATTTTGAAACAAACTTATTTTGAATTAATACAGGACGATGATGACGACGACGAAGATGATGACGATGTAAGTTAAACATAATATCGTGGATCTTTTTCATAACTAAATTTTTCCAGGATGATGATGATGACGAAGAAATGCTTTCTTCGCCACCTAAGTCTGCATCAAAACAATCATCATCAACAGCAACTCCTCCTTCTAAACAAAATCTCACGCCTAAAACTTCAAAATCGGAATCTACACCGACCGCAACACAAAATAAACAAAAATCTGCAAGTGAAACAACTAAACAAGAAAATTCAAATAAGCCACTTGATAAACTTCAACTGTACATAAATTCAATTAAAGAAAGTATTACTGTATCGGATATGAAATCGCTCTATCCAAAAGCAAAATCAGTGAAAATGCAAAAACGAAAAGTTGGTCCAAATCATAAAATAATGCAGTAAGTTCTCATCAATACTTGTTTTTATTGGAGTAATTTTATTTTTATTTTGTTTTAGATTAGCTTTTGTTACATTTGACAATGAATCCGATTGTGCTAATGCACTAAAAGCTCATACAAAAATCGGCGGCGAAAAAGTCAATGTATCTTATGCTTATGGTAAATTAGATAAACAAACTAAACCAGCCGTTACTGATTCAAATAAAAATTCTGAAGAGAAGAAAAAACAACCAACTCCAACAGACAATAATACAAATAAAACACCACAGGCTAAACCAGGTTTGTTTTGGAATTTGTTGCTTCATCATCGTTTTTACTAGTTTTCCTTTTCTCTAATTATAGCAGCAGAAAATGTGACTAATTCAATATATATTGGTCAATTGCCTGAAAATGTTGAAGAAGCTGATTTTAAAAAACTTTTTCCAAAAGCAATTAAAATCGAATTAATACCAGCTAAAACAAAGCCTAAAGGAGTTCGACCTGGCTTTGCCTTTGTTACTTTTGCTGATGATAATTCAGCGGCTGCTGCTATTAAACTGGGTCCAACATTAAAACTTAAAAATACACAATTGAAAGTTGCTTATCGAACAAAACGAGCAACTGCAACTGAATAATTCAAACTTTATTGTTATTATCTTCATTGACAGAAGATATCATGCGAATGTGTTCATTAAAGCCGTTTCTGTGTTCATTTTGTTTTACTATATTCGCTGCGTTCTTTATTCTGAAAAACTAATAATCATTATTCAAAGATTAATAATTAGAATGAAAACTACTTAACTTTACTTTTTATTGATGAATATTGAAAAATGAGGATAATAACAACGATTAATGTTATTGGAGTATTATATTCTAGGTATAGAAGTAAATATGGCTATACTAGTACTGCAGACGGATATATGAAACGATTTTTATAAAAAGTAATCGATTGGTGCATTTACGATGCGGGAAAATTGAGTTTAACAATGTATGAAAAACATTATCAAAGAGTTATTGCTTGAAAAATCAATGAAAGAAAGTGTGCAGAATTATTTATGCGCAAAAATTTTGTCGACAATCCAGTCGTATGAGTGAGAATGATCTGAAAATTGCTGCTGCCACATTGTTACATCAGCCGTTGTAATTTAAGCACAAAGAATTTGGAATTGTTCTACCATCGTCTAAGAGGAACTCTTCATTTTTTTTCGATCGAATACTTTTAAACTCGCAATATATCGTAGATTATTTATTTTTTGTTGAAAAATATGTTTTCTTCAAACAAAAGAGAAGAAAAGTCATCGCTGCTTCTCGACTGGAAAGTATTGTGAGCCAAGATTTGTGCGGTTTTGAAAAGATCATGTACCACGAGCATTTATCATATTCTATAAGAATTTTCCATCATCTAAGCATTTAAGAATTCTGTGATGATCTACACTTCCAGCGAACTGGAAAACATTTACTCGCGAGTTTCTTGTTCTAAAGTAGCAGAATATCACATTTGACAATTAAAATATTGTCCTAGATAAAAATTTATTTTTATTTCATAGTTTTACGATCTAAACGGTATGGTGGCAAATCAGCGAAAAACGTTAAAGCGAAAATTTTTGAGCGAATAAAATAGCGAAAATATCCTTTGGCGAAAAAGTTTTCAGCGAAAACATATTTTGAGCGAATTGTGAAGGGTAAAACAGAGAAGTGTAAAATAGAGTAATCTTCAGTTTAACTTAACATGAAAAATAAGGGTGTTTTTTAAATTTAAACGAAATGTAATACATGAGCATCAAATGATATAAAAAACTACCGATTTAGAAATAAAATATATGAAGGGTGTGGGTGTGAGGTGTGAGCAAATGTTGATGTTGTCAATTAGCTTTAACGAATTGATCGCTTGAATTGGTATGAACATTCGCTGCACAGCTATTTGATTGACAAGCCCAGTACTTAACATTTTTTGTGGACTGTTTTAGTCGATAAACATATCCTGAATATATAAACATTCGTTTCCCTCGATTTGAAGTGGTAAAAGAGAGTATTCTCGGGTCAAGCATCACTGGTGAGTGAAATGAACTAAATGAATGAACTATGTAACATCAATTACGGACGATTATATATATCGAATAAAAAAGAATATAATAGATTAACACGTTGAGAAGAGTGAAACCGACAAATGCGGTCATATATGCAGACACATCCGCATGATGATTCATCGTCAAACAAACAATCAAATCTTATCAAGAAAAAATTTCTCTAATTTCTACAGCCGCTCTTTTTGCTAATAAAAAAACTTCGAGTTTTCGCTATTTTACTTTTCGCACTTTTTATTTTCGCTATTATTTATTTTCGCTCATTTTTTTTCGCTATTATAATTTTCGCGCTTTGTTTTTCGCTGAAAATACCTTTCGCTATTATGATTTTCGCTCAATCGACACCATATCTTGAAATCAGTTTGTTCTCCCTTGCCTAGGACAGGCTAGAGAATGGATTGTGACTGGAAATATTTGATTATCATGCTAATTTTACCGACGTTACTTCATTGTGATAACTTAATAGAAGTATTCAAATCGTCCGCTAGAATCGATCCATCAGCTGCACATTTGTTTTCAAAGGGATTGCATATAATAGATGTAAATCATGGTTCTGCTACTAAACAATAGATTAATACTTTTTTTATACTGTTTAACACTTAATAAGTTTTCTTTTGATATTTATTAGTAAAAATCAAACAAATATATATATGTATTTATTTCGAAATAAAAATTCAATAAATCTATCTATAATAGTTTCATTTTGTATTTGCTTGTTTTACCAATAAAATAATATGGTGCCCGAAACATAGCAAACAACCACATAAACAGAACGAAGTAAGACAGAAATAAATAAATACAAGTTACATAGGTCAAGTGTAAATATTCGTACAGTTTCTATTTAGAAACGAATAAAAAAAAATGGAAGAAACAACAATAGATACTAGTTCAAAAGGTATGATCACTATTTTGACATGACTATCAGGATTTTTTTTAAATACAAATAAATCAAGTATGACCGAAAATAATCACATTCTTAGGTCACTATTACTTTTGTTTGGGCTAGCTCTTTGACTTTGTTGTTCATCGTTTGATGGTTCAATAACAATAGTTGGTGATTGTTGATTATTTACAATAACTAAAGATCGGTCTTCATCAGAAACGCGGAAGCCTAAGCTTAATCTACGAATTCTATAAGGAAGAGAAAAAAAGAAGATTATTCTATTAATTCTATATTATAACAATAATAAACCTTTTCTTAATGCCAGAACTTCGTGATGATTTTTTTTCTGATGTTGTAACTGCTTTACCTTTTGATTTAGTTATAGATTTCCATAGAGATGTTTTACCAACTTCTTCAGAAAAATTCATCACATTGGATGGTTGATTATTCTAAAACGAAATGTACAATGACAAAAATAAAAGTCAAACACGAATATTTTACACTTACTGAAATATTTCCTTTTGAAGCGTTCGTCGTTGTATTATTATTTGATGATCCATGATTATTTGTACTATCAAATTCAATTGTTTCCTTCATCTAAAATATGATTTTTTTTACATATTATCCAGTCCTATTAATCTTGTTCTGTTGAACCTTATCGGATAGTTTTAGTAGATATCAGATTTCAACGAATGGAATCGTTGCTACTGGATTCTAATATAAATTACATGGAAACCTTATTACAGGATTGTTTATACTTTTTCGTAATAGAATTACAAATTATATTTTCTTTCGACTCAACAATACTTTTTAGTAGGAAAAAAGATTAGACCTTTTATTCTGGTAATTTCTAACGGGATATAATAAAATTAAGATTCAAAAACTAACCTGATTTTTCTCGTCAGTCTTGTCTAAACTAGCACTATTTTTTCTTTCTTCAATTTCTTTCTTCACAACTTCTGGCACAACATCATCTAAATATTCCAGTTCGCGTTGTGTAAATAAATAATCCATTGCTTTTCTTGCTCCAACTAGAGCTAAAACCATGATAGGAAATAATATTGATATACTTTCTATTGATTTTATAACCCATAATAAAACTAAACAAGTTATTTGAATAAATGTAAACATATGTACACGACTTGTTCGAACATATCGTAGGTACACATAATCGGGTTGATATTTTTCTGGCATAAATATTAGTAATACACGAGAAATCAATTGAATTTCTTTCATCGATAATATACCCATATAGAGAAAAACACCGTAAAGTACAGGCATTGGAATATAACTCAAAATTTTTGTTAAAAATATGGATAGGCCAATAAATAAAAATACAATAAAACCGGTTACACGTTGTTCTCGAACGCCTAAGAACTTCGGTTTTTCTCCTGGTGCTGCTGTTCCAGATTCAAGTTTAAGTGCAATCACATGGTTTATGGAGAGTACTGTTGCGGCAACAAACCATGGTAGACCAAATACAGAATTAATTCCAATGCACACAGCTACAATTAATAAGTCAAGATGATAGCCAGATCCTTTCTATAGTACGAACAATTTTATTAGGAGATTTATTTTATTTTAGAATTATTTTCTTTACTTTAAGTTTATTTTCTTTTCTATTAACAATAACAGCGGTTATATGTTGATCCATAAAAATGAGTATTGTAGCCAACATAGCGGGTAATACAGCAGCAAGCCAAATGTAAGGTGAATTTTTTCCAAATGGACTTATAATCCATCCACGATTTTCTTTCGTTGTAGCAAATTTCTGTGGCACAGCTAATTTTAGTGTATCAAGACCAACACAATAATCAATTAAAACATTAATAAATATAGCTAAAACGACACCAAAGTCGCTTACTTTTGTACGAACCTAAATTTTTGAGAATATGCAAATATAACTTCGAATGCAAAAAATAAAACAATCATACGAACACTCATCGGTAAAAATGGACTGAATTTAAAATTTTTTAATGTATATGCCAACGTAAATGTTGATAAGAAGAGTATAATTGAAAAGAAAAATACATCGGGAATATAAGCTTTATCATTTATTATTTTACAAGGTGTACCAATAAATTCATGAGATTGGTTTTTATAACAATCCTAAATACGAGACAATTGATTTAGGTAGAATATATTTGATTTATCTTTTCGTACGTTTATTGTCATTATTAAATTTAACTTTCTTGCTCTATTCGATGTAAGGCATGAACAATTCGGTGGTAGAATTTGATTGGTATGTAATCGAACAGGTCGATGACGATTGATGTCAATTATTTTATCGAAAGCTTCATAGATAAAGATAATACCAATCAGAGCAGCAAAACTTTCCTCTAAAAGCAAACGATTTTGGTTAAAATCAAATTTTATAAACCATAAACTAACAGTACATTCTGTGTAAATTTGTCAATTTTATCAGTATTAGTTAATATTACACAACTACACAATTTAATAGTAGCTAAAATATTATTTACAAGATCTCTTCGATTACTACATGTTAACGTAGAAGATTTTTTTTTCAGTCCGAACATATTTTCATATATCGACAAACTAGTTGTGTAAAGGTCAACAGTACTCGATTACCATGAAATCGGCTTCTGGATGTCATATAATCTAGAATTCCATCTGCTGTAAATACACATTGAAGTGTTGTAGGGATATCATGGATAGAAAAGAAAACTCAGCCAGTAATAAATAAACAAGATACATCAAGGTTAAAGGTTACGAGAATGTATTAGCGAAAAAGAACGTCAATGATTTATTAAGATTAGCCAAATTGCGTCCAAAAATAACTATTAACTAAATTCGACGAAGATACATAAGTCGATATACTATCGTTCATTTTTTTTTCTCTCGAAAACGTAAATATGATCACATTGTTACAGATTTCCATTCATAGTTATTGTTGTCGATTTCAAACGTCAGTTAAAAATAAAATAATCCATCAAACTTTCGAATGGTTTAGTTTTCTTCAGTTTAAACATTGTTTTTCAACTTTTGAGATATTTTCTATAGTCATGTGATGATTGCAATTTACAGAGAACCCTGTTTTATTCAATGCTTTCGAATAAATGAGGAACAAAATATGAAACAAATTGTATGCATGTCTCATGAATAATCAGCTAGAAATAAGCAATTATGCAATTTGTAGTACTGCTCCCAACGGAAGGAGAATAAGGCTTTTCTTTGTGCTTCATCATGGAAAATGCTCATTTGTATTTGTATTTTATATTGAAAATAGATTTCCTAGACAATGAACACCCAGAAAAAAAACACATAAACATTGAATGTCCTATCCTATCGTACGCAAATTTTGTAAGAAAACAAAAATCACTAACCAGTGAATCTTGTTATATATTTCACAAGATAACTCGCATCAGTAACGACCATAATCAATAGAATAAATGTTGTCCATAGTCCAATCCAACAACGAAAATTCATATAATCTATTCCATGATGACTAAACATTTGTATTTATTAAAATGAAATAATTTCACAGCATGCATATTGTACCTGCAGTAACTATTGACAATGGTTTCAAAAACCAATACCGGACCCGTACTGCCTAAAATCGCTAATGGTTGACCAGCAAATAAATGAAATAGACAGCCACAAATTGCGCCTGATAGAAGACTTTCAATCGCAGCCTTAAAATATGAATTACAAATAACGAAAAATGGCTCTTTTTATCTAATTTATACCATATTATTATCGGTTGCTCTACTTAAAAGACCACCAAATGTAATTATGGGCGATAAACAAGCAAAATATAGAAATATAATTGCGCCAATAGATTGAAATGATATAGCATCAGTAAAATCTGACAAATAGAACGGTGTTTTACGTTTTAAATCATTTATAAGACCTCCACAAAATCTACAATAAAAATAAACTAGTGAAAATTTATTTAAACGTAATAATTATTTTCATACCGTCCAGTTGTGATTAACGATGGATCTAGTTCATATTCATGATGTATCGGTTCACTGGATTGTTGTACACCATTCATTTTATTTCTATCAAGTCTATCCTCCTATATGATAAAATAATCTTAATTTTCGATTAAATCTCGATTTTTCTAAATATTACTTTATTTGGTACACTTTTAGGTGGTTCAATACGTGTTGTAGGATCCCATTCACCCGGCGGCAAAACTGTTACATGATCAAGAAAGTCATCAATACCTGTATATAAATTCGAAAGTAATTATTTTCATTTTCCACAAGAATTTCTTTCATTAATTCTACCTGCAAGTAAATCTTGTCGATCTCTAGCTCGATAAACAACATCATGAAAAATCTTCAGAGAAAAGAAAAAAGTTGAAATCAAATAATGATTTAATTTCCTTCATTTTATGATTCAAAAGTATACTTCATCAGACATTATTGTCGATATAGAACGTCCGATTTCATGATAGCGTAAATGTTCACTACTAGGTCCAATTAAAATAAATAGAAAGCGCGTTGGCAATGGAACTTCAACAAGATCTGGTATTGTAACACCTTTTGCTAGGCGAACAAATGCATAGACCGGAGTTTGAAGAAAATCTACGGCGCCAACTAAAACATTTGTTGCTTCAGAATTCGGTGGAACTTTTTTCATAAATGATAAATTCATCTATAACAAAAATAATTGAAATAAAAGATATTATATCATCTCATTTTGTTTACCTTAACACGTGATTCACCTGTTAGCGAGGTACTTCCTGATTCATCACTTTCATTCGTGCGAGTTTTTAATTGATTGCTAACACAAACTAAATTAATAAATCTTTCATTAGTTTCTTCTAATCTATTTAATATTTATGTAGGTTTTCGAATTGGAATTCAACGAGAGGCAGATTGACTATATATGATTAAGTTAATTGTTTCATTCCATTTAGTACTTTTAAGTACTATGAGTAGATTAGTTTATTCACTCGTGTATGTAAAACTATATCAGTTTTAATCACAAATATTCAAATGGAAAAGCTTTTCATTTATTCGTGATAATACAATGGATAACGAGGAAGTTCTCATCGTTAAGATACTATTAGAAGCATTGTCTTCACTGAGGCGTTTTGGTCGAAAGTTTTTTTTTATGTAAGGTTTAGTATGTTTTTCAAAATCTTTATAGTAAATTTCTTCCCTATTATCGATGGGAACAGCTGTTTCATTTTAATTAGACATGTTTCTTTTTTTTTAAGTGCATCGAGTATATATATCGTTCTCTTTAGTAGTTTGTCGACGCAACCAGTTACAAATCGAAATTTTCTTTTCTCTCTTTCTGTTCTTGCTATTCATCGTTCTACTTGTAGTAGTGTAGCACGTGACTAAATGAATTTATCGTTGGTCGAATTCCATTTGTGTTTAGTTAAAAATTCGACTTATTGTCTTCTTTTTTTGACTCTTAGTTATACTATTGTAGTTTATCAAAAATGAATATTCTTTTCTATCAGTGATATGTTTTTCTTTTATAATTAATTATGATCTTACGTCTACTAGTTAGTGTTAGATGCTGATTTGTTGCTCCGGTCGGTGTTGCTGGTGGCAGTTGATCAACAATTGATTGCGTAATATCTTTTTGTGAGCGATTTCGTGTTAGTTCAGCAAATGAACTTGTGAATGGTAATAGCTTTTTACTTTCTTGTGTATGTAAAAGTCGATGAAATTCTTTGTCATGCTTTAAATAAAGAAAAACATTAAAAAAAGTTGTTTTTTTCTCAAAAAGGATCAGAAAAAATCCAAACCTGGTGAATATGTTTAAGTAAAAGAGTATTACGTGTGACTAAACGTTTTTCCGATGGCAATGATTCATTAGCAATCATAGTATCAAGAATCATATCTTTATTACGGAAAAATAAAGAAAATTAAAAGAAAAAAAAATCAAGATATAAATTAATATACGATTAACGAACCAACTATTGTAGAAAATTGATCAGCTTGCATATCCAGAATAACGCATCCACTTAAAATACAATTACGTAATTCAAGTAATGAATGTAATGATAACGAGGCTACGTGAGGTTTACTCCATCGACCACCAGTTTCAACATCTTCTTCGAATTTTATCCATCTAAAAATACAAAATTTTCTTATTTTTCTTGATTTTAAACTGAAGATACCTTGCTGTTTCTTTCCAACCTATATCAGTAGGTTCACCACATTCATTCGACTGATCATTATCACATCTTAATTCATTGAGCTCAATAAATAAATCATGTGGTTTATGCTCTTCATCATCATCTTTTTGATCTTCATCACCAAGTAAAAATTGTATACGTGCACTTGGATTATCTATTCATATGCAAATAGATGTTTTCTCCAATCAATGTAATCAAAATCTTCATACCGGTTCCGTTTGAATCCTTAGTTTCATTGCTTGAAGTTACTTTCGATGATGTATTAGTTGATTCTCCTGATGTTTGTGAATGACGATGACGTTTTCTACGTCTTTCTGTTGGATTATATATTTTTTTAAAGCTAGTTTGATGATAAATTGATTTATGCCGGTCTAATATAGATAAACAGCATATCAAGATTTCAAATAAAACTATAATTTTATTACCATTTTCATGTAGCATTGAACGTGCTTCATTTCGTCGAAAATCCGAAATAGGAATGTATGCTGCGTGGCTATCATCGAAGTTTGCATTATTACGAGCCGATGATAATGATGAATGTGTTGGTAGTATCTCACCAGAATCAGCCATATTCAACTAACCTTATTTTTAATCATATAACATATTCTATAAATTAGAAATAATTAGTTATTATAGCATTAAACGTCGAAAATAGGTTAAATATGATTGCTATAAGCACGTACAGATCATTTAGTTAAGTGCCGTGTGCATCGAACTATCAACAAAGATTTGTCGTAACAGAAAGAAAGAAAAAGAGAGAGAGAGCGAAGCTATAAATGTATAGCTATAGAAAATAGTTAGGAAAATTGCAGATGAAAGACTAAATGGAAATATTACATAATATGTAGATAGACATGTTCTGCTGTCTTCTCTTTCCTTCGTTGCTATCAAGCTTATTTTTGCTATGCTTCTCACAAAAAAATATTCTTTGCTTCCTTTCCAGACCATTTTGCATCGAGCAAGCTATTCTCGATAATGACTGTCTATAATATATTCGTGGAAAAAAAAATAAGGAGAAAGAAAAAAAGAAGCAAATATCATGTGTACGTCTATTTAACAATGAAGACCGCTGAATGGTCTTGAAATCAAATGATTAGATAAATATAAAGATTATGTAAAATGTTTCCCTAATGTAACATTGTTCATTTACTTACGTATATTTCATCGGATTAATAATGTTATCAATTATTTATATTGTCGTGACATACAATTGAGCCAAAAACAACACGGGTAATGTAAAACGTTGGAATATAAATATAACTTTCTTTCCTTTCTGACGATTTTCTTTCATGCTCAGCGTCAAAAAAAGGAATGAAGAAAAAAATCATTATTTCAAATAATCCTATCAAATATATACAATAAGACATATATGCACGCTGGTCAGATCAAAAATTGAAAAATCAGAAATGTGTTTGTAAAAATCACAAAACGATCAGAAAGTCCTTTAGGAAAATCAGAAGTTTATCGGTAAGATCATTTTTTGTGAAATAGCGAGTTCTGTATAAGATGATGGCATTAACTATTCCACTATTTTTATGCCATTGACTGGTACTTCATTTCGAAAGATTTGTCACTATCAAGATCAATATTCATCAATCGATAACGAATCTTTACGAAAAACTTCTTTTTTTCCTTTATATGTCGAAATGATATTGCTGTGGCTAATATATGTATGAATCTCTTGGAATGTGAAGTACTAACAAAACTTAATAAACTCAGTTTTTCTGTTCACCATATCCTATTCTAAGAAAAGGTCGAAGTTTAAGAAAAAAAGAAACCAAAGTTTTGTTTTGGTCTACTCTTTATTTTTTCCTAATAACTTATTACTCTATCAGAGATGCCAGATGGGTTGGGTGACCCATGGATCAATCCTAACCCTACCCAATGTAGTCCTCCGGTAATTTGAGAATTTTAAACCCTGGCCCATCGGTCAAACTTAACGTATGAACCCAATCGACCAACCCTCGGGCTACCCTTGGGTTAGCCCATGAATAATGTATATTGTAAAATCGTTCACAAAAAGGATTTTTAATGCAGATGGCGTTACAATGCAGCATAGAGCATGAGCACATCTCTTCCAAGATTTCGTGCTAAGAAACGCTATTAAAAAGATGTTCATAAGAAAGCTGTTTTTTCTGTGCTGCCATCGTTCTCTGTTCTGTAAAACGGTTATTCACTCCTGGAATGTTAAATAGTCAATGGATTTCTAGTTGTGTCATTAAGTTACCTATTTCAAGTATATTCACTTGTTTCATTGTTCGTACGCACAGTAGCCTTTTCTGACGCTATGTGATCGATGTTTCGATCATTGTTCGAGTGGCTCTTTTGATATTTTGACTATGATTCATTTCGTTACAAAGAATTGACAACTAGCATGGACATAAAAAAACGGATGTGATATTCAATAAATAATGACGCCGGCAAGTAGAGTTTGTCGGGTTGGCCCCGGACCAAGTTGGGTCTAGGTTCAACCTTTCCGATTTGAATATTTTTTGACACTATCAAAGTATGAATTCGCCGGATCAGGGTCCAAAGAGGTTTTATCAACCGGATTCCGGTCCGGTTCAGGTCAGTAAGACACGTCATTCTTTCTGCATTTGATAATTACTATTTTCACATAATCAATGCCAAACGATACTCATTTCTCGCCAAAGTGGCTATAAAAGTTGATTCAACATGGAGNCCGTATTTCGCCGTATACGGCACGGAGATTTACGATCGTAATACGGAGCCATGTAATACGGCCAAATACGGCGATTTACCGTCGTATACGACCGTGTATGTTCGACCTGGGTACGAATACACCGTGAGTGATTTCCATTGCTACTCTACATTAGTACACCACGCTGTTTGAGCTATTAGTTTTTATTTTAGTTTTCCCCTGGATTAAAAAAAACTAAAAAGTTTGGAATTCATCACTGTTGTTTTCAATATACTAGAGAAATAAATCACTATATAGATATCGATTTCCGATCAATACAGTTTTTTTTAATGACACTACTTTTAAATGATATTTTAGATCCAATTAATATTGTATTATATACAAAGGAAATGAATGATAACTCTTCAGTGTATTTTTTTGGTGAATTTATTCGCTCAAAATGAAAATGATTTCGTTCACAAATATAATAGAAATCTGTTGATATCCAGGTGAATAAATCCGATAGGATCCTACTGTCGGAATAATTCTCCTGGGTAGCATATGGACCTCTATCAGCAGTATGAAATTTTTACACATAACAGAGAATTGAAATGCATTATAGCCAGGGTTAATCCAATGGGTTACCCAGCGAGTTGGGTTAGCTTGCTCAACCTACCCATTGCTCTGTCAGCTGCGGTAGGGTCAACCCTCGGGTTGGGAAAAATGATTTTTTTCGGCATCTCTGTACTCTATCGATAATAACATTAGTTTATAGAATTGGAATATAAGTAGATTCGAAATCTAATAAATTTACTCACACTAACAATATTTTGTTTGCTGCATGTTTACTTGGATAAACGAAGAGAAATTGGAAATGACGTCACTCTTGATTTGTCCATGTTCATATAGTTGATTATTTCAAAAACAAAAACATCTAGTCGAATATAAATAGAATAATAACTTATTGGTCAACAAAAATTTGAAAAGATTTAAAGATAAAATATGTTAACTAAGCTGTTCAAGATAAAATATTCTTTTTTTATGGATGACTACGCATTAGAGAAAAAATATAATACATGTATTCAAATAACAGAGAATAAGCTACTTCCAATCGGCATAATTGATACATTTTTTTGTTACAACAAAAACAGAAACAGAAAAGAAAAAGTGTTGCTCAGATTATGAGTTACTTGTCTATAGTGGGTTTTATTTTTTTTCCTTCTAAAACTGTCACCCTCGCTGATGTTTACGTTCACGCATGCATCTATATATTTTTGCCTATAATATAGTGGGTCTGGAGATATATTATCACTTTCGAGCTGCTAATAAGAAAAAATGTTCTATTGAAATGCAAAGCAAGATACAATGAAAAGAAAAGAAAAAGACTTCCTTTAGTTTTCTCAACTATTCTTAATAAACGAAGTAAAAATGAATGCAATGAGACATCAAATTATTTCACGGTTTCTTGGTGCCGTGTGGGTTATTCTCGAATATGATTAGCAAAATTATTATATGTTCTGTTGTTTGCATTCAAATGAAATAATCATATTTGTTTCTATTAATGGGTTCTTTACTTTTTCTATGATAAAACTTATGAATAATGATAATAATCATAAAAAAAAGACTCTCGTGTCTAATACTGAACGAGAGTGCGTGCCTTAGATTACTGAGAAAGACGCATTAAAGAGAATCAAAACCTAATAGTCTCATTTTCTTCCTTTTCTGTCTCAATATATATATATATATATGCTAGACGCAAACCAAGTCACGACAAGAACATCACTGTTTTTTGAGAAAGTATGGTCACTATGACAATGTTTTCCTTGCGTCTAATGAATGGAACGATAAGTTTAGCTAGTTTTCTTATCGTTTTGATACGATTTTCCTATAGGATGCATCAGTATTATTAACTCACGCACGTTCTATATAAATAAGATTACAATATTCTATTCTATTTTCGAAATAAACTAGACTAATAAAAGATATTATTAGATTTCATCCATCGTTCTCCTGGTATTCAAGCAATTGATGGAAGCTTTTATTTTTGTAAATTATTCTGAGAATAGCTCTGAATAACTTTCAGTACTGATCGAGGAGAAAATTTTGATAAAATCCAGATGTATCATCTGACTGAAAATGGCAATTAGAATTTTGTCAGTCAGTGTTGCTTGTTATTTATTACAAATCTTCTAAGATGCAACATATAGAGTAGCACAGATTACCTCCTAAAATATCTTCATCAATTCAGATCTATCCTTTTAAAGAGAATATTGCATAGAATTCATTTGCTTTTTAGTTAAAATGTAAGTTACTACTACAGATATTCGTCAAGTCTTCGAGTGAAATTTAGTTAGTAATGGCCGGTCTATCTGATACCCAATGCAATTAGATAAATGTAAAAAAACAGTCGCACTTGCTCGAATTGTTGAGATTTTCAGTTAACTCTGTTCGATTCCTACACTTTTTAAAATCCTATTTCTATGCGAATCATTGGATAATTACTACATTTAATGGTATAAAATTTGAATAGAACTCAATGCTGATATTCGAGTCAATTGTATTATGTTTGTTTTACTGTGAAAGTCGTGTGCTTTCAAAATTGATCTCTTTTAGAAGAAATTAAATTCATTTTCGTCATGAAATACTGACGACTTGCTTCTATTTCCAGACAGTATATGATCGATCATGTCACATTACAATGAAATACGATTACAGAGTATATGATCATAAATTCGGCACGAACGGCACTATCGTTTTTTGACTGAAATGTCGAAAACACTTAGTGCATGTCATGTCTCACATAATCTAAACTTTGTCATGAGAACATATGAAGGGCAATACAATCTCATTTTATTAATTCAACACTTTAAATATAATTACAAACAATGGGTATATTCGAAAAAAGTATTCTTCTAAGATTCTGTATAATAGTGAAAAATTTTTTCATGTGTTTCTGAATCGAAGTTTGGCACAAAGTCAACATGTATTATTTCTTCGAGACCTTCACTTGTTTTGGGTGCTTCGTAATTCTTCTTATACATATTATAGCCAACATCTACAATGATCAAAAGAAAAGAAAACTCTCGTGGATAGATGAAAGTTTTTCACATGGCTTTTTCCCCCGAACATACCTGGTACGCGACGAACGTCACCGGCTGTTTGATGAACACGAACATAATTTAAATGATGGCATAACTCAATCGGAGTATTCAAAACAAAACAACGGCACGGAACTTCATACGATTTAGCTAGTGCGATGTATTCAGACCGAGTAGATGCGCCTGGATTAGTATTGTCAACTACGACACTTTTACCATTCTTTAAAGCATCCGTTGCTGCCTACAAATAATAGAAACGAGTCATGTAAATAGATTTCAAATGACAATAAAAGATCCTACTTTCAAGCATTTCGCCGGCGTTATAAGTGTATCACGATTGATAATTTCATAATTATAGGGTTTAAAATATCGACGAGAAAATGTACTTTTTCCTAAAAGATTGATGACATTAAAAAAATGAGATTTTTATTTTTGTTTATATAAACCTGATGCTGGTGGTCCTTGTAAAATAACAAGTTCTTGCGTCTAGAAGTTTCTTACAATAGAAAAGCTTATTTTTATTTTTGAAAATTTACCGTTTTATGATAAGTTTGTGTAGCATTTGTTGTTTTACCGGACGATAGCTTAGTAACGTATTCACTTGGATTAATTGAACCCCATTCAAATTTATTGGTTGGAGCTTCATCAAGAAAACATTCTTCGGGTGTTTTAAAAGCTGAAATTTCCGTACAAGACGATAAAAAAGAGAGTTTTTTACTTCTACTTACATAAACCAATATTATGAGCAAATTTTCTATCAGCACATGAAAAATCTTTTTTCTTTCCAGGCAACCAATTGTTTACTCGGCCAGCGGCATCACCACAATAAAAACTATTTTTCTTGTCAACCTATTTTCCAAAGGGATCAAACTATCGTCACAATGAATTTTCCATAACTTACGTCAACATTTTGATTGCAATTTTCAATGAAAAAGTCATACATTGATGTGGCTGGTTTTCGAAAATGATTTTCACCCGTTGCAATAAATACATACATAGGTGCACTGGTTTCTTCAATTAATTTTTCACATTTACGTTTTATGTCATCTAATTTTGTGTGTTGTTTTTCAATGCCAGCTTGATTTGTAAAGATTATTAAACGATAACCTTCTTTATGAAGTTCAGCAAGTTTTTTCGGAACTTTTTGATGCCACCATTCCCAATCGGCATGATCTATAAGTATTTTTTTTTATAAATTAAAAGGAAAATAAGTATATTTTTTAAATTTAATTACTCTTAGCAAATTTAGCTCCAGATTTGACATTAATTAATGTTGAATCCATATCGAATGCAGCAATTTTTGAGCAACCAGGTAATGTATCACCATAGAGATAAACTAAGGGAACGAAACCTTTAGATAATGGTTCACCATGTTCATACCATTTTAAATTAAATAAATCAGTTTCGCCTTTAGCTCGTTTTATTTCATGTTCGGCTGCAGTAGCTGCTTTGCGTTTTGGTGCTGCACGTTTGGACATTGTTAATTGGAAATATTTGAGTAAAACGTTTTTTCTTAATAATAATACCTGTATTTTCAAGGATATTTATATGCTTTTTTTTATGCTGCTGTGATATTGCATGGACGTTGTGCAATAACGAAAACTTCTCGGCATGAAGAGAAGTAAAGAAAAGAACGAGTATTTTTCTTTGTCGCTTAAATTCTGTGCTATTGGCTATTTATTGTTGTGAAATAAAGCACAATTAGATATGAAGATGTCATGATGAACAGAAAATATAATAAATATTCTTAGTCAAATATTTGAACGGTATGAATTTCGTTATTTACTTTCGAGAATTAGTAGAAGTTGTAGTTTTATTAACACTGAGAACTACACGAAGATTGAATAATCATTGATTGTTGAAATTCTTGTTTATCAAAAAAGAAATCTATTGTTAAAAAGCGAAGTCTTATTTTCTACTAGTCGATTAATTATGTCAAATAATTAGTTAGTATGGCACAAGGTGATTTAACATATCCAAAGAGTTTGACTAGAAAAAATAAAAACTAATTCACTATGTTGCATTCGATTGTATGCTCAGCTGACAATCATGTGAATAATATAAATCCATAGTATTAAAGAATTATGATTGAATCAAGTATTATCGGATGTATTGGACGAATAATGTCAGACTTGAAATTTGTTTTTCCCTATCCATTAATCTTCTGACTCTGATAGGCTGTTAGAATCTTCAGTTAAAACAATCAATTCGAATCTCGAAATGGTGAGAAATAATTCGAAGTTATTGAATGCCGTTTTAATTTAAAACTATTGAGCATTCTTAGAATCGTCATCAGATTCTACTTAATTATATATCAAACTAAATATCTCCTCTGTAACATATTCCTGCCTATATGTTGTTTATTGGTAGTAATGCATTCAAACTATTATAGCTAGTTAATTAGTAAGTTTATTCAACAGATGAATTTGAAATTATAACTGTCATCAATCATATAGCAAAGAGTGTAAAATGAATTCTGTTGAACTTTTGAATGGTTATGACATTAGGCGCACTTTATAATTTGATTATTACAGTCCATGAAATTTTTCAGCAGCTCATATTGCTGACTTAATAAAAGAATATTTTGTCTGTTCTTGACTCATAACATGCACTTCTTCATTAGTCGTTATGTAGGCGATGTTTTTGATGAGTGACACTTTTACTGAAAAATCGTTGAGTATTTTTACCAAAACAGAAAAAAATTATTTATATGGCTAATTTCATGTATTTTTTTTTTCTATTGCACAATATCAAAAACTCCTGAATATAAAAAAATAAAGCTTATTTATTAAATCAATTACAGTCTATATCCATTTTTTGACGTCGAACAAGTTCTCGATAGAGTCCATTCCCATTGTTCATTAATTCTTCATGTGTGCCTTGTTCGACTAACTGACCTTTGTGTATCACAAATATTTTATCACATTGTTCGATTGTACTTAGCCGATGTGCTGATATAAGAACAGTTCTCTGTTCTTGTCTTTCTTTATTATAAAATAAGGCATCGTGAATCTATTCAGAAAAAAAGAAGAATTATAATTCAAAATAATGAATAAAACTTTTTCGAATATAATTTTACCAAACGTTCATTCACAGGATCTAAAGCTGATGTTGCTTCGTCTAGCAAAAGTATTGTTGGTTTTCGAATAATAGCTCGAGCAATTGATATTCTTTGTTTCTGACCACCTATTCAATGGCAAAAAAAAACAATCTAATCTTCAAAATATAAATTTTCATAATAAATTTTAACCTGATAAATGACCACCGCGTTGGCCACATATCGTATTATATCCATTAACAAAGTCAGTAACAAATCCATGTGCATTGGCTTGTTCAGCAGCTTGAATTATGACTGTTTCATTTCGAATACTAGTGTCATCATCATCACCATCATCATCTATTGCATATGCAATATTTTCTTTAATTGTTCTATTAAATAAAATAGGTTCTTGTCCCACCATAGCAATTTTTTTATGAAGATATTTATGATCATAATCATGAATTTCTCGACCATCAATCAATATTGTGCCACTACTTGGATCGTAAAAACGTTCAAGTAAATTGATACAAGAGGATTTTCCTAATGACAAAAGAATAGAAAGATAGTTCACTACGAACAATAATTGTTTTATTTTACCAGAACCCGATGGTCCGACAAAAGCACACGTTTGACCTTGTTCAATTTTAAATGTTACATTCTATAAAATGAAAGAAATAAGTGGAAATGAACAAAATAAATTTTACTTGAAGAGCAACTTCATCTGGTCTGGCTGGATAGAAAAGTGAAACGTCGCTAAATTCAATTTCACCTCGAAATTCAGCAGGTTGAAGTGTCCCATTGGGTTGTTGTGTTGATTTACGATCGAGATAATCAAAAACTGATTGACTAGCGCCAGCTGCTGTCATGAGCGCTGTATATATTTGAGAAATATCCTTCAATATAAATAAATTCAGTATTTGAAAATAAAATGTATATCAGCTTACACTTAAAATTGATCCAAGTGTTAATTGATATATCACAAATGCTAATAAATCTGGTCCAGCAATTCGATTGTTACGCACAAGATAAGCACCATAGGAAAGCATAACAACACTCATACCCAATTGAGCTAACTATTAAATAAAAGCAAAGATTAAATAAATATTTCTAAAAAAGTAAAAACCTAATCCCATCGTCCAAATGAATGGATCAGTTTCTTCTTTTTCTTTTAATTAAAAACCAAACTATTGGAACTTGATCATACTCACTTCAACAAACCATTTTTGTGCCGCCGATAAAGCAGCTTGTACCAATGATGCTTTGTAAGCTTGTTTAAGAATATCAGCAAATCGTTTCAATTCGCCATCTTCATTTCCAAAGCTTCGAACTGTTCGTATTGTTTGAATAGTTTCTTCGGCTATTTCGGATGCATCAGCTGATAGATCTTGAACCTTTTCTGATATACGTCCTTGAGCATTGCCGCTTATTCTAGTAACAATTAATATAAGTGGTGCACCGATAAGACAAGCAATTGTTAAATGAAAACTCAATTTTATCATCATGATAAGTGTACCAACTAGAAAAATATAACAAAAAAAAGCCACATCATGAATATTTCATTAAAGAATAAAGCTTTGATCAAATGTTCAAGTATTCATAGAGTAAACTACTTATTACTTGCTTATGAATAGAAAGTAGTTAGTGACAAGTTGTTATTTTTTATTGTTCTCAACTTACCAAATTTAACAAATGCGCCAATACACTGAGCTATATTATTAGCTACAGTTGAACTCATTATTTGTGTATCATGATTAAGACGTGAAAGTAATTTGCCACTTTCGTTAGTATCAAAAAATCCAATTTCTTGTCGTAAATAGGATTGAAATAATTTTGTTCGAAGACGAATATTAAGGCGTGATACACATACAGCAAATATTCCAATACGAAATCCACCGAGAAATCCTCTGAAAATAACAGAATTAGTTTGTGTAATTATTTTTATTTGATATTGTAATACCCAGAAAAATTCACAATGACGAACATAATTAAATTATGTTTAAATTGTTCCCATGAGTCTTTAAATGCGACACTTGACAAAAGTCTTCCTGTATATAATGGTACAAAAACTTCAGCTGAAAATAATAAATAAAAATATCATTTTTGAGAAATCAATTAGAATAGTACTTGCATAAAGCTGCTCCTAATAGAAGAATTGTTCCGAATGTAATCAATAGCCAATCTGGTCGACTGTATCGAAATAAACGTTTGAGTACACGGCGTTGTTTACGTTTAATTTTTACATCTAAATATTAATAATAAGATGATTTTTCTTTGAAAATATTAAATATACCTTTTTCTTGTTTTTTTGAACGACCCATAATAATTAATAAAAATTAAAATAATGTAGATTATGGGAAAAAAAAAGCACTAGAACATTATTATCTATTCCCTATATATCTCCTTAGCTTTCCATTTTTCTGATAGTTTGACAAAGCCACAAAAAGAAGAATCATATTCTATTCGTTCTTACAGAATAAACAAGAAATATGATGCCTACCAAGAAGAGGCCTCTATGACAAGAAAAATGGAAGAGAAATTTTATTTACGGAAACAGCTCATATCAGGGGTGGCGGAGCGTCATTAAGCTAGGCGAAGCTCATAATATTTTTTTTCTGCTGTGGAATTTTATGAAAGCATCTAGCAGAAAATAGGTCTTGTTTTTTATTGAACTTCAGTAAAAATAGAAGTGATCAGTATAAAAAAGAACATTGGAAAATACCAAAATATATTTTTCTTTGCTCCTACTTTGATGCCAGAGTACAAAATAGCAATAATCAGTACAAAAACAAGTGAAGCTGGGCGTCATCATGAGAAATCTAGGTGATGCTCAAACCTCATGGGTCTCAGTGGCTCCGCCGCCATTGGCTCATGTAACAGTGTCTTCTAATTTTAATCTTAACGATTCTTACTATTATTTGTCTCAGGGATTGATTGATAATTTGCTCCAGGCATTTTTCTGTTATTTTTCTGTACAAGGTTGTATAGTAAAAACAGACGACAGCGAGACACTTCTATTGAATTATGACTTTATTGCATTTTTTTACTTGCGATTTTCGTTTCTCTCTCCAGTACTTATTCTCAGGCATGTATGGCGATGATTGACACTGAAGAAACAACAACAACTGCATGAAAAGAAAGCGTTACTTTGACATAAATTAATCTGATAGTAGTGATTTTAGTTGAATCATTGGCGCTCTTCTTTTTTATTTTATTTTTAAAAGTAAAAATCAATTTTTTTGTTCTTTTTAAGTTTATTTAAAAGAATGATAGGAAACCTAAAACAAAATATCAAGGTTTAAAATATCTGACATTGTTTCGATTTTCCTAAAAACCCAATGCAGTTGATTAATATTTTGAGAATCGAATTGTTACTCTTTTGAATTTATTGTTGGTCTCTTTATTACTTAAATAGATAAGAGATACTATCTCTCAAGTGGTTAATGGAAGGCGAAAAAAAGCAATTCGATTTTTATTATCATGTATTTTTTTCAAGCTCTTTAATGATGCAATTTGTTATCAAACATTATTACCTATAATTTAGTGATTCATGTTTTGTGCTACTAGTTTATCATCGATATGTTGAAAATTATAAAAATCGATTAAAATATTGAGAAATATATGGCTTGCAATTGAAAGGTGTGCGTTTTTAAGACAAAAATATTGACAAAAAGTCGGATCGAATCATTACTCACTACCAAACCAATAAATTATTAATCATTCTTGAGAGTCAATACTCATGTTTGATATTTAAAGCAACGTTTTATTTTGTAAAACAATCATACCTATATAGATTGATCATGCATCATCTTTTTTTATAGATTCTTTGACGATATATTTCACCTATTTTAAGTTAACTAGAAAAAAAAATACAAAATCAATTTAGCGAAAACTATTGCAAAATTTATTAATAAATAATTTGATTATAATGTTCCGCGTAGATTATTTACAAATGTTTCATTCATTGATTAAAATAACATATATGACATGATGAAAAGAAAAGACTAGTATGAGAATTGTGCTACTCTTAATCGTAACCGCATTGCATTTTGCACTGCACTTAAAGCATTCCGTTCGACAGGTTTACCAAAGCAAATAAACCAAATGCATATTGCTGTACCAATGATACAAAGAATATCCTTAAAAATTATAAATATTGTATATAAATAACTGTTTGATAATGAATTGCCATTTAATGAAAATAAAATGAAAATAAGAATAAATATGCCAAGAGCAAAAAATATTCGTTCGCGTTGGAGACGTTGAATTGTTCCTTCAACAATAACACAAGCTGAACTAAGTAATGCTCGTGTTTCTTCATCAACTATTTCAACATCTTCAAGATGTTTCACCTTTTTCTCTGGTGCTTTTTCATCGATTTCAAATAAAGCATAGACTGCTAAATGATCAGAATAGTAAAGTCCATTTGAGTCATTCGGAACTTTATGTAATGTCGGATAAGCTTCAAGACATTTTACATTATCTATACGTAACACAAAACTGAAGTGTTTGAATAAGTTTAAACAAAAATAAATCATTACAAACCATTTCGTGCTCGATAAAGTATATAATCGATGCGTTCACCTTCACCTTGTAATTGATATGGAGTAACATATGGATTATCAAGTAGATCACATGTTAAACCGTTATTGCCTACAGTTGGATCATAGATATCCTACCAAAGAAGAAGAGAATAATATTATGTTGAATGAATGTATAGATTTATCTTATTTAACCTTATTAATTCGTTCAAGAAACGAATCATGCAATTGAAGAATACCTCGAATAAGTTGAAAACCTAAATCTTCTGTTCTTAAATTTAAATCACCTAGAAGAATTGTTAAATGTGTTGTATCTGCTGCTGATGTACTTTCAATAAATTGAATTAATTCATATGCTTGACATACACGATGTCCCAAATAAATATCTTTCGGTATAACATGATGATAATTAGCATGTAAATGTGTATTATATACATTTACTACATGACCATTTATTAAAATTTTACATAGACCAATTAATTTACCAGCAAAATAATCTCCATGTTGGATTTTATGTGGAAACCCTAGAAGTATTACATCATATATCAGTTGGTGATTGAATTCTCTTATTGATATCTACGAATGATTGATTTACTTTGGAATGAAAGTGGCTGAGAGTGTGATACTCTCTCTCTCTCTCAACTATTTTATGGTGAAATTACGTCTTGGGAAAACAGTTCGTATTGAATATCGAAGTAGTAATTATTATAGTCTGTAAATAGTTGGTGAGTCAAAAAGTTTCGGTGTACAATAGATTTCAGATATTATAATTATGAAATGTATTTGAAAATTGAATTTTCTACACTTACAATTCATGTTTAGCTTCTGCTATGAGTCATGGGCTTTTAGTTCAAAAAAAAAGGAAATTCTTCTACTATACATGAGTGGTTCTACTTTTGACGGAAGCTTTGTTTTGTCATTCATGCAGAAATTCTTATTTCGCAGATGAAGAGGGGTACGAGGAAAATTAAGTATTTACTGCAAATATTGCATCGATTACAATCTGTTTTTCTTTTTTGCTGTATCGGACCGTTTCTCATGAAGAATTTTGAACTACTCATAAGCTTATTAATCGTACGCTTACTAAGTATCAATAAGAAATTTTCTCACCATTTAAACTATATCGATGTTCATAAACACCTATAATGGGATATTTTGAAAAAATGCAACAACCTGAACCAATGACGCCACTTAAAAAATAGTAACTATGCGAATAAATAGATTTAATTTGATTTTGGATATAGATATAATCTCTTTTGCTCCATACCTAATCAATAGAAAAACTTGTATAGAGTATTTTCGACGTGTCAAACTTACTTCTTGTAACCCAATAATATCATAGTCGGCTTCAGGACTATTCAAATGATTAATTAGTGCTTGAATACGTTTATCGATTAATTTCGCCATAAAATGTACACCCCAAATATTCAATGAAAGAACACGTAATTTCATTTTTGTCTGTTTTTTATGTCTAGAAATATATAAAGGAAAAGTTTTTTAATTTTACCTTTAGATTTTCTTTATGTAAAAACGATCTGCAGAATATATTCTCATTCTTTTTTACTCTCTCGAGCTCGAGTTTATTCAAATAAAAGAAAAGAACAATATAAAAAAGATGTTTTCTATTTCAACTTGAATTCCCATTTGTTGTCGGCTTATCACCACCGCCTTTCTCTGTTTTCTTATCAATAGCAGCTGCTACTGCAGCTGTAGTTGTTGGTATATTATCTGTTTTTTCAGCATCAGAATTCTGAATTTTATTCATAATTAAATTATGTAAAGCTATTATTGAACGAATTAATGATGATAGATAAACAAGTAACATTTCATCATTTGTTTTAACATAAATTGATTTCATTAAATCTTGTTGTGTCACATCAGGTAATAAATTAAATATATCTTGAATATGTGACAATATTTGATGATTTATTGGTAATTTATTTGCTAATAATTTGTCAAGATATGCTCGAACATCATATAAACTTTTTGTTAAACCCTTAAGACCCATTAATTGATTTGTTATACGTTGTGATAATGTACCGACTGTTGCATTACGAATATCACTAAAAACAAAAGAATTGAATTAGTTTGCGATTTTATCTTGAGCAATAGGGAATTTCTCTAACAAATCCAATCGTAAAATATGATTCCAGGACTATTTTCAATGCTATGAACACAAGAACGTTGTGACATGATAAATTGGATGTTGATAATTGTTTTATTTTATTAGAAAGAACTTATTGTGACAAAGATTTTGCGATGAAAATTGGCAGGAAAAGAAAATTTAATTTTGTGAAACTCATACCAAAATGTGATCGAGAAGTATGTCTTATGGTTAATTACTATTTTTCAGCTGAAAAAGAGAGATAACTGAGAAGAACAGTTTTCCTAGTGACATAATGGATTTGAATTAAACTGAAATGTCTTCTTTCGTATATTGGCATACTTATAGGAAATATTTATTTATTTATCTTTGACGAAATGCTGTAACTCTCTTACACATACCAATTTCCTTATTTTGACTCATGCATAGAGAGACAGAAAGAGACAATAAATTCTGTTAAATGTTTGAGATATCTCAATGGCTTCTATCTTAAAATACAACATAGATTTTACGTGCTTGATAAAAATGGATAAACTTGATCGATTCATTTCAGAATCTTTTTGAGGTAGATCAAGTCATCTATTTATGAAATAGCTTAACTTTTACAGTCTGAGGAAACTAAAGGTAAACAGACTATTAAGATGATCGTACCGTAGAAGATGTTCAACACCAACTTCTTCAGCTTCTTCGGCACCAATTTCTGATGATAAATGTTCAAAGGTTTTTGATGCTGGGCTACCATCCTTTTGAAACAAAAAAAGAAACTAACTTGTAAAGTTCGAAAACAAGGAAGATTTCTTACATCATGAATTTCTTCAACTGCAATATATGCTTCAGTTGGTAAACCTAAATCTTTGGGTTTAGCATCAATGATAACAAGTACTGAATCTGGTTGATATTCTCGAATTAATTCATTGATTGATATATCATTTCGGTGTAACTTTGGACCTGTATGATACCATCCAACAATACGTTCACGAGCTAGACTTTTCAAATTCTAATGAATGAAAAAACACTTTCAAATATTTTTCTTTTACCATTAACTTTTCTATACATAGTATGCATATTTTCCAAATATTCATGATCAAGAAACCAAACATCTTTTTCTTTTTCTTCTTCATCAAATGGTACTGCAAAAAAAAGAAAAATAGTAATCATATATAAAAGACTGCAAAAACAATTCTTACATGCAAAACTATTTGAAACATCAAGAATTTTATTTTTCAGTGAACCAAGCAATACTCCAACAACACGTTGCGAATTTCCTATTTTACCCATACGATTGAAATGATCAACAACACTGAGCAATACAAGTGGATGAACAACAACTTTTTCAATTTTATTTAACGGAGACACTGATGATGAAAGATTTTTATCTGTTAATGAACCATTTTCATTTGGATTTTGTTCATCACTAGTCGACTTTGCCGATATTGCCGTTGTTGGAGGTGACATTTTGTTGAATCTTAAATGAATAAAAAATAAATGTTGTTTGATTTGACTATGAATAGATGTCAGATGATTAATCGTCAGCTAATAATTGGATAGTATGAGCTACCAATGAAACAGAAGCTGTCTTGCGTCGCGTCTTTTCGTCTTTGCGTCTGTTATCCTTTGCCACAAATTGAAACCCCCTGATACATCCCTACATCGTATCCACACTTGTGGAGAACAGAGCTCCGCGTGGGATGGGACGGAAATTTTTTGAGAGTCGTCCCATGGGACGAAGAAATATTATATGAATCTATTCTTTTTACTAAAAACAGTGTAGTCCTTTCAATGTAGATGTCGTACCCAACTGTGTGAGAAAAATAGTTAAAAATACAAACTATACATGCCCAGGCAGACATGACCTTCAAAAAAACGCGTTAATATGCGTTAAAATTTCGTAAAAACGTCATTTTTACGATTTTTTAGTGCGTATAAACGCGTTAACGATGGTGAACCCGTTAAAATGTGTACAATTTTTTTCGGAATTTACGTGTTTTTTCTCGTCATTTATCATTCCGAATGAAACATAACAGCTCTACTTTTTCATTTTTGTTATTTCTGTAGCTATCTGTTTTGTTTCCGTAAATCGTTCAATCAGTCATATATTGTCGGTGTGGGTGTGGGTGTGTGGGGGTATATAAGCAAGACACACACCCGCATCCTACCCTCAAGAAAAAACATTTTCCCATTTTCCTACTCTAATAGGAAAGGATAGCAGAATAAGTTAATCTTTTTCTTTGAGTGGATCGGAGCTGATGAACATTTTGGAAAATTTCGTTTATATTCGAACTCGTATTAGGCAGCTACTCTCGCATGACATTGCAGATGGATCATGAAATTGAAATTTCTGATGATTCAGAATCAGAAGTAACAACAAGTGAAGAATTTCCTAGTTTCTGAGACAAACCAACTATCATTATCAACGGGAAAAAAAGTTCATCAAAGTCGAAAAGACGTTGTCGCTTCAACCAAAAATAGTTGAAAGATTCTAAATATACAGCATTTTTCAGAATCTCGAATTAATAAATATTTTTGTTCATTGTTCTATGCATAAATCAGATTTTTTTATTTTTAACGGTAGTATATATCTGATCGGTTTCCTCAATTAAATCCTCTATTTTAGGACGCAGATAATGTACCCCATTTGACAAATAAGAAATGCTGAAGCTAATCGATTGCCCTAATTTTTTAATTTTCGAAGGACTATTGTGCGGTTGAAGCCTCAGTTATATTCGAATTAAGCATCTCATGTGGGCGGATTCCCGGATCCCGATGAATATTTTTGAGACTATATTGACTTCGAATTTTTCTTGCTTGGTTCGCACAGGCGTCAACTAAGATCTGATGCAGTTAAGCCATATTATTTTTCGATGATTTCTGTTATTGATTTGCTCAATTATTATCTTTACAAGAAATATTTTGGAATAATTGGTACTTCGCATGAAGTTGTTAACAAGTTTATTGTTATGAAGCAAAAACCTCAGAAAAGTAGCTGTTGAATTTATACACTCTAGCGAACACTAATTGTTTCTCTCTAGAGGGATATTTTAATCTTCGCAATATAATTCCTACAAGACGATGTTATTGAATAACTCACAAAATACTCTTGAATGATATTTGTTAGTGAAATAATGTTTTTTCTTACACAAAATTTAGTAGCCGAAAGCTAAAATAGTTATGCCACAAATAAACGACATTATCAAGAGTTTTAATATATATATAAATTAAATATATCAAAGGAAACAAAGCTTAATGATTCAAAACAAGTCATCTACAAACCAACGATTGTATACTGCTGCATATAAATCCATATGAGATATTCATACTATGAATCACATCCGAACTAATTTAATTGTTGATTCATAAAATACCAAGAACTATTTCACATGTGAAAATCCCTGTGTAGTGTTTATGCTTTAGTGCAATTCTTTTATTGATAAAAATAAAACACTGCTATCAAAATAAATATTTTAGCGTCCGTATTGCCGCATTCCAATTCTCTTCTATAAAAATGTCAATGTTCCATGAGTTCATTTTTTAAAAATAAACCATGAAATTAAACAAAATTATTCTGGGCGAAATAAGTTTATTTCATTAAAATTCTATAAGATCTAATTATTTAATCACGTTGAATGATTGCGGTCAATTTATAAAGAAGTGAGAAGTAACAAAAAAGGATCTCAATGAATCTGACACACAGACACGACTACAGGGATAAAAAGAAAGAAAAAACAAATATACACTGTTAAACAGGTTCTGAACAATAATCTGACACACAGACACACTGTTTGTTTGTTTGCTTGTTTGTTATTTTTTGTTTCTTAGTGAGCACCAACGACTAGGACAAATTACGAATGACAAAGACAAAAGAAATTCTATCTGAGAGGAAGACAAAAAAAGTAAGGTTAATTTGAATCTTTAAATATAAATAAATCGAATGATTCTTCTTCGTTTTGATTGACTAATACAGATGATAATGAAGAATCTGATGACGAACATGATGTACTTTTCCTATTTTCATTTATTTCATCAATTGATACTGAGGAACAAGGTACAACACAAAATAATAATACAAGAATATCATCACATTTTATATGAGCTAAAAAAAGGTTTTTTATTTGTACTTCTAAAACAATTGAAAAAAAAATTCTTTTACCATGACATGCTGATTTAACAAGCATTTGACAAACATTCTGTAATGATTCCACTGAGCACTGATCATCCTAATTAACTTTCAGTTTTTATTATCTTATCTAACTTTAAAACTTACCAAATGATTATTTATAATTTGAACAATAAAATCTTCATAAAGATTATCAAAAAGTCCATCTGATGCAATTAATAATAAATCACCTATTTCTAAATTATGTTCAATATATTCTCCATCACTCGGTCTGAAAAAATAATCAAATTTAAATAAAAATCAAATCATATTATAACATACTTGTCATGATAGAGTCTTGTTGTATTTGATGTAAAAGATTGTGTTGTTGGAAGAGATGATAATTGAAAAGGCGATGAACCACGGTGATACTGAGGATGCGAACGAATTATTAATTTATTTTGTCTTATTAACATAAAACCACTATCACCGATATTAAGCGAACGAAGATATGAAGAATGTTTATCTATTGATAATAAACAAAGTGTTGCACTACCAAATATTGAACGTTTTTCAACACAACGTATAGCACGATGAACAAGACCACGCATGGATGATGAACCAATTATACGATCAGTTTCTTCCAAACATGAACTTATTAATGTATGAGCAAATTTATATGGATCAAGACCATGATGACGATTTCCGCTTACTCCATCCGATAAACCTATTTATTTGTTCAAAAATAGATCTTGATGCATTTAGAAGAAAGAAACTAAAATTTTACCAATAAGAATGTAATCATTTGATTGTTTAACAAAAGCAACATCATCACCATACGGTCCAGATAGAAGAATTATTTCTTCTTCTAATTTTGATTGATCACAGTTTGTTTTATTTATACCTTGTTTAGATATTCCATGCCAACCACATTTTAAACTAATATATACAGATGAACTTTCCAACATCGAATCTTTATTTAGACAAATAAATCATATTTTTACTTCTTCATATCAACATCTTCTCGTTCTTTTTTTTTCTTATTTACTTTCAATATTTATATTTTACATAACCAATCAATGAGATTCTCTCCATATATTTGGTTATATCAATAGATGTCTCTCCATTTCATTCATTTACTATCCACCCGATTGACTATGCATTACGCGAAAGATCAATAGAGATTAACGGAGAATAGACTCATTAGAGACGAATGTTGACTATCGATTGATGATTTCTTTTCTTCTTTTATTTTATTTCATAAGGAACATATTTGTATAATAATGGACTTGTGGTGGAATTCTTTGTTAGACATTATTCCTTTACCGATTCTTATTGGAATGTTCATATGGACATTTTCGATGTGTTTTTTTTCTCTTTTTTTATTTTTTATTTTTATTTTATTACATAAACGGTTTGTTTTATTTGAATAGAAATCTGAATTTAATAAAGTAATCTTAAAAACTACATTTTAGTTCATCATCATTAGCTGAACTGGTTTCCGTAAAAGAATTTTCAAAGATGGAAACAAATCGAAAAAGTGGATTTAGTTGTGACAGTTTATCGTTGATGTCAGGTGAAACGACACGAAATGATATTGAAGATACGATAAGTTCATTTTATTTAAAAAATTCAAATTATTTAAAAGAAAATAAGAAAATGTCTTCGTTACCATCAATTAAATTATGTCCAATTATAAATGAAAATCGACAAATAAATACTTTACCACAATTATCTACACGTCGATCGATTATAAGAGATTTAACTTCAGTTTCAAATTCATTTAATGATAAGAAAATTCATCAATCAATTGATTCACTTTTTTCAAAAGATTCACTAATTGAATAACTTTTTATTTATTGTTCTATTTACTTTATTTTAAATGTTTTTCTTCATTCCATTCAAATTGCTTGTTGTTTGTTTATATAAAACAGATAAAAACGTTAGACTTCATCGAAGTACTATGGAATGATTTATTCAATTTTTCTTTGCTAAAGAGGTTCAATCTAAATAGAATGAATTTATTTGAAACTATAATTTTAGTAATTACTGTATTCAGTTTTCTCAAGAAATCAAAATTCCATATTCGTGGTCAAATGATTTTTTCTGATAAATACCTATCTATTTTTGTGATAAATATAATAATTGAAACGTTGTTTGTACTGATAGTAATTTGGTTCTTTTGTTTTTTTTCCTTTTTAATATTTGATAAATTCAAATAAAAATCTAATTCTTAAATTGATTTCTCAAATAACAATCAAACAACTATAATTTTTTATGTTATTTGAATTGATTGATAAATATAAACTAAATAAAAACATATGGAGTAATTGAACTATTTATTATTGGATTTGTATTTTTACATGTTAACAAATCAGTTATTATTAAGATTAATGATAGAATTAGATCAACATACAATGGAAGTGCAAAATAAGTTTGATAATTATAAAATATTTTACTTAATTTATTTTGACGACAGCTGATTGATTACCGATCAACACTCGATAAGCAAATACATGTTAATGAAATAAAAAGAAACCTTCTTTGACTAAAAGCAATGCGCCCTACAACTATTGAAGAAGAAAAAAAAATATAATAATACTTTTAAAACTTTTATAAAGAATCTTTTGAAATGAAAATCATAGAAATCTATGCGACATTGATTTATGAATATAATGAAATTTCAGTATTCGGATTTATTTGGTTTAGCTGATTTTTATTGAAAAAAGTAACTTCTATCTATATTAATATTATTTGTCAGAAAAAGAAAGCAAGATCATGCTTGATTGTACGTATGTTCATATGATAATATAAGTTTTCTAGATAAAATATATGAAATGTGTATAGATGATAGTTATCTTTCTTTGAAAGGGTTTTTCATTTCAAATTAATACTTATTTAGAAAAGAATTCTTCAGATAAATTCTATAAATAACAATGAAATAAGCTGAATAATTAATCTTAACTTTCAATTATATCTTCTGAAACAAACTGAGAAGAGTCTCTTGAAAAAAAATCACTTTTGATAAAGAACATTTAAGATTAAAGAACGTCGAACTCGGTGCTCTCATTTCGGTTAAAGTCTTTTCTAACATAATTTGTTTATGATTTCTCTCATATTAAGATTTTTTTCGCTTAATTTCTGAAATATTATCGTTTTCTCTCTTGAATTAGAAGAATGTTGATCTATTTTTATCATCATGAAATTTTTAACCGCAATTAAAACTAATCAAATTTTACGATTTACAATATATGATAATTTTGTTTCTTTTGATTAGAATTAATAAAATATATTCAAAAATATTTGATTTCATTGATATTAAATCTTATTGATTAATACGATAAGAAAAACTTTTCTTTTATTTATTTAAATGAAAATAAACGTTCATTTTATTATTCTCAGAGTGCTGATTCTATATAGAATTTTCTTTCTTTTTTTTCAAAGAGAAAAAGAAAATCTAATAAGTTTTTCGAAAAATAATTTCATGATTGAAAACGAAATGGTCAGAACTGGACAAGTTTGCTGATTATATTTCATTTCTGTTTTGTTGATTGTTTCTATCGATCTAGTATTCTATGATGTTTCCTTCTGTGATAAGTCAAAAACTATAATCTCCAAAGTTGATTACAAGACACAAAGTGCCCACTTTCTATAGTTGTTTATGTTAATGTTCTCAATGAATTATATGTAAATAAATTAGCATGTAAAACATTCTCGAAACCTTCTGTATACCTATGTCAATATATAATATAGAGAAGCGAACATTTCCGTAAAGTTCGTCTTGTAGTGACATCTTCAATAAATCTATCAATTATTAGTGGAAAATATTCTATTTTTCCTTTTTTTCTTCTTTCTATATAAACAAAAACAGAAAAACATCATGGTATTATATCAATCATAATTGAGTTTAATCACGTGTTTTAACATTTCATACTGAAACTAGTGAGAAATATATACAAATTTTGAGAGCAAAATACATCGAAAAAAAGAATTTTTTATCGTATTTTTTCTTATTAGACATTCAAATGAGTTTAACAAATAGTTCTAATGAAGAACAAATACGTATTCTTGTTTTAAATGAAGGAGAAGATAAAAGTGAAGAATTATATCGATTAAAAAAAGGTTTGCATCTATTTTAAAAACAATAAAATAAAATAAATTCTCATGCAAAGGTTGGAATCTTCAAATAAAAATTTCTTCTTGTTTATCATGGAGAAAAGTTCGATTATTTACAAATAGTTGTCTAAATGAAGAAGATCAATTTGAACGAACTATTTATCGAGAATTAAAATGGATTTATCCATCAAATGGAAAATATGATGATTCAGATCGTTATACCAATTTATCATGTTTCAAATCTGGTTCGTTTCATTATTATTTTACTATTGATGGTACAACGTAAGTCGAATATTTTTTATTTAAATAAAACTAAAATTATTCATTATTTTAGATCTAAAGATAATTTAAATGGTCAAGGTTATTTTCATGTTGAACCCTATTTAATTTGGCCAGATGGAAGTAGTGAAGTATTAGAACAAGAATGTATAGCATGTCAAACAGTATTATCAAAATCGTTAGGTCCATTATCTGAATGGACATCACGTCTTGAAGTGACACATCATTCTGGTTATAATATGATACATTTTACACCAGTACAAATACTTAATTGTATATCAAATTCATCATATTCAGTAAGTGATCATCATAAGTTAAATCCATTATTTCAAGGAACATATGAAGAATTAAAACTATTAATTGATAATATGGCTAAACAATGGAGAATATTATCAATAACTGATCTTGTTTATAATCATGCAGCAAATGATTGTGAATTACTTAAACAACATCCTGAAGCTGCTTATAATTTAATTAATTCGCCACATTTAAAACCAGCTGTTCTGCTTGATTCAATTCTTATGCAATTTAATTGTGATGCAAATGAAGGAAAACTTCTATCCAAAGGTATTCCAGCAAAAATCCAAGAACACCATTTACAATTAATTCGTCATTATTTACTTGATGAAAAATTAATTGAATAGCGTTTATGGGAATATTATATTTGTAATATCGATTTAATTGTTGAAGAATTTAGTAGGAAATTAACATTATTAAATGATTGTCCAGATAAATCTTCATACGACAATGATAATTTAATTGAAATCAATCATGGACAATATCAAAGAATGAAAAGTTTTATTGATCTTGATTTAGCTGAAAAAATCTATTTTTATAAACGAGAATATTTATCAACAAAACAAGAATGGATAAATGAAGCATGTAATCAATTAAGAAATCGTCTTAATTATTTAAATAATATTCTTTATAAAAAATTAAATAGACGTTTAACTCGAGCTATTGACAATTGTATTGCTTCATGTCGTTATCATTTTTTTGCATATGATGGACCAAAATATAAAATTTTAAGTTTACCTTCAACACCATTCGTTGGAAATGATTTTCATTATCCAAATCAAGAATTTAAACATCCAGATGAAATAAATCAATTAATTGAAAATGATCTTCATTATCAATCCTATGTTATGGCGCATAATGGTTGGGTTATGAATAATGATCCACTTCGATGCTTTGCTGATGAAGGTCTTTGTTTTGTTTTTTTCTTTTAAAAAATTATCTATTTTTTTCGAAAAGGTCAATTTGTTTATTTATGTCGAGATTTAATTCAATGGTCTGATTTAATAAAACTTCGTTGTGGTTCAAAACGTGAAGATTGTCCATCATTATATACTTATATGAAAGAATATACACGTTTAATAGCAACAACATTTCATGGTTGTCGTCTTGATAATTGTCATTCAACACCGTTATGGTTTGCACAAGAAATGATGGATTATGCTAGAGAAATAAATCCTAATTTTTATATTAATGCTGAACTTTTTACAGGATCTCAATCAATTGATATTCATTTTATTAATCAAATTGGCATTAATTCTTTAGTGAAAGGTTGAGTCTCTTCGTTTTTTTCGTTAAAAAACAAATAAAATCATATTTTTAGAAACATGGCGAGTAAATCATTGTTATGAATTCGGTGAAATAATTTTGTTAACAAGTGAAAGTGATCCAATTGGTTCATTTAATAAATCTCGAATATATAAATTGTTACCAACAAAACCATATTCATGGTTTTATGATCAAACTCATGATAATCCATGTCAAATTGAAAAAAGATCAGTTGAGGATTCAATAACACGTTCAGCTTGTGTTGCTATGGCAAATTGTTCTACCGGTTCAAATCGAGGTTATGATGAATTAATTCCACACTATATTGATGTTGTAAATGAAAATAGATTGTATTCAAAATGGGGTAATCAAAATAAAGAAGTAAATGAAAAAACTGCAATTATTTCAATAAAAAAATCTTTAAATACATTACATATTGACCTATTTCAACAAGGTTTTACTCAGGTTTGTTTTAAATAAAAATGAAATAAAATAAAATATTGTATTGTATTAATAAATAAATGAATAATTTAGTTATTAATTCATGAGTTATGTGAAGGCGTATTATTAATAACTCGCTATAATCCTGAAACACATAAATCAATATTATTAATATGTTATACGTCATTTATTAATGAAAATAATAGAAAAAATCGTTTAAATACATTATCAATCGAAGGAATTATTGATGAAATTTTTATTGAATCATCAATAAATGATTTAAAAGAAAATAATAATTCAATTAAACATTTTAAAAAATCAGAAGATTTTATAAATGGAATTGAAAATCTAAATGTTTATTTAAATGAAAGTATCAATGTTGAAGAAAGTCGTTTTATAAATTTAACATCAGAAAATTCTCCTGATTATATTGGTTATCGTACAATTGAATTTAAAGAAGAATTTAAATCCGGTTCATTTATTATTTTAAAAATTTCACCTCTTCCACAAATTCATGAAAAAATTAATAATATTAAACAAATAATAAAACAATTCTCAAATTCCACAAGCCAATTTAATAAAATAATTAAAGATTTAACATTAATCGATCTCGAACGTGTTCTTTATCGAACATCAGCTGAAGAACAATCGGATGGAAAAGGTTTTGATGTTTATATTATACCTGATTATGGAAAACTTAATTATTGTGGTCTTCAAGCAATTATAACTATTCTTGATCAAATTCGTTTATTTAATCAACTTAAACATCCTTTAGTTCTGAATTTAAAACAAGGAAATTGGTTAATGAATTATATATCAAATAGACTTGAAATTTATTCAAACACAAAACAAGTTTGTTTTCCTTCTTTAGTTTTTATAAAAGTTAAAAAATTAACTACTGTTTATTGTTTCTTTTCAAGTTAGGAGAATGGTATGAAAATGTTTTTTCTTCTATTAGTTTATTATCACGTTTAATGGTTCCAGTTTATTTTGATTTAATTATTCGAAATTCCTATGAACTCTTATTAGAACATAGTTATTCATTAATGACCCCATTTATAAGTCAATCATCAAAATTTGTTCGTCAACTTTCTCAATCATCAATACAATTAATAAGTATTATTAAAAATGCACGTTTACCATTATTATCACCTAATTTACGTGAACCACGTCCATCAGAAGAAAAAGATGAACAAACACTTGAACGTATTCAATTATGTTCATCATTAGCCGCTGGTTTTCCACATTTTGCTTCTGGAATATGGAGAAACTGGGGTAGAGATACATTTATATCATTACGTGGTCTTATTTTATTAACTGGTCGATACGAAGAAGCTCGTTATTTAATATTATCTTATGGTGGATGTCTTCGTCATGGTTTAATACCTAATTTATTAGCTGATGGTAAAGTAGCTCGTTATAATGCACGTGATTCTGTTTGGTGGTGGTTATATTCAATATCAAATTATACAAATAGTGTACCCGATGGCTATGAAATACTTTCAGATAAAGTTTCACGTTTATATCCAACACATGATAGTCCAGCACAAGTAGCGGGTGCGCACGATCAATTATTATATGATGTTATTCACGAAGTTCTTTTACGTCATTTACAATTATTATCATTTCGTGAACGTGGTGCTGGACATTCTCTTGACTCAAATATGAATGATGAAGGTTTTAATAATCAAATTGGTGTTGATAGTAAAACTGGTTTTGTTTTTGGTGGAAATCGTTGGAATTGTGGAACTTGGATGGATAAAATGGGTTCAAGTGAAAAAGCTTCGAATAAAGGTCATCCAGCAACACCACGTGATGGTTCAGCTATTGAATTAATTGCTTTATGTCGTACAACAGTTTCATGGCTTATTCATATGAATAAAGAAAATTATTATCCTTATGATTCTGTTGAAACATCTTCAGGTAATTTGTTTTCAATTGATTTGTTTTTCTTATTTTTATTAAAAACTAAAAGGAACTTCTGGAAAAACAAAATTACTTTTAACGGATTGGTTAAATCGAATTGATGAAAATTTTGAAAAAGAATTTTGGATTGATGAATCGAATTCATCGCAATTTGTTAATCGAAAACAAATTTATAAAGATACAATTAATTCAACACTTCAATGGACTAATTATCAATTAAGACCGAATTTTCTTATTGCTGCTGTCATTGTAAATTCAACTTTTTTTTCTCTATTTTCTGTTAACAAACAATAAAATGTTTTTTTTCCAAAAAAAGTGCTCGAGAAATGTTTAATAAAACTAAGATTTGGTTAGCATTAAAACAAGTTGAAACAATTCTTCTTGGTAAGTATGGCATAAAAGCTATTGATCCAAGGTAAATTTTAGTTAATTATTTTATTAAACAAAAAAGAAAGGGTTTGTTTACTTTAAAGTGATTATAATTATGTTGGTGATTATGTTAATGATGATGATTCATATGATTTTAAACGAGCACATGGTTTTAATTATCATAATGGTCCTGAATGATTATGGTTAACGGGTTATTATTTACGAGCTAAACTATATTGGTCAAAACAACAAAATGACCCACTAATTTATAAACACACAATAAAACATATTCGTAAAATTTTATCATTATATATATATATGATAAAGCATATAGTTGTCAAAAGATCTAAAGACGTTGAAATTATAGATTAATATTGTTAATAGCTAAATTTTAGTTTTTCACTAATAGTTTTAAAAAGATTTCATTATTGAATATGTGTAAAAATCAATTTCAATATTCAAGTGAAAAAATTCATTAGTTCAACGTCTATTAGATGCATGTATTATATATTCAGATATTTATGAAAATAAAGAAAAATTAATTTATACTATAGAAATACGTATATGTAAGTATCAAAAGATGAAATGAATTGTTCTTTTTGAAAACAAAAACTCCTTTGAACAAATTAGAGAATACGAAAGAAAATGAAAATATCAATAGCTGAATTCATCTGAATCATTTCATAGAGGATTAATAACATTTTGTAAAATCCATAAAATAATATTGAAGAAGAAAACTTCAAATGAAATCAGCGTTATTCTATTAGAAATAGGATGTCATTCGTTGATGATAAATGAATAAATGATTTTAATAAAATATTGTTTTTTCCAAAACAACAATTTGTAAATAACGGGTGTCCCAGAAAGAATGGGTTCAACAATATTTCTGAGATTTCTCCTCTATTATACGTGTGATCGGAGTTCTTTTTATTATCAAAAGATAGCGCTTGAAATTCTGTAGCAAATCATATATGACTAGACCCCAAAATAGTTTTTGATATATTTGAAAAAGGTCAAGTACAAAAGACATGCACACAACTGTAAAATGTAAATAACGGGCGTCTCATATTAAATCGCTGCACTTTGCATTTCATATTTTAATCTCTAAATACATTTTATTAGAAAAGTAAAACATGCCACAAGATACAGCGTGAAAAGCTCTACAACCTACGAACTAAAGTTTATTTTAATAATATTTTTTTGTTTTCAAAAATATGCAAAACTCTGTGCAACCGATTTTCGCCATTGTGAAAAAAATCGTTTTTTTTACACGAATGAGAATTCCTTTTACTTATTTTATTTTTTATCGCCTACTATGTTTCTTTAAAAGAAACAAAATATACTATAAGATGCAGCTTGAAAAGTTGTACAGCTTACAAAAAAAACAGTTTATTTTATTTGCATCCTTTTTATTTTCAAAAAACTCCAAATTCTATGCGATCGGTTTTCGCAACGATGAAAATTGTTCGCGCAAAGTTTTGCATTTTTTTGAAAACAAAAAGAATATTATTAAAATAAACTTTAGTTTGTAGGTTGTAGAGCTTTTCACGCTGCATCCTGTGGCGTATTTTGTTTTTTTAATAAAATATATTTATAGATTAAAATGTGAAGTGCAAGCTGCAGTCATTTATTATGGGGCACACATTTACATTTTAGTGCCGTGTGTGTGTCTTTTGTTTTTGACTTATTTCAAATATATCTAAAACTGTTTTGGTGTCTGGCCATACATGGCTTTGTACAGAATTTCAAGCGCTGTCTTTTGATAATAAAAAGAACTCCGATCACACGTATAATAGAGGAGAAATCTCAGAAATATTGTTGGGCCCATTCTTTCTGGGACACCCGTTATAACGCAAGTGTTGATCTGAACTTGGATCTGAGAACTCTTATACCCCTACGGACAGATTGATTATCGAACTTCATCCTATCTAGTTTATATTAGTCAATATTTTCATGATAGTTTTCACTAGAGCCCATTAGGTTGAATAGCATCTGGACGCGAACGTTTTCATCAATTTTTCGAGGCTCGAAATTTGAGGTTATTCTTAAAGCTCTTGATGAATTCTTCTAACCTGATTCTAACTGCTGCTTCAAAAATTCAATATCCTAGTTTTTTCGTTTGATGAGTAGCATGCTTCGCATAGTCTTTTACCTATCTGTTAGCGATTTAACCATAATTAATTTCAATTAGTTCCTATATCCTAATCAAAAGCTTCTATTGCAAGAATTAACGCACGCATTACAAAGGTTCTTCAGTATTTATTTTATTCATCAAGCTGTTAATGATAAATAGAAGCATGTGTTTACAATTTTCATTGGTTTGAAAGAAATAAACAATAATTTGAAATGCTTTTATCAAATGAGATTTAATGATCGGGTCTTGTTCAAAAAAATTTTCAAATCCAGATCCGGCTAGAACCCAATGGGCTCTAGCTATCATACAATCTCTCAATCTTAGAATCGTAGCATCAGCCGTGAATAAAATATATCGTTCTTTTTTTTAATATTTTATCTATAATCAAATCTATACTTTTGTAATATAACTTAACAATAAATCTTGATATTTTAAATCACAATAAAATCATAGAAAGCTATAAAGTCTCGCTCGAAAATATTAACAATTCATAATGATTTTAAACTTTCCCATCATTCCACCACAATCAAGAGTTCACTTGTTGTTTCTTTGCGTATATTTTAAGACTATTTCATGGCACACATGTTAACGGATGGTGCAGAGAAAATTGTCGACTTTCGATAGTGTTTTTTGTTCTATTAGACTCTGCTGAAAAGTTTGGTTCTTATACTAAATGATAGAGAATTTCAAACAGATTTGATTGAAATCTTCTTTTTGAACTGTACGCATATTATTCTTCTACGCAATGAAAAATGTTGCATGGAAAAAAAGCACCACTTGCTCAACTACAAAATCAGATACATGTAATGGTTTATGCGTACCGAGCTAGATTGAATTTAAAAATTTCGGTCTATCAATAAGAGATGTAGAAATTTTTGGTGTATCTTGTGGCGTGTTGAGTTTAATTATAAGATGACGTGTGAATGTGACCAGAGGCGTAGCGCTCCTACCCAATACTTTAAAATCTTGAAGCTGGGGAACGTAGTATCTTCGTTCATATAGATGCGTCACTGAAATACATCTGAAAACAGTTTTTTCGATCTGGTTGAAGAGATACAATAAAATGTGGAAAATCAGGGGTTCTTCCCTCTCTTTCATCTAATTTACATCCCTGGGTGTGGGTCTCAGTACGTATTCGTATTCTGATCTTCTCCTCGTACTCCCACCCTATCCACAATCTCAAGAGATGATGTTCTTGAAACGGTCGACGAGGACGAGACTCGATGAATGAAGTGAAAAGTTTTCAACCCGAGCACAACTTACGACGAAGAATTTCAATTGATCTGATTAAAATCTCGAAAATTTTCCATAGAAATGTATTTCCTTAACTAACATCATAAATCAAGATGAAAACATGTAGATATTGTTAGTGTTACTTTTTTTTATTCAATGCTTCAATTTATCAAGGATAATTATCGGACACATATCTATTATTTGCAGATTTTTATAATATTATATATTTTCTTTTATTTCATTTGTCTGCGTTTCTTCAAATTAACTGAATTATATTGAGTATAAATATTATTTTCTATGAAAAATAATAAATCAGTTATTTTGGTAATATAAATCCATAATGCAGATGTGGACTTCGACTCATTCTTATTCAAGGTAAAGTAGCCAACAAGAATAACGCAGAAAAGAAAGACAAACAAAAAAAAAAGAATTGATGGAGGAAGTAAATAATAATTATAAATGATTTAATTAAATTGGCATGTCATGGGTCATTGTCTGTTCTCTGTTAGTGAAAAAAGAAAGAACTGTTATCTCAAGAGAATAGATATTAAGAAAAAAAGAAAAATATTCTAATCGTAGACATAGAGTCTATCTATATTATTTATTTTTATTTTTATCAATCATCAGCTATCATCAGTGAACTCCTACGATAAGTAGCTGAATTTCCATAGAAGATTATATACATATATCAATGCCAGTAACACTCTGAGTCTATATTCATTTGTAAGTAAGTTATAGAAATAAGAAAATAAGAATTTGTTTCGTCATGGGAATATTAAACGGAAACGACACAGCATTAGAACATATTGACAAATCTAAATTAGCTTTTCTAGCAACATTATCTGAAGTTGGAAAAGGTCCATCAACAAATTCAATGCCGCCAAAAGATCATTTTACATTGAAATTTGATCGAGATACAATCAAAAATTTAAAAGGACGTGTTTATGAGAATATGAAACAATATTCATATGAACAAAGAGGTAATTTCTAGAATATTTTACTTTTTATGAAAATTAATTAATTTCATTTTTAGGTGAAAGTATTCCTGTGTTTTTAGATAATAAAGAAGTTGAAGATTCTCAAGGTGCACTTATAAATCCAATAAAACCTACTGTACCAACAGTTGGTCATCAATATGTTGCTTGTATTTATGATGATCTTAAAATAGTTGATTGTCTTGTAGAAATTGATTGGAGTGAAGTGGATGATTTAGTTAAAATAGCTAATGCAAGACGTAAATCAATTGTTTAAAATTCTTTTATTTCAGCTAAAAAACATTTTTTGTTAAACTTTTATATTCAAATACTTATGGCTTCTTTTTTAAAATTTTTCTTTTTTCTCATTTCTATTAAATAATTCGATCTTATCTTTTCTATGCTGAGTAGTTCATAAATTTAGAAAATAAGTGCCAATGATGCATAATAGTATATTCAAAATAAAAGCTGAACTATTTATTTCTAATGTAAAATTTGTTTGTGCAATTAATAGATTTTCTCAAAATAAAATATTCTTTGCATGCCCATATAGAAGACATTGAAAACAATTAGTTACGGCATGAACATATCGTCATAAATAGTTGACTTTTAGATAAATATACTACATAAAATATATTCTTTTCGAAAGAAAGATTTTTTTCTACTAAATATAGTACTTCTGGATTACAATTTAAAAAGTTCTAAATCAGTGTCTAGAGAAGATCTTATATACATATAATCAATATTTTATTTTACCATGGTTTTTATGTACAAATAGATTTTGATGCATAGAACTACAAAATTTGTTTTCTAATTTAAAAATAAAATATAGAAATAAATATTTATACTTGGCTATTCAAATTGATTAATAATCTTTATACTATCGAAATGGTTTTATTGAAAATAAAATAAAATAAAATTTTGTAAAAAATTTGGTTTCTATTATGGAGACTATTATAATGTTTGATGGCAATCAAAAGAAAAAACGAAGTAAAATTAAATGTTTCTTTTAAAAAATTCGATAGCATCTTGAACGGCTTTGTCTTTTTCTTGTATAACTTGTTCTGTATTATCTGGTCGAACAACGAATCCATGAACTGTGCCAGGATATTCAATAAATGTTCCGAGACCATTCGATTTTAATTCTTTTTCAAATTCTTGTCGAAGATCCGAAGTAAAAAGAGAATCGTTTTCTGCACACAAAAATAAAATAGGTCGTTTGATTTGCGTAGCTTCTTCTTTTACTAAAAATGATGGATGTGCTACAATAGCTGCTTTAACTAATGATGATAATTCATTATGAGTTATTAAATCAATAACAACTTTAGCACCATAACAAAAACCGATTACCTTAAAAACTAAAAATATAACCTTGAGAAATAAATTATTAAATTCGAACTTGAATTGATTGATAATTTGATTTAATTGTTGAAATAAATTTCTCTCCAATACTACATGCATATGTTGGAGGATGTTTTTTTAACCAATTAGGCAATAGATCCCATAAATTAGGATCATCAGGATCCATTGAATCTTGATTAAAATAATCAGGAATTAAAACTGTTACTTGACAAGATTGAGCAAAAGTATCAGCTAGCTTTCGAACATTTACGAATGAATTACCAAATACATCTGTAAAAATAATTATTGCTGATTTTCCTTCACCTGTTACATAACTATTTACTCCAGCAATTTCTTTTTCATAACCTTGTGCTTGATAAATTTGTTTTACACCCGGATCAACACAACATGGACTACTCATTTTTCTAATCTAACTTTGTTTTAGGAATAAAAACTATATAAAATATTATGGCTGTATTCAATTTTCAAACAAAATCTGTAAAAGAGAAAAAAAGTGCATCAACAATTAATAATCAAAAATACCTATATGAATTTGTTTCATTAGTGACATCTATAGATTTCGTTTATATATATATAGTTGAAAATGAGTAAATCTGTTTTTAGAGTATTTTATTTGTAATATGAACAAAACAAAAGCTATGTCTAATGATGTTTTAAAATATTAAGAGACATTTTCTTATCTACGTATAAAATGAAGAACGAAATAAAAGACGCGTGTAAAAGATAAAAATATTTAATGTTACTTATTGTAATAGTTACTCTTTTAGAATAATAATATTTATAGAAGAAGAAAAATAATAGATTTTATATATTGTACATTAACGACAATTATGTCATTGGATATTCCTGTAATCGATTTTTATCCTTTTCTTAATGGAACAGATGAAGATCGGGAAAAAATCTCATTAGAAATAGGTAAAGCTTGTCGTAATGTTGGTTTCTTCTATTTATCAAATCATGATATACCATCATCACTTATTGAACGTGTCTATCAACAAGCCGAACATTTTTTTTCTCAATCAATTGAAGAAAAAATGAAATTATATATTGGTTCATGTCCATATGGAAATAATCGAGGTTATACACCAATGTTTGAAGAAAAATTAAGTCCCAAAGGTGATCTTAAAGAAGGTTTTGATTTAGCTATGGAATTACCAGCTGATGATAAAGATCGAATAGAACGGGGAGCTATTTTATATGGACCTAATTTTTGGCCCGATAATCTTCATGGTAAATCTTTTTTTTTCAATTATTTATTTAATTAAATAAATTTTTTCTCAATTTAAGGATTTCGTGAATGTATTNAGATAATAGTACATTAACGATAATAATAATAATAATAATAATAATAATAATTAATGTCATTGGATATTCCTGTAATCGCTTTTTACCCTTTTCTTAATGGAACAGATGAAGATCGAGAAAAAATCTCATTAGAAATAGGTAAAGCTTGTCGTAATGTTGGTTTCTTTTATTTATCGAATCATGATATACCATCATCACTTATTGAACGTGTCTATCAACAAGCAGAACATTTTTTTTTCAATCAATTGAAGAAAAACTAAGTCCCAAAGATGATCTTAAAGAAGGTTTCGATTTAGTTATGGAATTACCAGCTGATGATAAAGATCGAATTGAACGGGGAGCTATTTTATATGGACCTAATTTTTGGCCCGATAATCTTCATGGTAAATTTTTTTTGTTGTCAATTTATTTAGTTAAATATATTTTTTCTCAATTTAAGGATTTCGTGAATGTATTTATAGTGAATTTTATTTAAAAATGCTTTCTCTTGGTAAGAAATTATTCGAAGCGTTTGCTTTATCACTTAATTTACCATCAAATTATTTTAAATCCATGTGTCAAAAGCCAATGGTAACAATGCGTCTTCTTCATTATCCTCCACAAACAATTATTTAAGATGAAGATCACCTTGGTTGCGGTGCGCATACTGATTATGAATGTTTTACGCTTCTTTCCCAATCAAACCAATCAGGTCTTCAAATACTTAATAATAAATAAGAATGGATTAATGCTAAACCTATACCAAATACATTTGTTGTTAATATTGGTGATCTTATGCAACGATGGACAGATGATCAATTTAAATCAACTATTCATCGTGTTATTAATACAAGTGGAACAATACGTTATTCGATTCCCGTCTTTTTTGGACCTAATTATTTTGCTGAAATTAAATCTTTAATTAATAATGAAAAAGAAAAATATGAACCTATTCTCGCTGGTGAATATTTAACACAAAGATCCAATGATACTTATCAATATAGACAAAACCATACGTCTTCTACTTAAAAAATGTATTTTATTTAAATTATCGTTTTCTTAAATGAATAAAATAATTCTCTTTTCGAAGACATTATCATAGAATGCTACAGACGTCATCGGGAATGATGCAGGTTGTATGTGCAATTGACTACGTCCGTCTTCCGTTGCATTCTTCAATGGATTTCGCTATGTCGCATGTAGCCAACCGGGTCTTTCTTCTGTGGTAGTCAGACGTTGAAGTTCCCGTCTACGATCACACTCTCATTTCACGTGATGATTTTAGCATTCTATGAAAATGTTTTTGAATTTATGAATTATAAAACTTAATATATTTCTATTTCTCTTGTTTAACAGGGCTGCATCGTTTAGTAAATTTTTTCTTTTTCTTTTAGGTTGTTTTCTCCCCGTTTATTTTCGACCTGCAAATAGTTATTTAGGGACATAAGTTGTTATAATAGTTATTTAAAAAAATTTTAATTAATTAATTTTATATTTAGTGTACTGCTGGATCATATTTTTTGGAGCTGATTCATAAGAAATAATCACGAGACTATATCATTTATGTTCTAAAGATCATCATTTAACACAATTTAAAGTCAATATGAGAAGCAATTTGAATTGATTTTTCAAAAAAGAATCAAACGATGACGTCGCATGAACAATTACAACTATTTATTTATTTTTATCACGTAAGAAAAGAAAATTCTATGATATGAACTTTTATTTCTCAAGTTTTGATCGTTCATGTCAATGTAAACCAGACCATAGTGAAATCAATCAAATAAATGAGTATGAAGTTCAATCTATCATCAAGATATAGCAAATGTCACATTCCTTGTAATTAATAATGTTATGTTTTTTTTTGCAAATGTATATCTTCTTGATATTGATTTAGAACATCAAGATTTTCTTGGTGAATATTTAACCAGATAAACAATATCGATTATTTTCTATCTAATAACCGTAACTTGCTGATAAAGATCATAAAGGACCAGATGATGTGATAGTCAAAAAGGAACTCGTATTAGCAATATTGAAACCTGTTGCAAATTCAATTTACAATATTTCTCTTATGTATAATCCAGATAAATGAATTGAATATAACAATAGATAAACATGACATGAATTATTAATTGAATTTTTATATCATTAAACTTTTCTAAATTTTTGTTTATTCACTATTACATCAATCTCAGTTGATCATTGAATAGTAAAAACTCTGTAATAGATTTGTTAGAAGGTGCTTTCTCTAACTGAGCAAAATCTATTCTCTAAGTAGAGCTCGATGAATTCTATTTGCTTCGACATTCAGTTTTTATTGGCTCCTCTTCCAAAACGACATAAAACACGCGCCAATAATGAGTCTGTCTTTAGAAGAAAGTCGTCACATTTCACTCGAAGGAGCTCAACGAAACCAATGGTTATGAGAATTGTTTTAGTCTAGTTAAAAACAGCGAGAGTTATCTAATGGATGTCTATTTACGACGGTGTGTATTTGATGCAGTTAGTGCACATTATCCTCTGATGAAAAGAGTCATTTTCTATGGCCTTTTTCAAATGTTACTTTTTCGAAACAAAACAAAAAGTCCTATTCGAAATTCTATTCGTTTAATAAATGTAAAAATAATTTTAATCTTCGCTTCAAAACTGAAAAGATTTCATTAGACTATTTTTTTTATCAAACTTTAACTATTTAAACATCTAGTCATCTTGAAAATCAATCTTTTCCTTTTCTAATAGAAACAAAAGAACAAAGTTAAACAAAAAATAAAAACATTTTTATTTATCTCTTAGAAGAAGTGCTTCTTGAAGTTTTAATTGTTTTTCATATTGTTCCATATTCGTTCGATGTTTTTCGTCTCGACGTGATATATCAGCAAAAATATTTGCTCGTTTTCTCTAAACAATGAAAATATTCTTTTACTTTGCAAACTAAAAAGAAAATTTACTGTTTTTTCTTCATTCGTATAATAATTAACTGCTAAAACAGTTACTCCTGTTAAAAAGACCGATCCAACAAGAAATATTCGCGCACCAGTCGACAGCGAGATTCACTCAGTTATTAATAACTATAATATATGCTCTGATAAGTAAAATGTTTGGTTAATAATGGAACTCTCTCTTTCTTTCGTTTTCTAACAATCAATAGATGTCATTAGAAATCAATTAGAATTTATTTCCACATATTTTATAAAATAAGATAAATAAATTTGTAATATTTGAAATATTTGATTAATTTCTTGAAGATAAATTTTTCTTACTCATTTTTATAAAACACGTTATAAGAAAATATTTTTTTATTTTATACGAATTACCTATTATAAGTGATGATGGTCACCATTTTTGTGAATCAGTTCCCAACTAGAATCATGAATAATTTCCATCTCTATTCTATTCTAATTTAGGACTAAATAATAACATAAATAATATTTTCTTACGACTTCATATTTTTTAAAGTCATAGAATATGTGACTGATGCAATTAGAACGAACTTAAATTGATAGGTTTTACTGTTTTTTGCTGTTCTTGATTTCAATGTTTTGTTTTCGCTAAACTTTTATTGATAAAACAATATTTTGGCGGAATATTTTCAATAGACAATTTCGTTTGTGAAAAAAAAATCTCAGTGAAATCATTGCATTACAATGGATAAAATAAAATCAAGTTCAATAAAAGAAAAATCTTTTCTTCAAATAATAAGAATAATTCGGTAAGATTAATTTGTCGACACGAAAGAAAAAGCTGAATAATGAATAAATTCTAATTATTTAAATAAAATAGATATAAAAATCGTAGAAGATGTTGTTCAATTATTCCATTAATTCTATTTGAATTAATATTTCCATTAATTTTATTTTTAACGATTATTTATATTTCAAATAATTTATTGAATAATTCAATAAATTCAAATGCTCTGTTTGATTTAAATGAAAATGAAAAATGTTCACAAAATCCATTAAAAAAAAATCTTTTAAAATGAAGTGTTTTAATGATTCATTGTGGAATAAATATTTAAAAATAAATTTCATAATTCGTTATTTAAATAAAACAAATTCAAATTTTTATCTATTTAACAAATTAATTAATGAAATAAAAAAAGAAATTAAATTTAATAACTGTTTTTTATTGAATAAAACAAACATTATTCTATCGAATAATTTATCAGCAAACTCTAAATTTGATAAATTAATATTATTTAATGCAACGAATTCATTAAGTATAATTATTGATATTGATTATTTATCAATAAATAAATTTATTTACAATATTATTCTTCCAATGTTTCTATTTAATAAATATAAATATATATTGAAAAATAAAATTGATTATACATTTTTACTACGACACCAACATCCATCTGAACAAATTGTAATAGAAAAAAAGAAAATAGAAAAAAAATTTTTTTTGCCTATTATATTTTTAGGATTTGTTTAAAGGATCATTTCCTTTATTTATTTTCATAAAAATATTTTTTGATAAAATTGCATTAAATTTAATATTAAATGAAGAATCGCGAATAAAATATGAATATAATATTAATACGATAAGTTGTACACTATATCGTCATCATAAAACAATTCCAACGCGATGGTCATTTATTTTAATGGAAATATTATTGTCAATAATATATCTTTTGTTTTATTTCATTATAACTAGTTTAATTATTGAAGAAAATAATAAAAAGATAAAAGAAATTCTCAAATTAATTTATATTCAACCAATAATGAACTATTTATCATACGCATTTATTTATTTTATTCAATTATCATTTACAACATTTTCTATAATAGGTAAAAATTGATACGAATACTAAACATAATTGATTTTTATTAAAATAGAAGTTATTTGAAATCATTGTGCTTTCACTAACCTCTCTTATCGATATCATCAATCCACGCTGTATTTCACAGATGAATACTTATTCTTTTCTGTGAAGAATAAATCTAATAATTTCTATTGAATTTCATGATAACCTTCTATTCTGTTGTAAGAGAAGAAGGATATTGTATGATTATTGTGTAAAGCAATAAATATTTTGAAGATAAGGGATTTTAATTTACTTCGACTGATTAAAAAGACAAGAAAATTTATTTTTGTTTTCTCTGTTAAAAGGTTTATGGAAAATATCAATTGGTGGTTGGATTATATTTGAATATGTTTCATCTGAAATTTTAATATCATTTTTTACTCTAATCAATTTCCAATTAATATCTTATTCAATATTAATGGGACAATTATTTAAATCGTTTAGTCGTTTATTTATGAAAACAATAATAACATGGATAATAATGAACATATTATCATTTAAAGAACTGAATCACATTTACCAAATAATATTATGTTTAAATCCATATTTTTCATTTATTTTTATTCTTCGCCATTTGTTTATTTATGAAAGATCAATGAATTGCGTTTATTTAAATAGGAAACTTTATCGATGGTCACCCAATTTATTTCATTTATTTTTAATTATTTTTATATCAATACCTTTTTATTGGATATTTATTTGGTATTTTGAAAAGATATTTCCTGGTTTCTCTTTAAAATATTTTTATTCTATTGATTAAAATTAAAAAATTAATATATTTTAGGTGAATATGGAATAGGTTTAACATGGAAATATCCCTTTTCATTAAACTATTGGAAATCTATTTTATTAAATAAAATAATATCTGATCAATCATTGGAATCTTTATCAGAACAATCTGAATATAACCAATCGAAAATTATTGTTCAAGTTGAATCACTAACAAAATATTTTCCTCAAACAAATCGAACTATAATTAATAATATATCATTTAATTTATATCAAAATCAAATTGCTGCTCTTCTTGGACATAATGGAGCTGGTCAGTTAATCTTTTCTTTTCTTTTTCCGAATATTCTTTTTCTAGAGGGTAATAATAATTCACCCATCTATAAAAATACTGTTAGTATATGTTTACAATAGATAGATATATTTCGATCAACTTAGTACGATTTTTCTCTCTTCTCAATACAAATGATAAATAAAAATACTGGTTTCACTAAACGACACTTATCTTTTAGATAATTTCTATATTCGAAATTACTGTTTTACTAAAAACATTAAACGATAGAAACATAGCTTTTGTTTTATAGGTAAAACAACATTAATGAATATGCTTTGTGGATTCTATGAACAAACTGATGGAACAATTCAAATTTGTAATTATGAAACAAGATCTCATATTGATTATTTACGTCAATTAATATCATATTGTCCACAACGTATGTTATCTATTTACGATTGTTTTTTTTCTTTAATTAATTTTTAATAAAAATTCAATGAATTTATTAAAGATGATATTTTATTTGATTTGTTAACTGTTCAAGAACAAATTGAATTTTATGCAATTGCACGAGGTTTTTTTCTTTTGAAATCTCTCTTTTTTTAAAATCAGTCACAACAAAAAAAAACAGGTTATTCGAATGAAAAAGGAAATATTTGTTCAAATCTTCTCGGACAAGTTAACTTAATAAACGATCGAACAAATTTTTGTAAAAATTTATCTGGTGGAATGAAAAGACGTTTATCAATAGCATGTACATTTATTGGAAATGCAAAATTTATATTACTTGGTAGATTTTTTTTAACAAAAATTTAATTATCAATTATTTTCTTTTTTTATTAAATATTTAGATGAACCATCAAGTGGAGTTGATCCAATAAATCGTCGTTATCTATGGTAAGAATTTTGATTCAAAAACATTTTCTTTTCAATAAAATAAAATCTAAAGGCAATGGGTTCGTTCAATGAAAGAGAATCGTAGTATACTATTTTCGACACATTTTATGGAAGAAGCTGATGCTTTATCTGATAAAATAATAATATTATCAAATGGAAATATTTGTGCTAATAATACATCAAGAGAATTAAAACAGCTTTATGGAACTGGCTATAAATTAATTTTAAATACAAATAATAAGAATAATCATATTTATTTATTAAATTTCATTAAAAATTATTTAATTAATTCAATTATTGAATTTGAATCAAATAGTCAATTAATTATTCAAACAAACGAACAATCATCAAAATTATTCATTGATCTTTTATATCAATTAGAAATTTTTAAAGAAAATAGTTTTATTTTAAATTATGGTTTATCTAGTACAAGTTTAGGTTAGTTGTTTGATGTTATTTTATTTTATTTCGTTTAAAAAATTAAAAAAATAGACGATGTTTTTCTTCGTTTAACAATCGATCAAAATGAAAAAAATGATAAATATGAAGAAAACGAAGATTTTATTGAAGAAGATTGTTTGGAAATTTTTAATAAAAATTTTCATGAAAAAAGTTATGAATTTTATCTAAGTCAATAGAAAGCTTTATTTATAAAGTCATTTCGGATAATGTCAAGAAAACTTCCTTTAATCTTATTTATTCTGTTAATTCCTTTTTATATTCAATTCAAAATAAATAAAAAATTTAAAGTTTCGGAAATAAATATTGATATTGATGATTTGTCTCATTTGAAAGAACAAAATATTTTTATTGGAATTAATAAAAATAGATTTAATCAAAAATTCTTCGATCTCGTTCAAAATGAAATTAATCAATATTCACCATTAACTAAAATTTATTATTTATCTAACATAACTAATATTCAACAGCTTGATTATTTTTATTGGAGTAAGGCAATTTATTTATTTTAATCAATAGTTTGTCTTAGAATTTTTTTTTTGGATAAACTTTTTATCTTAAGAAAAAGAAATGTTCAGTTAAACTAAAATATTGATTATTTTTTAAGTTGAAATCAGAATTTCACATAAGATTAATCAATTAATCCAATATAAGAAATAACAAATAATAAAACTGAAAAAACGCTGTTTTCAAAATCTCACTAAAAACTTGTAGATCGTCGTAAACGGAATCTAAGCTCATATTCAAATGAATATATTGGCTTATTAATTGATAATAATAATAACAAAATATCCATATTACGATCTCATCTAATAATGGGTTATGAAGCATTTTATTTTATTTCAAAGTATATTTGTCAAGGAAAATGTTTAATTCAAACAAAAATAAAATTTATTGAAAATAATTTAAATCAATTTGAAGAAAAATCTCTTTTATTATTTATTAAAAATTTATCATTATTTAGTTGTTTTTACGGAATATTACCAGGAGAATTAACTGAAATATATTTATTAACGTATTATTTTATTTACTTTTATATAACATTTTTATTGATAAATGAAGATAAAGATTTAAATCAATTAATGAATATATTTGGTTTAAATTCAATTATTTATTGGACATCGAAATATTTTTTTGATTTAATTTTATCATTATTTTATTCATTTACTCTTTTGTTTATTTATTCATTAAATGTACAAAATCAATTTTATTTCGAGAATAAACTTCAAGAAATTATTTATAAAAACAATTCTGAAATTAGAAAAACATTTTATTCAACCACATTTTTTATTTCAGCATCAACATTACCTTTCATTTATATAATCACAAGTCAGTTTTCGTGTATTTGAAAATTGTTTTTTTAACGCAATATGAATGGACATAAAATTAATACGAATAGCTGCACAGTTAATATATCTTATTAGTATCTCAGATAGCTTCAAAAGCTTTTGTCAAATGATAAATAGTAAAACAAATCTAATCTTCATATTTATTACATAAGAAAACGTCATTGTTGAACGATAAGAAATAAAATAGAAGTTTTTAAATGATCAATTGAAATTAATTAAAGAGATTCTCATTTTTTTTTTCTTCTTTTATGTAATAAATAATTAATTGAATCTTTTCTTTCTAATTTTATGAATAGAAATTATGAAAAATCCATTAATTGGATCTTTAATTATATTATTAATGTTAATATTTATTGAATTGATTGATTTAATTCGTATAATAATATTAATAATGATGAAAAATTCTCTAAAATTAAATTTCTTTCATTGGTTAATTAATATTCTATTTCCTTCCTTGAATGGAAAACGTTTAATTGGAATTCTTCTAATAAAATCATCAAAAAGTTTATGTAAATTTATTGAAAATGATCAAAATCTTTTAACTTATTTTCAACTTAATAAAGAAATAAATGAAAATAATTTTTCATTCCATTTATTTATTTTTCTAATTCAAATCATATTTTTATTTATGATTCTTCTATTCATTGATACAAATATATTCAATCAATTATTAATTAAATTAAAAGAATTTTTATTTAAAAATAATCAATTGAATGAAGATGAAGATGAAGATGAAGACGAAGACGAAGACGATGATAATGATAGTGATGATGCTGAACTAAAAGAAAAAGAAGAAGAAGAAGAAAATGATGATGTTTCAAATGAAAGAAATAATTTATTGATGGAAAACAATTTTTCAATGTATCCAATTGTTTTAATTGATATTATTAAAAAATATTCTCAAAAAAAATCTTTAGCTATGAATAAAATTAGTTTTTCTGTTGACCAAGGAGAATGTTTTGGTCTTCTTGGATTTAATGGAGCAGGTAAAGTTTTCTGTTTTCTGTTTATTTCATTTTCTTTAAACTGAAAGGTAAAACATCATTATTTAAAATAATTGTTGGTCAAGAAAAGGCAACAAATGGTTCAATTTATATGTATGGAAAAAAAATTCACACAATATTTTCTCAGTTAAATTCACTAACTGACATTGGATATTGTCCTCAATATGATTGTATACAAGATAAACTAACTTTAGAAGATTATTTTTATTTATTTGGACGTTTACGTGGTATTTATTATAATCATCTTAAAAAATCTATTGAAATTCTCTCAAAATTATTTTTACTTGATTCATTTCTTAAACAATATATTAATCAATTAAGTGGTGGAACAATACGAAGAATGCATGCTGCTCTTGCTTGTATTGGATCACCATCAATTATTCTTCTTGGTTTGTTTATTATTTTTTATATTAAACAATAACTGTTTTTTTTTATAGAGAGTCAATTTAAAAACAATAAATTTCCATCGATTAAACATAAAAAATAAAATTACAAATGATATAAGAAATATAGTTCAGAGAGAAACATATGAGTAATAGAATTCATAGAATCATTTCTTTTTAAAAAAAGATAAAAATTTTAAAACTTTTAATGAATAGTTAATGAATAAAATTCTGTTTCATGTTGAATACTTCATTTGATAAATTTAAATTAAATGAATAAATCTATTCTATTTTTAGATGAACCAACAACAGGTTATAACGAAAATAAAATAAAATAAAATAAGAAATAAAAGATATTTAATTAAAGGTGTTGACCCATATAGTCGTCGTAAAATGCGTCGTATATTTGAAAATGCCTTAAAAAATAAATTAACCATAATATTAACATCACATTCAATGGAAGAATGTGAATTTTTATGTTCACGCATTGGAATAATGTCAAACGGAACATTTAAATGTTTGGGTTTTATTCAAGATTTAAAAAGAAAATTTAGTTATGGCTACACAATTAATATTAAGATCAGCTCAAATAGTACGAATTCGGAAAACTTATTTAAATATCTCAATAATGAAATTAATATTAAAATTCATCATAAAACTGAATCAACGATTATTTTACAAGTTAATCATTCATCATTACCTAAATTATTTGATTTAATTGAAAAAATAAAAGAAACCTTTTTCATTGAAACATATTTTATACAACAGACAACATTAGAGGAAATTTTTCTTTCTTTTCAATAGTTAACTATATAAATTGAATTTTTTTATTTGTATTTTCAATTAAATACTTGTTTTTAAAGCGTGGAACTAAAATTTCATTTTAAGAAACAATAATAAATTGTTACAAATTTCTCAATTCTGTTTATTATTTATCATGTCCTATCGAACGCTTCGTCAATTAACGTAGATAATTTGATGAAAAATGATATGAGCCAAGCAATCCAGGTTTTTCAAAACAAAAATGATATTTTTAAGATCGCATCAAATGAAAACGATCAATGAGTAAGTCGCTCTTTTTTGATAATTATCTTTTTCTACGCAACAGACTCATTGGGGCCACAATATGAAACTCATATATTTGTTTGGGATCACTAGGCTAATGCAAAAATAGATTAGAGGAGAAACTTTTGGTAAAAATCTGCCTTATTTCTAAGATCTATAATTAGAATATAACCTATTTGTTTGTGCTTGGCTCACAGATGTCATCATACCGTTAGACTGAATATCGAGATTTCAACGTCATAGTACTCATAGAATTCATTGTGGGATATGACTCGCAGAGAATTCACTTCAATACCTTAACATATAGCTGTGTATTATTGACGTTGACATTTTTCTCGAATAAAAACAGACAAGAAAACAAAAGCAACTCAAATTGTTGTTTTATTTTGTTTATTATTTTGCTAGTTGTAGTTGAAAATTGAATTATTTAACACATAATAACAACTATGTTGCATTGAAACTTGATAATAATATATCGAACATACAATGATCAATTGGAATTAGCCTATATAAAGAACAGAAAAGTATATCAGACAGAGTCCTGCAAGAATGCCAATGAATTGTCGACATGAATGTCTATGAAAACAAATAGATGCACCGTACTCACAAAAAGAAAATTAGTAGATCTTACATTAAATCATTTTCTTTTAACAAATCAGGTACCGTTTTAACAAGAGCAACGTAAATAAAACCACCACTAGTAAAAGGTAATACCCATAATGTACCTAAATGAAAAGAAAACTTGTCAAAAAGAAAATAGAAAAAAGAAAATAAACTTACTGTGAACTGAATTAGAATAATACAGTGCCATTGATGCACCTAAAATTCCTCCTAAACCAGTAACAAGTTGAGCTTTTGTAGCTTCCCAACGATCAAAACCTGATCGCAACAATATTGCGAAATCTCCCATTTCATGAGGAATTTCATGAACAACAATTCCTAAGAGTGTTGTCATTCCTACCAATGAATTAACAGCAAAACCTCCCCCGATTGCTGCACCATGTGTTAAATTGTCTATGAAATTAGCTAATAAATTTAAATAACCTGTTGTCTAAACAAAATAATTTCATATTTGGGATTTTTGTTTTTGAATTATTAGTAGAAAAAAAATATAATTTACTTTGATTTTTCGTTTCTGCTAACATTAGAATTTCATTTTCATTCTAGAAATAGTTATATGAATAAAATTCTCTTGTTATTTTCATCTTCTATTGAATACCTTTGATAATTGATTTTGTTTTAATGTTTCATTCGAAGAATCATCTTCATCATCTGGGAAAATTTGTTCAATTAGAAAGAAAACAAATAAACCTGTTAAAGTCCAAAGACCAATATTAACTGAAGAAGCGTTTGGATGAGCAAATGCTTCAGGTAATAAATGAAGAAATACATCAGCTAATTGACTTCCGACAGCAACACTTAATAATAATTCCAAATAAGGTTTATCTTCTATTTTTAATGGAAATAAATTATTTAGAAACAAAAAAATTGAAAAAATTAGAATTACTTTTAGTTTGTTCATTGGGTACAATAAAAATAGGTAAAAGACCAATACAACCAACAGCAGTAGCTCCAAATAAAGCGCCGAACCATGTTTGAAAGGAATAACTAATTAAATCGTTTGTCATTTGCTTAGGTATGACAATAATATGAGTAGTATTTATCTTAAACTAATGATATAAACCATTTGTTTTAGTTCTTTTAAGACGTACGTGTACCCTTTTCCTAGCCAAAAGTAGAACACCAGAGAAACAAGAAACTTTGTTAGTCTGTTTCTTTTTTTCTTTTTTCATAAATGAATAAACATACATAAAAAAGAACATCTTTTATTACTCAATGACATGATTATAAACGATGATTTATTCATTGAATAAAATAAAATAAAATATAATTAATTATTTAAGCTTTTATATTATTTTCAAAACATGTATTTTGAATGAATTAATATCGAAAGATGAAATCAAGTTAATTTAAAACCACGTATAAGAAAGAAAATAAATATATCAATAAGTAATATAATATAAGGTAGAAGAACAAGAATTATTTCGCCAGGTGTTGCTTGTCGTTGAGATAATGATATTTGACGTGGAACAAACGATGAACGACGATTAACTAATCGATTTTTGTGAATCTTTTCTTGTTCTTCATTTTCTTGAATAAAATTGTTAAAAGCATCATTGTTCGTTGTTGTTGCTGATGCAGACATTTTTTATTTTATCTTTTATTTTATAAAGTAGATAGAAATTTAGTATATACTTTTATCATTCTTTATCACATTACTATACATTTTTTTTATCATAACCGACTAGTTTTCTTGTGCTTTTATTAATAAATATAATTTTATTTACAATGTTTTTTCTTCATGTTGTTGATACTTTTTTCGAAAAATAACAACGAAAATTTTATTTGACAAGAATGAAAATAATAATTGCAGTTCTACGAGTTATTTTTCGATTTGACAAATACGAATTAATATAAGTTATCTTCACCATAAAAATATTTACTAATATTCTATTAAATTTAATAGAAAAAAACAAACGAGAAAATGTTTTCATGAGATCAGAATAACAATTTTATTATTCAAGTACAAAATAACGCTTTCATAATTATCTATATTAGGAAAAATAAAACAAATGAATTATGAACAAAGCAGCAACTTGTTATGTATGTTAGTTTGAGTAATAATAGAAAAAAGATTCTGTCTCAAATTTTCATTCAAATCCACTTTCTTGTAGATCATTTACATTGAAAATAGAAGCAACTCAATTATAGTAGTTAGATGTGTTGAAAATAAAATAGATAGTTTGATATTACTTTATTTCGACATTATTCAAGGCATAAATGATATTTTTCTAAAATACAACTTTTGCTCATAAACAGATACTGATTACTCTCAAGAGTTTTATTCATCTTGATAGAATAAATTCAACATTTTATCATCTACAATTAATGAATTTTATAATGATAACATAAGTATTTTCAACTACAATTTAGGCATATATCTTCGATTTCATTAATGAAAAATTTCCTTTTCTATTCCTTCATGAAGACAACCTCTTGAACAATGCAAATTTTAAATCAAAAGTCATCGATAAAATTTCATCTATTCACTTTATTTCTTATTTGTAAAATTATTTAGCCGTACTTTCCTTAGTTTTAGTCATTAATCTGGTTGATAAATTAAATGCAATTCATCAATGTATATATATCAAAATAAAAGCAGAATCGTCAAAGTATATTGAATATATTTTATATCTATAGCTCTTCACAATGGTTATTAAAATAAATCTATAATATGAATCTTGGACGCCGTTTACAATGAACAGTATTAATCTTGCGAAAGTTTCATTAAATACTTTTCTGTCAGCAAAACTTAAATAACATTAAATTCTTTTTTGCTCATTCTTTCTTGTTTAGATAAATAATAGTTTTCATAATGAATGTCACTAAAGCTATTAAATCTGATATCATCTAAACCAATTTTATGACTGAATTACAAGAATTATACACAAATACATCAGCGGGCCACCACGAGGCAATTGGTGGCAATTGCCATACCTAAAAAATGTATTGCCACACCTGAAAAAGCTATTAGTGGTATAAATCCATCTGCGTATATACAATTGACACGTATAAAACATCGCTTTCCGTAAAAAAAATTGGGTATTATTATTTATTGCCATACCTCCATATGAGACGCTGACCCGCCGATGCACAAATAGTAATGCTTTAATGGCGTCAACATAGAATCAATATAAACATTAGAATTACTTTCGATTTGAACTCTTAATAAACTAGGCAAATTCTTTTCTTACTTTTTATCGATTAGAATTAATAATAATAATAATAAAACTAAACGATGATTTATATTTTTCGAAATATTTTATTTATTATAACATTGTCAATATGAACATTTATTGATTCTTTTTTTCATCAATACGTGATTGTTTGCATCTGATCTATCGAAATCAATTTTATTAAGCACTGAGTTCATATCCTTCAGTTTGTTTCTCAATAAATGTCCAAACGTCAGCTAGTCTGCAAGGCGAACGACCTATGCTGCGAGGATCCGAGAGCAAAACAAACAAAAAGACACTGATTTATTTCACCGAGTGAAAAATTGCCTAAGATGGTTGATGGCGAGAATCACATTATCAACTGTACCAGTGCTTTAGACATATTGCTGCTAAAAGCATGTAAAATAGAAGTATCTCTTTTGCTTTTAAATACTCGATATCTTTAGAGTTCTAACTGAAAACAAAGAAAATTTAAATAAAATGCTATTGTATTGCCAATTTTCGTGGAATGACACAAAACTATTTGTTCTTCTTGTTGATGAATTTCTTTTTTTTTCAGAGGTGTCGTTGATGGTCGTCAACCTGTTTTTCTTTCACCATTGGTAAACAAGAGCGCTTTTAGTGGCCTACACTTTTTAAGATCATTTTTATGAAGAGAACGGAAGAAAAAAATAATACATTCAGGTAATTTCAGTCAGGAGTCTAGATGCAGAATATTTAAAAAAAGGGTTCTTTTATTGTTGCATTCAACGTGCTTTTTATGGTGATGCAAAGAGTGAAAACAGACGAATCATTTTCAGGATTTTATAAAAATTTAAATGAATTCAAAATACGAAAAAATAAGAATTTATTTTTCAGAGAACAGTGCATTTTGTTTTTCTATTATAATGTAACAGCTCACATTGTTCAAGTTAATTTTCTATAGATATCGATTTGTTCTTATCGAAAAAACCAAAAACTTCAAGATGACTACAGATCTAAATCAGTTGTCAACTGATCGAAAAACAATTGCATCAGCAACCAACGCGTCACCGGAAGAACAAAATAGTGTCAATGTCTTGAATACTTCGAATTCACAGTCAGCAATAAATAATAATAATAAAATCGATGAATATAATACCATAAGTGCAGCAGTATCATTAACAACTACAAAAGTTGAATCTTCAACAAGTGAGAATAATCAGTCAGGTATGGACACTGCTTTTTCTATGACAAATGTGCCTCCACCTAACAATCTGGAATCCGAAGCGATGGATGACAATAACGTAGTGTCAAAAGAAAATCCGAACACTGGTGAAGACAATAGTCAGCCAGAAGTTGAAGGTCCTATGGATACGTCACCTCCCTTATCAGATGTTGCTCGAAAAATGAGCGAAACAGTCAATGTTAACAATACTGATGATGCCACCTCAGCTGATGAAGTTGTTATGGATTTTTCAAATAGTGAAGCTTGTTCGAATGGCGATTCTAAGAAGGAAAAAGACGAAATAGGTAATCATCAACACACCGTCATTTCTTTAAACATTTAAATTAACTATTACTATAATTGATTCAAATTCGTCGAATTCCTATTATATATTATAGACAATCACGCACCGTTTCTTGATTTGGCTCAAAATTATCCAACAGCTTCAAATGGTTTATCCGATCATTCAGATGTCACTGCATCGATAGATTCACGATACCTTGCTAGCGGAGAAGGCTCCCACAGCGATGTACCACACAATAGTGGTATGAAAGGCGTTGCAGAAGAAACCACACCTGCAGTTACCATTTCAGATGTTTCAACACCTACATTTCCCTTGCTCTCACAAAGCAATCTAGTAACAAACGCAGAGGAATCTTCTACTGGATCAATAACTAAGAACGAGATACAATGCGAGGTGATAACTCATCCGTCTACTATTGCGATTTCACTTATTGATGGTCCACCTCATGATGTTACACCTCCTGATGTCCCACTTACTGATGTTACACCTCATGATGTTCCACCTCATGATGTTCCACCTCATGATGTTCCACCTCATGATGTTACACCTCCTGATGTCCCACTTACTGATGTTACACCTCATGATGTTACACTAAAAGGTCAGTAAAAATATTTCGCTTAGATCTCAATAAACAGTTTGTGAAGCACGATTCACAAAACGTTTGTAAGTGTAAAAGTAGAAATTCCTAATGCCTATAACTATGATCTGTGTTGTGTATGTGGAAGATGGAGCAGGAACCATGTCTGAGATAGGTCATCAATGAGCATGAGAAGTGTCAGTCATAAACTACTACTCAATGTGACAGATATCGATCAAAGACCGTTACACATTTAGAAAATCTAGTCAGAGACCATGAAATAGACTAGTCAGTGCACATTAATGATAGTAGCTGAGATTGTTCTGAGATTATGAAAAAGCTTAAGCGACCTGGCTTCACAGTTATTACAGACCATCACAGAACGTAGCGTCAAGCTGTAAAAAATAGCTGTCGCTTCGAAAGCTGTTATATTCTAAATATGTTTGTTGGATGTTGTTCGGAACCTGATTCATACTCAATCCTGCGGGATAGAAATTTTCCGAATCCAAAGCAATTGAAGAAAGATACTTTGACATCTTCAATGAAACTGTTTTTAATCAAAAAGAGAAATCAACAGTCAACACAAGTATTTATCTTTATCTATGTTTAATCTTTAGTGACATTGAAAACTTTCAGATTGAGACTTGACGAATTTGGTGGGTCCTATTCACATAGTTTGTGACTAGATATGTTCGAAACCTGTCTCATCAAGAGGAAAAAAGCGAAACTCGTACTTCGGAGTACAGTGATGTATATCAAATTTTCAGTTGTACTGCAGATGTAGAAACTACGAGTATTAAATAAGTATTTAAAATGTGCGACGAAACAATTCTGCAACATTTTTCTCTAAGCAGGGACCGACAATAGAAAATCTAGAATAACTGTGACCGAAAAAATCTGATTCCATATATCTCTAGTGGGGAAAGATAGCTTGACAACAAATATATGACCAAAGATTTTAGCATGAATGATATTTCGCTATAGTTTCATTTGTTTTTCTCATCAACTGAATATTGCCGAAGAAATAAATCCAATAATTTAACGTATTAGAAAGTGAAGAAATAAATCTATAATCATTTAAATGATAAATTTATATTTTTAGCTATCGATTGGTTCAATCTTCAATTTCATGATAAAGAAAGAACAATAGTAAAAAAGCCTGATCAGCTTGAAAATGAAATGGATGAACCTAATGGAAGCATTAGTGACGAAATTTTGAATCGTATTCAAGGATCAATGATAGGAATGGCTTTAGGTGATGCTCTTGGTGCTCATGTAGAATTTCGACCACATCAGTTTCTAGTTGACACACCAGTTACTGATCTTGAATCTGGAGGAACATGGGGTCTTAATAAAGGACAAGTATGTCTTCGTTTCTTTGTTTTATTATTATTATTTATTGAGCATAAAACTAGAATAGTTACAAAGAAAAACAAATTGTAACAAGATTAAATGTTTTCAGAGCTTCGAATTTATATTTCTTGGCTAAAACTCTTTTATAATTGTTTATTAATACGATGAAAATAGTTTGCAAAAAATAAATAATTATTAATGAAACAGCTATAGTTTTTCAAGCGCTTGATCTTCCTCGAAACTATGTAGAATGAGCAATAAACTCGGTTAACAGTAATCTTAATAAGCTAATAATTGTTCAATTTATTTTTTGATCTCATTATCAATTAATTAATAGAATTCGCCATTCACAAAGCAAACTGTTTTTTTTTCTATCTAAAACATTTCAATGTTTTCGTTTCTTATTATTTTCTTGGTGCTGAATAAATTAATATTTTATTTTATTTATAAAAGTCTTCATGCTGTCCTCAATAATATGTCTTATTCGATCCAACAGTTTTTTTCTCTTTCTTCAAATCGATATCATCCCAACTAGTTTGGTTGAATTCAAACTTCGGATGGATTCTTTTCAAATTGTTAGATTTTGTAATGGATCAAATTTTGCAGAATAGAAATGTAAGGTTTTTCTTTACAGCAGTAGATTACTATATTTATTTAATATAGTTAATGTTGACGTTTTGATTATTCATCGAGATTTTCTTGCAAAAGCAACAAATCATAAAATAGATAAAATAGAAAAATAAATTCTTAATCCAACAATTGTTGAAACTTTCAAGAGAAATCTTTTATATCGAAATGTTTTCGATTAATTTGTTTCTGTGTTATGAGAAATAGAAATTTATTCTTTAGTTTACCGATGATACTTCAATGGCTCTTTGTTTGGCTAATTCACTAGTAGCCTGTCGAGGTTTTAATCCTTATGATCAATTAGTTCGCTACAAATGGTGGTACAAATTCGGATATATGTCATCAACTGGACATTGTTTTGATATTGGAGCAGCCACTGGTAATTCTCTACGAGAATTTGAGCATCGTCAAGATATATTTGCCGAGAAATTCAGTATTCCCTTGACAAATATAGATCAACCTCCTAATGGTGAACTAGTTCAGAAATTTAATGTATACTGCAGTGAAGACGGTGTTGCAGGCAACGGAGCTCTTATGCGTCTCACACCGGTACCATTATTTTTCTATAGATATCCTCCCATAGCTGTTGAATATTCAGGTATTAGTGGACAAATCACTCATGGAGATAGAAAAGCATACGATGCATGTCGTTACTATGGTGCTTTAATTGTTGCTGCTCTTCATGGTTATACAAAAGAACAATTACTCGATAATGAATTTTACTCGAAACACACAGAATGGTTTCGTAACAATCCGCTTCACCCTGACATCGAGTCAATTGCTAAAGGATCATACAAAAAAGATGGATACAATGCTGGTATTCGAGGAAAAGGTTATATAGTTGCTGCTCTAGAAGCTGCTCTATGGGCATTTTGGTCTGATGACAATTCATTTGAAAAGGGTGCTCTTGCTGCTGTCAATCTTGGTGATGATACAGACACAACAGCTGCTATCTATGGACAATTAGCTGGAGCTCATTATGGTTATCGAAAATTACCTGAATGTTGGCTTCAACATGCATATGCTAAAACATTCATGGAAAAATTAAGCAAATGGATTGCATATGAAGGAGAATCTTGGCAAAAACCAATCGAACATACTGTTTCTCAAGCACCGATAAGTAATATCTAACAATTCGTCTGAAGAATTCAAACAGTTTTGATTTTGTCTTGTGTCTAATCCATAAAGAAATACTATTTAATTATCATTCAATATGTGTTTTTTTGTTTTCAATATATGCGTAGTTGTATGACAATATTAGTCAAAATGACTCTTTTTAAAAACATTCGTCTTTAACTAATTCGATAATCTGATCAAACGATTTGTGCATACAAATCATGTTTTGAAATATTTTATTAAAAAAATACAGATTTGAACATAGTACATTGAACATCTTATAGATTTATATACAATCTCCCATGAATAGTCGCTTTTTCCTGTTGTTATTTATATTACTGAAAAGGACTGATCACCAAACAAGTCACCATTAGCTCATTTCAATATGAATATATTTCATCTACTCAAACCAATCAAGATTTCAATTTCTATCAAAATATTCTGATTCAGTTGATTCATTGTAAAATTGAAACTAGAATCCGAAAAATATTTTATTCATATAGAAAAAAAAATTGAAACAATAATAATTTGTTCGTTTTTTTTATCATTAATAATCATCATGAAACGATAATTAATTGTTTTGAGTCGCTTTTCAATGAAAATAAGCAGTGAAAATATAATAACTAATTAGTTTGTATAATATTCGATTTAATCGTTTTTCTCAATGAAAATTTTTAAATATTTCTATTTTATTTTTCCTTCTTGTCAAATAAATTGAATAATTAAATAGTTTAGATTTTAAAGCAATTAATTTAACGCAGAAAAAGAAAATTGTGTTTGTATTGATCAAAAAATCTTTTTTCTCTTGTTCGACATATTAAAATAGTATTATCTTACGTCATTACATGAAAAACAAAGATTCTCATTATCTATAGTCTATTAGAAACAAAATAACATTAAACAATAATCAATCCTGCAGCAATTTGAAAATTGAAAATCGATCAGAAATATTTTTCAATGTTCGAAATTTACACAGTCATTACAATTTATGATATTTTGTCTAAATAATTAATATTTGTCAGTTGATTCTATTGTTAGAATATTCATCATTATTTAGCATAGTTGAAGAAAAACTATATGAATACAGGAAAAATTGAAAAATGAGAAAAACAAAAAGTTGAATATAAATAACGTAAAAAAGCATTTTAATCAAATTGTTGACAATAAATATATATTTTTGCAAACACATGACTTGTTCAGGAAGTCGCGCATTTACACCGATTTAAGAGATTCTTTCTAAACCACATCTCTTCATTTGAAAAATATCTTTTATTTTTATTTATACGAGAATATTTCAATAGTCTATATATTTGAAGGTTAAAAAGCCTTCAGACTAAATTTAGTAGTCTTGATGATTTCTATTTATGCAAAAAAAGAAAAAGAAAAAAATCTATTAGCAACAACAAAAGGAAACCAAAAAAATTCGGAGCAAAAAATCAATTTTTCTTTGTTTTTCTATGATTTTTTTCAAAATATAAAAATAATTAACATAAGAGAAAAAAGATAAATGATAATTTGTCTTGAAAAGTTTATTCTGTTTGAAACTTTCAAAAAAAAAACAGTCATATATTCCATCTCGAATTTGTAACAATTGGTACGAACAATTTCTTATATTATTTCTAAGAACATGATTGAAAAACTCAACGAGTAGATTTGTTTTAGAGAGAAAAAAACTGGAAGAAATCAATGCATCATTGATATTTTCCTGTCGTGCAGATAATTCAATTAAATCATCATCATCTATTTGTTCAATGGATTCCCAAGAGAATACTTCAAAAGAAAATTCAGAAAATAATTTTGAATTTTCATCTGTATTCAATAAAATTAATGAAATAAATTATGAAATAAATAATATGTCAATAAATGATTTTAATTTTATAAAAACTTTAGAAAAGTGGCGTCTCGAGTCTCATGAAACAATTGATGAACTTTGTAAACATGTATTAAACGAATATATGAATAGAACAAAGCAAGATATTGATTATCTTCACAATTTAACAAATTTAATTATTGATAATTTTAATAAGAAAAATAATTTTAATGATTCAATTCAAAAAATAATCAAAATAATTGAAGAAAATTTAAATCAACTTAAAAATATTCCATGTGAATTCGATTCATTAATGATTGATAAATCGACTTATTGTCTTCCAACTCAAATAGATCATATTCAATTTGATTTACTGAAACAATCAAATGAAATCAATTCAGATTTATTTTCATCTTCAAAATCTAGTAAAATATGCTTATCTTGTTGTCATTCAATCGAACCACATTCATATCGTTTATGTTTATCTCCACAAAACAGTTTTTATCCATATATGCAAACACCAAAATCTATAATTAATTTAATATCTGATTATTGGTTTACATTAGCTACGAATGATCGACATTTATTAACTATTGATAAATCCAATTTATATTTATTTGATCAATCTTTAAAAATTGTTCATCAAAAATCATTTTTAAAACAACAAATAAAAGATATTTGTTGGTCAACAACTCTTGAGAAATTCATTTTTATTTCTTCTACAGATATTTTTACTTTTGATGATAAAACAATGAATTTTACTTTATTTGATATATATTTTAATAATAATCATCCTTGGCAACATGGAACATGCTCAGAAACAAGTTTATTTTTATCGACTTTTGGAGAAAATCCATTTATTGTTGAACTACAATTTTATCCATCGATTCATTTTCATAAACGTTATCAATCAGAAATTGTATGTGAACAAAATGATGCAATTAATGATATTAAATATAGTGATAATAATCTTGCTATTATTATTGAAAATGGTTTAATCAACCAAAGTTATTTACAACTTTATGCAACAAAATCATTTCAATGTATTTCGATTGTTTCACTTGGACAAGGATGGGGTTTTAGAACGTATTCATTTAATCATCGATATTGGATTGTTATTGATAAATATAATAATCAAATTATTTATATACTAAATAATGGAAATAGAGTTAAAACTGAAAATTATTTAACAAAACCATTGAATATTGTTTCTTGGACTAAATATCACGTTGTCATTAAAACCATGCAAACTCTTAATATTCATCAATGTGAATAAACTTCAATAATAATAATTCTTCGTCTTTTTTGTTTTGCGTTTTCATTTTCGTCAAAATTCTACGAATATTTCATATTTTAGTGAATTCTTCTATTGATTAAAGTATGTTTTTGGTGGTTTTTATAGAAAATATCTGTTTTCTGATAAATGTTTTCTAATAAAATCTAAAAGTAAACAACATATTTATCAATAAAAGCTAACTAATAATCAAATATTTCTGAAGTTTTTACAACAATTGAATAAATATTCATTAGAAAATTAATAAAAATAAAAAATGAAACCGAAACTAAAGTAAGAGTCAAAATTAATATTTATCCACAGAGAATACAATTATTTTTTATTATTTGATTGATGCGTTAATTCTAATAATGAATTAATATGATATTTGCATCCAAATAATAAATTTTCCAAAATTAAATTTTTATTTTTATAGATTATTTTACAAATCTGTTTATTAGATAAAGGAATAATTTCTGCTCGTGATAATAATCCATCATTCCACCAAATATTAACTTGATAATTTCCTCGTGCTCTTAAACCACAAACAAAACCTTGTGGCCAATTATCAATTGGTAATGCCGGTAGAAGTTCGATATTATTATTTTGACTTTGAAGTAGAATTTCACAAATAGCTGATGTTGCACCAAAATTTGCATCAATTTGAAATGGTGGACCATCAATTAAATCAAATAAATTTGGTGCTGTATGTGTTGGAGTTAATAACATACAAAGAAGTTTAAATGCATTTGAACCTTGATGAAAACGTGCCCAAATATTAGATTTCCATGCTAATGACCATCCTGGCGAAGGAATAAATATTCCTCGAAGATCTAATGAAAATATAGCTGCATCACGATATGGCGATGGATCATTTGTTATTGAATTGCCTGGGAAAACACAATACAAATGAGACCTAAAAATAAAGACGTTCTTTTTTTTACTAAATAATATTTGAAATAAAAAATAACATATGTCTATTGTGAATATCAGCTGATTGATCCCAATCTTGAAACCATTCTTGTAGTTGACCTAATTTCCCTATTTGAAGAGGTGCTAATTGATTAAATACTTGTTGAATTTCTTCTCGAAATTCTACATCAATATTAAATAAACGTGATGTTTCAATAATTGAATGAAATAAATCTTTTATTAAAAGTATATCTAATGTTGGTCCTTGACAAACAACAGCATTCAATTGAACATGATGTGGAACTTCAGGTGACATCGATGGACTTGTTAATAAATAGTTTGATGATTTAATCAGAGTTTCTAAAAAGAATTGTGCTGCTGAACGAAGTATTGGATAATAACGAAAAAGAGTTGCTTTATCATTTGTAAATAAATAATGATCCCAAATACTTTTACAAAGCCATATTCCGCCTGTTGGCCACGTACCATAAATAGCATCATCAACAGGTGCTGTACCTCTCCAAATATCAGTATTATGATGGCATACCCAACTGTCCTCTCGTGTCTAAAATATTTCAATAAAAAGAAAACGATTTTTTTAAATTACAAGAAACAAAAAAATAGAAAATCTAACTGTCCCATAATGTAATTTAGCAGTTGATTGTCCTGTTTGTGATATATCTTGAATAAGATCAAATAACGGTTGATAACATTCAATTAAATTTGTTGGTCCAACTGGCCAATAATTCATTTGGATATTAATATTAATTGTATATTTTGAATCCCACGGTGGTGTCATTGAATCATTCCATATTCCTTGTAATGTTGCTGGTTGACTACCTGGACGACTTGATGATATTAATAAATATCGACCAAATTGAAAATATAATGTCATTAATTGTGGATCTAAATTTGGATTTTGAGAAAATAATTCAATTCGACGATCAGTTGGTTTTAACATAAATTCTGTTTCGCCAAGATTTAATTGAACACGATTAAATAATAACTGATAATCATTTAAATGACGTTCAATTAATTGTTCATAATTATATAATAAACAATTATTTAAAATATCATTCGATAGTTTTATTTCATCACCAGTTATATTTGCATAATTAATATAATTTGTTGCAATCGCTATTCGAATTATTAAAAAATTCGATCCAAATATAATTAAACGATCATTTAATAGATATAATTCTCCATCTAGTTGAATGTTTATTAATAAACGAAAACGAATAGATCCCGGCATTGTTTCATGATCACCAGCAATACCATCGACTATTAATGTATTCGTTGTTGTGTCTATTGATATTTGAATTTTTTGAGGACTCGAAAATGATATAACACTATTGAGAGAATTTAATGGCTAAAATATTTAAAATATATTTATTATTATTACTTTAGAACAAAAATCGATTACTGATGATTCTATTTTATAAATAATAGAATTATCGGGATACGATGCAAAACAAGTTCGTTGATGATTAATTTTATTATCAATTGAGTAATTTATGGTTGTTATTCCTTTTTCTAAATTTAATTCTCTTCGATATTGATCAATGGATTGCGACGATAAATCTCCAAAAAAATCAATAAATAAATTTCCAACAGTTTGATAAGGTGCTTGATGAATAGGTTTCCCAAAAAAATTTTCTGTTAAAATAGTTTGAGCTTGATTCCATTGGTTATTTTCAATTAATTGTCGAATTTGTTCAAGATAATTGAAAGCATCTGGATTTGAATAATCATGTGGACAACCTGCCCATAAAGTATCACTATTTAATTGAATTGTTTCACGAGGATATCCACCATAGATCATGCCACCCATATAGCCATTTCCAATCGGTAATGCTTCAAGCCATTGTGAAGCTGGTTTGTCATACCAAAGTGATAATGGACATGATGGACTCGAGCTTTTCGGTAAAATTGATGAATATTTTATTATTAAAATATTTAATAAATAATCAATTATTGGTAAATATTTATATTGACATGCTAACTTCAAAGGGCTTTTCAAAATTAAAGAAATTTATTTTTAATCGATAGAAAAAAACGAAAATAAAAAGCTAAACTCACTCAAGTAAATAAATACTTGCACCTTGTTCAAAAAGATATTTGACAATAGATAAATGATTATTTTCAATAGCACAAATAATTGGTGTCAATGTTTTTGTTTTAATAAATATCCATTGGTCATTTTGTTCTTCTTCTTCTTCATAAATAATTTTAATTTCATTTATATTATCGTTATTTAAATGCAGTTTAACTTTTTCCAAATCACCATTATAACATGCTAAATGTAAATCCGATAGATTCATTCCTTTTAATGATTAGTTATTGATTTCAATTTCAATTAAAATAGTTAAACAAAATATTCTTCTCAACCAAAACATTATTAAAACTGAGAATTAAATTTGCTTTGAATTTTGATTTTGATTTTCTTCGAGGCTTTTTAATAAAAATCCTTGAAAAAAAACTTATTTATTAAAGTATTATTTTCTTTCTTTCCTCGTGTCTGTTGACATTTTTTTTATTTCATAGGTGACTATCAAATGATATTGTAAAGAAGAGGTCGCAATGTCAAAGAAATCATTTTTCGGTTTCACTTCTGTTTCCAAGCGTTTCTTTTTTGTGCTTCTATTACATATTTAAAGGAGACATTTTTTTCTAATCATAATCTTATTTTTATATTTTAATTCGAAAAAACAGAAATCAAAAATTTCAGAGTTTTATTCTCGCGATAAATTATTTATAATGAATTATGCAAACAACAAAAGAATTCTTTTCTTTTCACATGACACCATTGCTATTAATAAAACAAAGAATAATCGATTTTCAACTATTCTTAATCAGTAAAAACCAGAAATAACATTTTTTTTTCTTTACAATAAGAACAAGGCACTGAACAGTATATGAGATGATTTTATCAATTTGTGTTCTGTTTTTTGAAGAAATTATTTAGTAGAATAAATCAAATTTGCTTAAAATTATCATAGATATGATTTCTATGCATTGATNATCAAAAAATTCACAGTTTTATTCTCGCGATAAATTATTTATAATGAATTATGCAAACAACAAAAGAATTCTTTTCTTTTCACATGACATCATCGCTATTAATAAACCAAAGAATAATCGATTTTCAACTATTCTTAATCAGTAAAAACCAGAAATAACATTATTTTTCCTTTACAATAAGAACAAGGCACTGAACAGTATATGAGATGATTTTATCAATTTGTGTTCGGTTTTTTGAAGAAATTATTTAGTAGAATAAATCAAATTTGCTTAAAATTATCATAGATATGATTTCTATGCATTGATATTTTATCTCAAATATTTCTTTTTTTCAATTTAAAAAAAGAATCAAAACGTAGAATGATAAAATAATAATTAAATTAAAATTTAATTTAATTTCAGTTGTTCGATTACAAAAATCTGATTGACAACAAGTTTGATAAGCATTCGATGAATACCAATAGTTTGTACACGTTGTACCACCCGATCGATATATTGTTCCAATATAATTTATTTTCTATTGAAACGAATATCAATTTTAAAATGGAAACAAAATAAAACTCACAATACAATAAGTATTTGCTGTATTTGTTCCTGTTGTTGAAACACCAGAGCCAAGAGAATTGAACGGATCATTACAACCTGTTGTTCCTGAACATGAGTAACAATTTAGAGCTTCATACAGTTGAACTAATACTAGAATAAGCATAAATCGATCTATGCATAATATTTGGAAAATATTCAACTTGCCTATAAGAAGAACGAGTAGCGTCGTTTTCATTATATTTATTTCTCATCAATGATTTCTAAAAACTTTATAGATGTGAACAGATCAGCAGGTAATCTTTCATGAGTAATTCATCTCAACAGGGAATATAGAAATTAAATTGATTTTTGATAAAACTCAATCATTCTCTAAGTCAAATATTCAAAATAAATATATCGTTGTCTGCCGTTTTTCTCACTTTTAATTCAATCTCATACAAAAAGAAAGCTATATCGATATTAAAAAGTTTAATAATATATGTCGTTAGTTGTGATGGTAACGCTTGGTAATGATTGATTCGTACTATGATTCTTTCGTAAACAATTAGAATATATTTTAGCTATCTTATCATCGACTCTGCGTACATTTCTAATAGACAATTGCTAGAAATCAGTAATACGAATGATTTTGAAGAATTCCATCACTATACAAGTAAAAGAAACAAAGAGTTTCAGTTTAAACGATTTATTGCTTAAATCAAAAAACAAGACGTGATAATAAAAGCTGAACAATGACGCCGTAGCTGATACGGATCCTTCAAATACTAAACATAGTAGACCAATTTCAAGAATCTTAACTACATCTATGTAACATCAAGTTCTATCTCTGATAAAAATCTCTGAATTCTGAGTTTCAGTTGAAATTTCTTCACGGATGCTAGTGTTTATCAAGTTATCAATTTCGATCTAGACTAGAACCATTTTTCAATTGTCTAATATTCATAGGAAACATTTCAAAGGATCAATAAAATATATTAATATTAATTGAAATCCATCATGCGTTAATATTAACAATGGATTACCTCATATTTTAAACAAGATATATAGTGCGATAACTGAAAAGTTATATATTTGTAAAACAGAACAATTACTGAGCTAACAAAACAAATGGTTTTCTATCGTATTTCAAATAAGAAAAAACAGATTTCTTAATTAAAATCTGTTGTTTCGCAATCGAATCAATCCTCATCAATTGAAATTTATATCTCTGTTGTTCAACTCCAGAGAAAGAATTTTCATGTATATATTCAAGTTGGAATACTCAATTTTATAGACCCAGTAACTCACACAAATCGGTGTAACATTGACCCCATTTACTCTGATTTTACACGTTCCATTTGAGTCGTCCTAAATCATTTATGCAAACAGCAAAATTGGGATGGACATAAAATAAAAACCTCATTTACAAAGGATTACTGTATAAAAAATAGCAAGAAAATCTTCTACATTTTTTCATTTATTATGTTTTCTCTATTTTTACTTAATTTTTAGCTTTTCTAGATGATAATTACAAGAAAGAATTTTTTCTATTGTTCTTTCGTATTGTTTATAGATAAAAATTATAAGCAAAATAATCTAGTCAATTGTTTATGAAAAAAGAAGAAAGTAAAATAGAATAAATTGAACTTGATTCATAGTTAATATTCGTTTTAACATGTCGTTCAATTGAGTGGATTAATTAAAAATCGTATTGAACTCTAGAAAGATCAGAACAATCAGACATGCTCACGTAAATAAGAGAGTTTCCTATTATAGGAACGTGCTATAATTTATTGATGACTTTTCATGATACTTTTAAGTATAGTTGAAGACTCTATTAGACGATATGTTGAGAATTAATAATCAAGAATATGAGCATTGCAACATTTTAACCGTAGCGATGTGAGTTATTTTCTTTTCTTTTACAAAGTTTGCATGGAATGACCAGCTTTGTTGTGTTGAGTTTTTTCTGTATGTATTCCAAGATCGTGAGAAAGAGTTTGTTTTCAGAGCATCTTGCCAGAATATTTTAAAATTATTCTTATACGATCCAATATTGATTAGCTATAGGGATATACGCGGCTGTAGACAGACCATCATCTAAAAACTTATGATTATGATTCTTCTGACGACTTAGTCAACGTCATATTTTACAAGAAATGATTGAAGTCTGCGAATAAGCCTCACGTGATAACATATTATCAAATAATCAATAATTGAGCGGTACTACAATTTTTCCTTTGGATGAAACAAATTGTCGGTAACTTGTATTTTACTCAAATTTCAAACAACATCTAGAGAATGTTTAAATAAAATGTAATTTAAAAGAAATGTAATTCTCAGTTCGTTTAACTGGCAAGTTTTCATTATGGTTAACACTGATTCTTTTTTTTGTAGATAACGTCAACTTTAGTATGTTTGGCAATGACACAGTCGTTTAAACACTAAGGTGTTCGAGTGATTAATGGTCTCCTCATCAGTATGATTGATGCACTTCCATTCTATCCAATATGATTCAGTTGAAGTTGACCTTGAAATAAAATGCACCAAATGAACCCTTTTACGCCGTACCGGTTGCAAAAGGCTGATTTGATACTCAGCTTTCTCACACTCAAAAACTTCATGTCACATTTATTATGATTTCTTTACTTTCATAAAGCACGCTTTTCTTTCCGATTACATCAAACATACAAATCATCATTTAATAACTAACGGATAATTTGAAATGCTGCTAAAGGTAATTTCTCTTGCCTGACTGAGGATGATAATCAGAGGTTTGACAGAAAAGGAAACAAACGCAATAAGTTAAAGCGCTAAAAAGACACGTATATAGGCATGACCGATAATTAGTAAGTCAATATCTGATTGTTGAAGTAACAGGTTTGCATGCCATTTTTATTAGTGTTTTGCAAAGAACAATGATGTAAGTAGATAAGTTCATTTTGCGTTGCAATTTTTCAATTCAAAATCTACATCAAATGAAAATCTTCCAGATAGAAATTTTCTTTTATAACACTTTATGATTAAATTCCTAAATGATCTTATTCCTCATTTCATATGCAGAATCCATTTACGTAATAAAAGCAAATTTACGAAAAATTTTGCTCTCGTAGTTTGTTTAAAAATCTATGAAATTGTTTTCATTTTCAACGCGATGAGATGCTCTAACACTGTTTTCATGGGAGTACATTTTTTCTGCGAATAGTTCAGTTTTCGTTATTTATATGTTATATTAAAATAGTAGAATATCAAGCCAGTTCCATTTCTAACCATCGAACGAAACTGTTATCAACATTGGAATCGAATATTTGGTTGTTGTTTATTAATGTTTCGATTTTACGTTTATTATTTTAATAGTTTTAAAACTTTTCTGAAGGCTTTTTGTATAATTTTCAAAGTTTTTCATAAAATACAACCTGAGAATAAGCAGTGCAGAATGGAAAGAAAAGTTCTTTCACACTATTTGAAGATTTCAAAATATATTTATATTCAGTCAATTTTTAGTACAAGATATGTTTGATCATAGGAACTTGTTTTTTCTCTTAGACAGGAATATACAGCCATAAACTCTTCTTTAGATATCCTTAATTTGTCTGTTGAAGTCAAAATCTGAATCCAGAAAGTGATTTTCTTTAATATATATTTTTAATATTTGTTGATATTTTGATTTTATCTAAAGTCGTTTTGCTACCTTACGGATTCCAAGAAATGAAAACGAAAAAACTTGTCTTGAATTTCATCATGGTCATCAAACTATAATCTTTCCGAGTTCGTAAAAATGATGAGTTGATCAGAATTCTTACATATCAAAAAAATGTCGTTTGTTTAAAAAAAACCTTTAAAAGTTTGAAATTTCTTTCCTGTATTAATGAGCGCCAAGAATATATTTAAGAGACTCATAGAAAATGATTCATCTGATAAGTTTTATTAGTTTTTCGTAATTTCCAGCCTTGAATAGATTTGAAAATGCGAAATATAGCTTCTCCTAGAAGCTCTGCTGAATTGATGACAGAATTTATTTTATGAATGTTTTTAAAGGCAACAAAATTTTTGATCAGTAGAATAGATGAAATGATCAGTAAAAAAACATGTAAATTATCAGTTCAAAGGTGGAATGATCAGTCCTTAGATT